GTTGATATATGTACCCTCAGTTCTTCTTCTTGCCACGACCACACTTCACTTGTACGGCAAGCATCTTCACAACGTCCTTACATGAATCCTTCTTGTCTTGTTCGAACGTGCTCTTGTTCACCGGAATCGCACATTGTGCTTTCCCCAAACAATGCTGCAACAATGTGTTTTGGTTGGTTAGTTCTACCAAAAGAAGCTGTACATTTTACATCAAGAAGAGAAAAAATATAGATGACTTTTTTTACCTTCTCAACAACTTGCTTAGAAATAGGAGCATTGCAAGTACCAAGAGTGAAGTTTCCACAAACACCAATAGGGTTTCCGAAGCTAGCGAACTCAACAGCTGCGATCTTTCTAGTGCCTGAGCATTTGAGAGTAGCTGTGAGAGTCACGTTATCGGTGATGGCTTGGACCTGATCTTGCTTCCTAGTCCAATGTCTAACACTTGGGATGTAGTTTTCTCCGACGTAAGAACAAACAGTGTCTCTGTTGACGATGACAAAGTCCATAAGCTCAGGCTTCACATTTGGCTCTTCCTCGAATATAACAAGAAGGTTTTTCTTTGGCTTCAAGAAAGATCTGGGGATGTGATACTCTATTTGAGTAGGTTGACCTAATGGAGACAAGAACGATTGCCAATATCTTCCAACACCTTCTCCGTTCACCCAAATCAACCCTTTTCCCATGCCGTGCATGCGGATAGCCGCAGCGTTTAGGCTCTCTGGTGCATCGAAGTATGTCTGCAATATATTTGGATATGATTAGAAAACATTTTTACCAGTCATACTCTATATGTAGTTTCTATTTCTTTTTCTTCTGTTACCTGGTACCATGTAAGTCCCTGTGCTTTTCCGGTGAATTTTTGCCATTTGACCTTCTTTAAACCTTCCTCGGTGTGAATTCCGAGTTTTTCACCTTCCATACCGACCTATAGATTATAAAAAACCGGATAAAATCAAGGAATATATACTCAATGTTGTGAACAAATAACAGAGTAATTAAGAGAATGATTTTCAAACCTTATTTCCCCATTTGCTGGTTTCAGTGAGATCAAGTGTTCCAGAAGTCAATCCTAAGATGGATACACTACGAGGACCTGTGTATCTATGCTCCATGTAAGATCCACTGTCCTGTAAAAACACAAAAGAAAAAAAAAAAAAGCAATCATTAAGCAAACATGTCTTCATCTATATGTTGGTCCTAAAACTCATATTCTGAAGTACATTTGTTGATTACTTACTGGGAATCCTGTGAGAACACCAAGCATAACAAGATGATTCTCTGATCCTGCTTTGAGTGTAACCTGTTTCTGGAAAACAAAACTCTTCTCTTCATGGCTTCCATGTCCACTTCCTGGTAAGAATAATATCATTATTATAGCTCATTTTTTTATACTTTGTAGATCATTTTAACACAATTCTTACCAAGGTATTCTCCGTTAAGCCAAACATGCAACGCGTGACCAAGACTAGCAATCCTCACAAAAGTCTTGACTTCTTTCTTAGGTAAGTGATTCTTATGAACCTTGAAACTGCAAAACAAACTTACATTTCAAGATTCTCTTCTTTTCTATTTGATATACAATGACATGAATATATAGAGTCTTTAGTTACCTTGTTGTGTACCATCCATAGTCTGACCTATCCTTAGTCAATCCGTAAAGCTCAACGGGTATGTAAGAGTCACCTTCGAGTTTGCTAGGCAATGTTTCACTGAACACTTTGAAAGCGAACTTCTTGTTCGCCTTTTTAGACTTCATGAAGTTCCTTGAAGTGTGTTGCGAAACAATCTGCTCCAACCAAACAAACAAGAAACGTCTTAAAAACTATGTTCTGTTTCTTTTTCCTCGAAATGAACTAGAATTTAATGTTTTTTTTCACCTGTGCAGTGTTGTAAAGAACAGTTTTGCAATCTGGAAGAATACTAATGGAACGAGGCGCTATCACGTATTCTCTCCCCTTGAATTTGATGGTTTCTGCAGCTTCAGTGTTATTGTTAGCCAAGAAAGCTGCGCAAGTTTTCGTTCCAGGTTGTTCGTAGTATCTAATCTGTGATTACATAGCAAAAGAAAGTTAAATCCTCTTGATTATTTTGGAAAGAATCAGAGTCTTTATTTTATTACATTTTATGTGTAGATATTTATATATGATGTTAGTACCTCTGTATCTTTTCCAGGTTTTTCTGTTTTAGGCTGACCCCAAAGAAGTGGCTTCTTGCAGAGGTTAAGAGCGTTGTGAAGTTGCTTAAGATGACCATACTTAGGCTCTTTCTCTAAACCATATTCATCAAGAGGTGCATCATCATAGTATCGAGTGGTTACATAATGTGCAGAGGTTCTTCCAAAGTTAGTCCCTCCATGGTACTACAAGATTACAACATAACAAAGCCCCATTTTAAGAATTTGGGTGACAATCACTTTTGCAATATTTCCAAAGCTAGAATTGAGCCACTATACCATGTAGTAGTTCACATGGCTTCCGTTCTTGGAGAAGAACCGAGCAACAGAGAATGCTATATCTTCTACTGATCTTTGAGTTGGCGGATCACCAAACACACGGAACCTATTAAAGTAATTTGCAAGATTTTAACACTTGTATGAATGAATATTAAGTTTCTATAATTCTTATTTAAATTTAGCCATAAACACTCACTGAGTAGTCCAATTCTCAGTCCATAAAGATGGCTTGTTTTCTTTGTTAGGACCGGGGAAAGTATCACCACAGTGTCTTCCATTGCAAGCATTGATCTGTATTCATCATAAAACTCTCAATACTTTTCTTCCGGTAACAAAACACAGGCTTAAAAACAAAACAAAAACTAGGTTACCATAGGATCAGGAGCATCGTTCTGCTTGCACATAACCCATGGGATCCCAAGATTCATTGAGTCCACCAATTTAGATGCCCACTTAATGTAGTTCAATCCGTCTTGTTTATATGCCCGTTGAACAGCGCTATACTCGTTCTCTATCTGCGAAATTTACATTTCTCATTTGTTACAAAAAAAAGAAACATCATTTTCTATAACATTACTCAAAATCAATATATATGTTTCTTTCTTGTCACCTGTCCTAATATAATGGGGCCTCCTTGTGCAGCAAACAATTTTTCCTCCTTCATTTTGTCGAGTACCATCCGCACGTACCTTTCTGTATGTTCCTGCAATATATATAGTTTTGTTTGTCACGTATGTTATTAAGACATTTGATTGTAAATCAAACACACATAGATACAATTCAACATTTATTTATATGTATATCTACCTTGAATGGTTTGTTGTCCGTGCGGAAGAAAATTCCAGGAACTTCTCTAAGCCAATAAGGAAGTCCTCTGATATATATTGAAAACAAAAACAAAAAAATCACGTAAAACATGCATTAGTAGAAGAATCTATGAAAGGAGAAACAAAATAAAATAAAATAAAAGTATAAGAAGTGGTTGATGAATTATTTACCCATGAGTCCATTCAGCTTGGATAAATGGTCCAAGCCTCAAGGTCACATACATGCCATTCTTCTCGATCAACTTTATGAACTTCACCAAATCAGCTCGTCCCGAAAAGTTGAACTAATGGAAACAAACACAATAACATATGTTTAAGAATCGTATAAGATGCATGCATGTTTTATATTAATGGATTTGTGTTTTAACTACCTTTCCTTGTTCAGGCTCATGTACATTCCAGAACACGTATGTCTGAATCGTGTTCAAACCGCCTTGTTTCGCTCTCTTGATGATACTTGGCCACATCTAAACGTACCAAACCCAAATCATGTTACAATCTCAATATATATGAATTCTGGAAAGAAGCTGTTAATTAGAAAAACAAAGATATAATTGTGACATATACCTCAGGAGTGCTTCGAGGGTAATGAATAGAGCCGGAGTAAAGAAGCTCTCTTTTGCCATCGATGATCAGAGATGTCCCATCGTAAGTCACATCCTTATTACTCTTCTTCTTCTTCTTGGCGTCCTTTTTGGCAGCGAAAGAGGATGAAGACGAGAGGAGAACCACAAGAACGGCTGTTAAAAGCCATCGATCAAGAGAATGCTTTCTCATTGAACTCTCTTCTTTTTCTTTTTGGATTAATTTTTATTTTTATTTTGTTGATGTGGAAGAACAAGAAGCTAAGTTCTCTTGGAACCTCGTCCTTGTCGGAGGAATAAAAAACAAGGAGAGCTCAAATAACAAGCTTTGAAAAAAGACAATGATATAAGAGAATGTTTCGCACTCTCAGCCTTTCAGGTCTCCAGAGAAATTTACGCGTCTGAAATAGAAACTACCGTTGTAACTTTGAAACTCTCTCTGTTTTTTCCACAATTTTGTTTTTGTTTTTTTTTTTAATATTTTATATTTTATTTGTTTTGCTATTTTTACATGTTAGTTTTACCCTATTCTTCGCCTATTATGCTGGACTAAATTACACAGCAACAACAAAGAAAAAAAAAACAGATCTAACTAGAAATGTTTCTTACCGTGATCGGTTTTAAAAATATTGACTTTTTAAAAGAGTAATTAACGTTTATTTTTTTAAAATTTGAAATACACATAATTAGATATACCGTAACAAAATTTTGACCATCAACATTTAATCAAAATAAAATGTATGGAAATGTGGCTGGAAAGTAACTATTTTTGTTTTTTGAAAAGTATAGTTTTCAACTACTCATATAAGCTTTATTTTTACTCGTAAAAGACCAACATTAAAAATATTTCCTTTGCAAAAACTGGGTATTTTAACCCTCTAAAAAATTCCCAATAATATTGCTCTAAGTTTTAGTATATTATTAGATTGACAATGTAATAAATTTACTAATTTAGTATGTAGGCTGCATGAGTATAAAGATCGGAAAAGAAGTAAAGAAGAAAAAAAAAAGTACATACAAAATTAGTATTATTATATTATCAACCCATAAATGTTGGTAGGGACTTGTTTTGGGTAACGCACCAGCTAACCAAAAAAAGGTTATTAAATTTTATTTTCGTAAGAAAGAAGAAGAAGAAGAAAAGGGTAGAAGAAGAAGAAGAAGAGACCAAGAAAATGAAGTGCATGTGAGGCCGACTCTAGTCTGGGAGAGACTTTCAGCAGCTATTTCTTTGTCTTCTTCCTCTTTAAAGAAGAACCCTTTCTCACTCTCTCTCTCTTTCTAAAATCCCCAATTCCGTGATAAAATTTAGGGTTTTTAACTTTGAAGAAGGAGAAAAACAGAGAGAGAGAGAGAGGAAGATGAGTGCTTCGAGGTTTATCAAGTGTGTTACCGTCGGTGATGGCGCTGTTGGAAAGACTTGTCTTCTCATCTCTTACACTAGCAACACTTTCCCCACGGTCAGCTTCAAGTTCTCTTCTTCTTTCACTTTGATTTGATGAATTTTAGCTTAGGGGTTTGTTGGATTTGTTGTTTGTGCGATCCTTCTGAGTTGGATTTAGTCATAAGTATTTGTTGGGTTTTGTTAAAGTCTTGTTCTTTCTGATTGTACTGTAGTGATCTTTTAGGATTTGAAAGAATCTCAGCTTCATATACCATAGCAAATTAGCTGTGTTTCTCTGGGATGTGTGATCTGTTTTATGATCTAATTAAGTGTGTCTTCTTAGATCATTTTGTGGCTAATGTTAGAGTGGAATTTTTCGATGTGACAGGATTATGTGCCAACTGTGTTCGATAATTTCAGTGCCAATGTGATTGTGGATGGGAACACTATCAACTTGGGATTGTGGGATACTGCAGGCAAGTTGTTACCCTTAGATTTGTGGTGTTCTTTCTTTGTCTTTTCAGTTTCTTCCCCTTTCAGAGAGTCATTTTTGTTTTCTTTTACTCGGTGAAACAGGGCAAGAGGACTACAATAGACTAAGACCTTTGAGCTATCGCGGGGCTGATGTCTTCTTACTTGCGTTCTCACTTGTCAGCAAAGCTAGCTATGAAAATGTTTCTAAAAAGGTTTGATCTTTGGTCGTCCCCTCAGACTTCTTTCCTTTTTTTTTTTTTTTTAATGTAATTCTCATTCAGTGATTCTGATAGAATCCATTTGGTTTCTTGCTTTTGATTCTTAGTGGGTTCCTGAACTGAGACATTATGCTCCTGGTGTTCCCATCATCCTCGTTGGAACAAAGCTTGGTTGGTTTCTTTTTAGCTCAACTCTTAATCAACCATTTTTTCTGTTCTGGGAAATCTTCTGATATTTTTATGACTCTCATTCAGATCTTCGTGATGATAAGCAATTCTTTGCCGAGCACCCTGGAGCTGTGCCTATCTCTACTGCTCAGGTATCTTTCTCACACTCTTCTCATTTGATTCTAAGGGCAATCCTCCGTGTTAAACCCCCACATTTTTCTTCTTTGGATCTTATGAAAATAGGGTGAAGAACTAAAGAAGCTGATTGGTGCACCTGCTTATATCGAATGCAGTGCAAAAACTCAACAGGTAAACGACCTGAGAGTCCAAACCTTTATCTCATCTTTACACGTCCAAACCTGAATCCGTTGATGATTTCGATTATCTGTTCAACAGAATGTAAAAGCGGTGTTTGATGCGGCTATCAAGGTCGTTCTCCAGCCACCAAAAAACAAGAAGAAGAAGAAGAGAAAATCTCAGAAAGGTTGTTCAATACTGTGATTCAATAAAAAGAAAGGAATCAACAAGAGGAATAGAGCTACTAGTATTTGTTTTTCTCCTTTTTTTTTCTTTTCATAACTTGTTTACCCAAGGAATCAGTAATCTGTTGTTTGTAGTCTGAAATTGACAAAGTTGAACAACCTAGTAACAAGTATTTGTATTCTTGTTTGCATTTTGATCTGTAAATATAGCACGAATGCTTGATTTATTTGTTTCCTAGCTCCACACACAAATCGTTGAAGGATTGTATTCCAGTTACGTTGTTACACATAGTTTCAGCCAGAGGTAACCTTTATTGGTATTGTTGCAGCATTAATGTAGGCAACATGAGTTATTGTTCAAAACTCGGTATTTTCCAAATAGAGCAAGTAGGAGTTGTTCGATTTCATTGAATTACATAACATTTGCTGGTTTAGTGAAACCAACCAAAAGTAAGACAAGAATGTTCCAACGGTTCTTTGACAATACCAACTTGCAAGACTCCTCCTTTACATTAACTAAAGTTTTGATTTCAGAACCAATGTGTTACTCTCAAACATTAACACTTAACAGCCTTGGAAACGCCTTTCTCTTTCAAGATTTTTAAAGAAACTCTGTTGAAAGCATTAGCTTTTGAATTTTCATCAAATGTTTGATATTCTTTTCTTCTTATTATTTGGCTAAGACGTTTTCCCCGTTGGAGATAGAATTATTGAGTAAACGTTTTTCTATCATAGTCATAAGCTTGGCTTGTCTTTTACCAAACGAATCTGTTGTTTGTTAATCAATCTCTTTCTTTGCTTTAACTGCCCCTCGACTTGTATTTATTCGATTCCTACAAAGCTACAACAATCAGTTAGACCATTCTCAATGGAACATCTTAGAAAGTCGATGCTCCCATTGAAAATGCCCTTACCAAATCTAATTGAAATAATTAGATGTGTCAGGACGTTTAGTGAACTAATATTCACCTAATTATAAGCCTTTCAATTACAATAGAGAGACTATAATATGTTTCCGTATGTACCAACTAAAGTTGAGTTTCCTTTTATTTTTGTAATATAAAACGTAATACTGATATTAATAAGACTTTTATTTAGTATTCTTATTGTGAAAAGCATATATTTTGAAATGCTAGTCGATATTTAAACATATCAAAGATATATATGGTTAATTGCTTGCTGATAAATAAAAGTTTTGTTAGAAAATATAGAATCTTAGATCATATATATCTAGGCGGTAACCCCCATTTAAGTTTTAATGAAAACAAATGTTTGATAGAAAAAAAGATCATATCTACGCGACCGTATAGATCGATTTTAAGAACAGTATTGTATTCTGATTACTACTATATGTTTTTGGAATGATACAAAATATCAAATCTAGGAAATTAAACTATGTATCCATATCTAGGCGTCGGTAGCTTGATTTGTGATAAAATGTGACTGATATCAATATATCATATGAATCATATGTCAACTCTTTTTTTTATAGATCATATTTTAGTATATGACTTTCTTTTTAATCTCATATAGACAGACTGGCACAATCAAACTCCTTTTACAATTTTTATTTTATTTTTTTGGGGCAAAGACACATGAAATTAAAACCAGTATCATTATTCTGAATAACTTGATAGCATAGGATTCATATTTCATTAGTCTATAGGCACTACTAGTACGAAACATTTGGTTATCCAATAATTGGACACATGCACACTCCATTAACTTGGTTTTTGGTTTTATGATGTCATATTTCACAAAAATACATATATAGTGTGATAAGATCATGATCATCTACCTAAAGATAATGGAATAATCACTCAAGTCGAGCCAAAATCTTTGTAACACTGTTTTTCAAAATTCGACTATTTTTCATTTGTTTAAATAGTATTTTGCTTTAAAATACTATTAGGCTAATAGTTGATGATTTGTCCTCTAATGTGTTCAAAATATCAGTATAGCTAAGAAAACTTTCGAGGACGAGTTGTTCAAAATCTCACCATCAGAAAATATCAATAGATTAAGTTTTTTTTTTCGTTAATTAAGGATTAAATAATCCAAACAGATTACCAGTAATACTTAACATTTGTCGTCAGCTCTTCCACATATCATCATCTCATAGACTCATACATTACATTACATTATCCTACAAAAACATATCAATTACTTTTCTTACGGTGCCTACTTAATGAAACACTTAAAATATATACGTATGTGACATTTTTCTTATACATACATATATATATTATATGCATGCTTCAATTAAAAAAGAAGAAGAAAAGGTGCGTAGAGTGCACGGACTATTGTGTTCATTTAATTCTAAAGAGCCATTGCCGTACGTAGGAGGCAGCCTTGTTGAGTGTCGAGGCGTGTTCGTTACGTATGACCCGCAGTAGCCGGTGGTCACACATCCACTAGTCCCCTTTCACTCACCGCTTATCATGGGTTTCCCGCTAATATTTCCCGGTTTTCCCCCTAACTTACTAACCTAAAAATTATTAAATTCTGGAAAGGCAAAAAACAAAACAAAACTGGTCAATGTATCAATGTATTGTATTGTATCTCTCTGAGTCTGTCGTTAACTCTCACTCTCTTCTCTTCCCTGAAAACACACACACTCTCTCTCTCTCTTTCTCTCGCCGACACTTTCTTGATCCGATCGGTTTATATTTTAAGATAAACTCATTGATTCAATCATCCTTTCTATGATTTCCACATTTGCGTCTGAGAATAATCAACTTCTTGAATGTGTAAGATTTTATATATATATAAAGTTTGTATTATTGTCGAGTCAATCAATCTTGTTTTTAGTCGTAGCAGGTACAAAATGCTGATGGTGTGTTACATGGCGGCAGATTTCGATTCTTATGTGTCGATTATCTAACTAACAAATTTAATAATAGATACGTACAACGAGTTTTTGTAACACTTATCTTTGTCTGTTAATGCTCATACTAATATAGTTTATCTATTTTATAACCACATTTTTTCTCCATAATTGACATAGGTGCCTTAAATAACTAATAAGATTCATACTGATATCAACCACAAATTACTTGTTTCTGATGGAGTTTTTTGTTTGTTTGATTCCTCTGTTTTTATGCAGAATAAAAGAGCATTTAGCTCCCACATATTGAGCTTATAGGAGAGAGAGAGAGAAGTTTACAAGAAAGTTCGGTTCACAAGGTTTTTTGTAGTACTTGGAATCAAAATTCCAAGAAAACGTTCTAAGGTGAGAAAAAAAAAATCTTACAACAAGTCTTTGAGAAAAAAGCTGTTCTGTTTCTTTTTTTGATGTAACCTAACCACAGTTTCAGGTTTCAGGATTTGTTGCACATCTTACTGCCAAATTCTGTGCGAAACAGTTGTTTCAAAGGCTGAAGTCTTGGTCATCACTAGTTAATTCTAAGAGCAATGGCTATGGTTAAAACGTCAGCTTATAATCTAGATTTGAGGCCAAGTTCTCAACTTTTGAATAGTGAATGCAAGTATGATGAATCAAGTGTAAAAAAAAGCAAAGAACTCTTGAAGATGACGGGTGAAGAAAAGAGGAAGATTTCAGGAAGATCTATTTCACTTCCGTCCATAGATATATTTTTAGATGAGAAACCAGGTTGGCCTTTCCTTAAAACTGCAACTTTAGAGACACCAAAAGTTCACCGACGGCACACGAGAAAAATCTCAGTGGTCAACTGGGTCATGAGCTTACCTGAACGGTTTCCAAATCATCATCAGCAGAATCTTAACTACGAGACAAGCTTTGTTAAGAAGCAACTTAAGGAAATATTAAGAGACAGCAAGAAATGGTTCAACTACAACGTTCTTAAGAAAGCAACATCAAATTTCTCTCAAGGTACTCTGTTTTTTCAACCTCTCTGCCTCTCTTGATGAGAGTTTGTATTGATTCTTTGATTTTCTACATGACAGAGAATTTGATTGGGAAAGGAGGATGCAGCAAAGTGTACAGAGGGATTCTTGAAGATGGAAAAGGTATTGCTGTGAAAATCTTGAAATCATCATCTAATAAAGACGCTACGACAGATTTTGTTCATGAAATCAACATCATCTCTTCTTTGAGTCACCAAAACATCTCAGGCTTACTTGGTGTTTGTGTCCAAAACAATGATCTAATCTCCGTTTACAGTCTTTCATCCGTAGGAAGTTTAGAGGAAACCCTTCACGGTATACCACAACACTCTCAACTTCACACATACATTAAAGTTTTTGATGGATTTGGTATAAAGTGTGATGACGCTTGATTTCTGCAGGTAAGCAAAAGGGAAAGCATGTATTATCATGGAAACATAGATTCAAGATAGCTATCGGGTTGGCAGAAGCGCTAGATTATCTTCATAATCAGTGTTCTAAGCCAGTGATTCACAGAGATGTCAAAACTTCTAACGTTCTTCTCTCAGATGAGCTCCAACCTCAGGTAATAAAACTGCTTCTGACTATGTTTGCTAGTCGTCGTTGTGAACTCATAACTGATAGCTATGAATTTTACGATAGCTTTCAGATTTTGGATTGTCGATGTGGGGACCTACGACATCTTCTCGATATTCGATACAAGCTGATGTGGTGGGCACTTTTGGATACCTTGCACCAGAGTATTTCATGTACGGAAAAGTCAGTGATAAAGTCGATGTTTACGCCTTTGGAGTGGTTCTGCTTGAACTCATATCAGGAAGAAATCCTATTTCGCCTCAGAATCCTAGAGGACAAGAGAGTTTGGTCATGTGGGTAGGTTTTTCTTTTTGCAGTTGGTTACTTGTAGCGTAAGAAACACTTAATAAAACCTTAAAGAGACACTCCCTTGGAATGCAGGCAAAACCGTTGATTGAGAATGGAAATTTAAAACGGCTGTTGGATCCAGAAGTTACAAATACATACGAAGAGTCTCAGTTTCAAAGAATGGTACTTGCTGCTTCACATTGCCTCACAAGATCCGCCACACATCGTCCCAATATAAGACAAGTAAGACTGTGTTTCCTTGTCCAAGAAAACTAAGTCCCTCGTCAAGAACTAATCTTTATAGCTTCTTCAGATACTGAGGCTACTAAGAGATGAAAACGAAGTGGGGAAATGGATTATGGAAGAAGAAGAAAAGGAAGATTGCTTCGATGACGAGGTTTACCCAAATTCCAGCGCGGAATTACACTTGAGCGTTGCGATGCTTGAGGTGGAAGACGATGAATCTGCATCAGTCAGCAGCATGGAGAGAAGTTACAACAGCCTTTTCTCTTCTTCGTGTTCATCTAGGGAGCTTCAAACTTAAGGCACTCTGCTTTTACTTAGGGTTTGTTTATTAGTGTCTAAAGTTTACACTTGATAACATTTTGTTATCTGAAAAATAGCAGTCATCTGATAACTGCGATGATAGTAATAGGTAGCGAAAAAATCACTCCCAAGACGAATTATTCTGTATGCACCAATTCAAATTTAACCCTATAGGCGAAAAGTTAACTTTGACAGTTTTATATTATAATTGTTGGAATATTGAGAGAAGAAGAAAAACAGAGTAAGAGACTTTTGTCTCTTCTCTTGTAAAAGACAAGAACTAAACTGAAACTTTATTATTTTGAAATTTGTTATTTTACATGACGTTACAATGGGTTTAAATAGAAAACTAATGGACACAACATCACAAAGAGTTGTGTCTCTTCATACTTGTGTCTCTTGGATCAAGTAACTAACTTATGTAAATGTGACAACCACGAGATATGATTATACTTCAACAGTCCCCCTTAATCATATCTCGGCTTTACTCTAAGCTTCCTTCTAAGCTCTTCAAACTTTGACGTTGGTTGACAGTTTCTTCATAGGCAAGAAATGCATTTGCCTCTGGTTAATTCCATCTAAGTGACAACTTCTTGTGCTTCATCTTATATTCGATATCCTTCTTTCTTGAGGATCATATATGAAACAGTTATTGTCTTTAAACAAAACTCCATATCCAATTTGTGAAACCCTTGCTACGTCCGGCACTAGAAACACCTCTTTGATGATCTTCTCTCCTTGACTTGTCATCACTTGGATATTCCCTTTTCCTTCCCGTGATTACCCATTGACAATTCCCACTTTGATTGGTATGTTGATACTCTTATCAAGAGTGATGAAGTATGAAACCTCCTTGGTCATGTGGTTAATACATCTGTGTCAACTAACCATTTTCCATCATCTACTCTTGATGATGTGAAGGAGATTCACGCGTTAGATGTCAGTGAGACGTTATGGTGATCAGAGGGAGACACCAAACACAAAAATGGAGGATGCTAACCTCAGAGAAAAATGAAGCAAAAGACGGTTACAAAGATAACCGAAGAAGATGTGAAAGAGTTCGCAACCTTTTTTCATTCACTTTGTTTTAAGTGAGCTTTCTTCTTATTTCTTCTTGGTGTCCTTTTGATCACCAAATCGGTTTGTGAACTCTTTCACATCTTCTTCGGTTATCTTTGTAACCGTCTTTTGCTTCATTTTTCTCTGAGGTTAGCATCCTCCATTTTTGTGTTTGGTGTCTCCCTCTGATCACCATAACGTCTCCCTGACGTCTAACGCGTGAATCTCCTTCACATCGTCTTCGGTTTACTCTTCAACCGATTTATGCTCCCTTTATCTCCGAGGTAAGCATCTTCCTTTATTGTTTGGTGTCTCCTTTTGATCACCATCACGTCTTTTTGACGTCTCTTTTTCGGTTATCTCTTATAACCTTCTATGCGTGAACTTCACGTCTTGTTGAACAAGTTTCAGAACCTCCTTCCACAACTCTAACTTCACATCTGTTTTCTCCATTTTCTTTTGAGAAGATTTCCTATCTTCATCATCCCTTTGGAGCCTTTTTCTTGATGATTATGTTTGTGAAGGTTGATGATGCTATCTCTTGTCATCACCTCCTTTCTTTCTTCTTCTTCTTCCACTCCTTCTTCTTCCTCTTCTTCTCACCATAAATTTGTTGACTCCATCTCTCTTTTACTTGCAGCGTATTTCTTCTTATTTTTGTTTTGCTTGTACAGGCTATAAGACCAATAAAGCTTTGATACCATGTTGGAATATTGAGAGAAGAAGAAAAACAGAGTAAGAGACTTTTGTCTCTTCTCTTGTAGAAGACAAGAACTAAACTGAAACTTTATTATTCTGAAACTTGTTATTTTACATGACGTTACAATGAGTTTAAATAGAAAACTAATGGACACAACATCACAAAGAGTTGTGTCTCTTCATACTTATGTCTCTTGGATCAAGTAACTAACTTATGTAAATGTGACAACCACGAGATATGATTATACTTCAACAATAATGACATGTTGCTTGGGGGTGAGCTCAAAGCTAACCGAAGACAGTCGACGTTGGAGCCGTGAACATGTAACGTTTTTGGTCTGTATGCGACGCCTTTTAAAAGTTTTAATCTGTCACAAAGAGAAGACGGAAGAGATGACAAAATAGATTTAAGTTTTTTTAATCTTTGTTAATTTACAGTCTTCTTTTCACAACTTTTTTCTGGAAAGGTGAGAGCACTATTATCATATTTAACACATTAAATTTCTCGTTTTATTATTTTTAGCAAATAGCATTATGTGTTCTGCTACTACTGTTCAGGGCCTAACATTACAAAACTGTGTCAAATCCGAAATTGTGTCTTCTTCCTTTTCGTTTGGAACCAAATTGTTAGTATTATAATTTATTTATTTGACATCACCATTAATTAGACTATTTAGAAATTGACATGTTTATTATTTATATGATTAACCACTTTAGCTCTTTGTCATTTGTTTTAATAATTATTATTATTATATTGAAAATCAATTATCAATTACTCCCACATTATAGTTATTCGATAATAAGACAAGGACATGTATGAAAAAGTATTTTATCTAAAGAGATTAATTATGTAAGTCAAATTGATGATATATAGGGGAAGGAAATATTCAACTAATCATTATATCAACGACCAGCAGAATCTGTTGACGTGTCTATTTTATTAAAAAGGAAATTGTTAAAGGAACAGTAATTAAGAAAATATGAAAAAATATAAAACTTTGGCCAAATTGTTGTTGTGAGTTGTGACAATGATTTTTACGGATTATTTGGTTATTTTAATTAGCACTTATACATCTAACATTTACTAGTAAAATATGCTAAATTTTTGACATTTTTCATAATCAGTTATGCCAGTATTATATAATGCCAAAAACGTGATAATGGAATTTTTAATTGTTTTAGTAACTGTATGTTCGGTTTTTGTATGCATAAATTTAATATTTCATACAAACTTATATTTTGTTTTCCTAAATTAACATCAAATTTAAAACATTTACTAAAACAAAATTTTTTTTTTGATAAACAACTTTATTTATGGAATTTTGTTAAAAACCTAGGAATATATACCAAATTTATAAGGAACTACGTTTGGTTTTACACAAATATTCTATATAACTCTACTTGAATCAAACTTATTAGTTTATTTAAGAAATCTGTTTTTTTTTTTTTTTTTTTTTTAAATGATGGCTTGAGACATGCAACATTCTGTTTGTATATATATTTTGTCCGTATTATCGTATTCGGATTGCTTACGATCTTTAGAGTGACCATTTCATTGTGCAATCGTACTGAAAAAAAGATTATATTATTGTTTGGACTTTCATAACATATAGTATAAGTAGTAACTAGACACATATATATATATATGTTAACTGGTTATATGCTAACTTATTTGGCGTTTACGGGTCAGCCTAAAATTTAAAATACAATGCCATGATAACGAGGCTATAATGTTTAGAGTATTGTTTGATATATATGGGAATCAATTAAATATGGATAATGTTCTGCAAAAGAGAATATGACACGTAACGCCTTAACTCGATTTGAGCATCTTAATATTTTCTTTCTAATCTTCGTAGACCATCGCAACAATTCATGAAAATTAGAGCATCTTACTGTCGCCTAACATTTAAGCGTCGTCTCGTACAGTCGCACTATATATATAGGACGAGTTTGGAACACTAGCTACTGGTCTATAGGTTCAAGAGGGGAGATTTACGTTTTGGTTTATTATTCGTTTTTATGGCCAATGGGTATTTTCTTTTCCGAATGATTCCACGATTGAACACTGTTAATTTCATAAAAGTTGATCACTGGAACCAATTGAAGTATCAATTAATTATGATTCGACCTAGTCTACAATTTGTATATAATCTAAATAGTAAGACATTGTATATAATCATAAAATTCTGATTTGCAACTGTCATTAATTACGTCTCATGTATTATATAGCCGGTAAAACCAGATAAAGATTCGACAAAGCTGAAATATAAATAAGATGTGTGGAATATGAAGGTCCTTTTATTAATGTAAGGCCTCATGTCCAACAACAAGGCAAAGCCCAAGCCTCATACAGCAGTCCACATCAACATTATAACAAGTCAAATGTGCAGAGCTCTTCTCTGCAACAATCTCTGCAACAAAACAAGACAAAACTGCAGGTTATACAAAAGGAACAGCAGACCAAACCTGCTGGCTCTCCCAACATTGTACTATCTAACCGTTTCAGTCCTATGCTATCAGAAGAGAGTGGCTAGATGATTGACAGATGTAATGAGATCCTACATTGTATCAAGGATCCAGAATGTTCCTAAGGAGTATAAATATGAACACTTTGTGTTCTTTGTAAGGATGGAGTGGAATTAATAAAAAGTATTTTCACTCAAAACACTCTGTTCTTCTTTTATTTACACCTTTCACAGATCTGAGGATAGATCATCATCATGTATCACAAGGTAATTTCAAAGGTGTTGAAAGGAAGAGCCAAAAACATAGAGCATATCAAATAAATCTTATATAAATGAATTTTGAGTACCCACACTAGCCCCAAAAGACAGTTTAAAAATATATATATCCCTACTATAGTAAAAGAGAAGTACAAAAGTTTCTTGTGTCGGGTTTTTTTAAAAAATTAACCCGAAATTTTTCAATTGCATCTTACTAAAAATTTAAAGATATTAAATACCAGTTTCCATATATATTATTTCGAAATCTAACAAATTAAACCATCAATATCGGTTTTGGAAAGTACATTAATCTTAATTTGTTTAAGGAAAAATACATTAATGTATGATTTTGTATATTGGTTTAACAAATTAACCTAAAAATCAGAAATATGAATTAAATATAAAATATTTATCAAATTATCCATAATATTTCAAAACAAAATGTTCCTTAAATATCTTATATTAATATTTAGATGTATAGTTTTCTCCTATATTAACTATGATATTCACAACAATTACGGGATAATTCATTTTCAACCATGTTTAATATATTTATTTGGCAATAGTTTCGAATTTCTGGCTTGATTATAAAGCTAATCTTTTTTTCAACGCTAACCTAACTCTAAGAAAATATTATCTATATAAATAAGTTTCTGCTACCAGAAAATTGTAACATAAACACAGATTTTACATTTTAACACGATAAGAAATAAGAAATCATTGGCTCTTTATTTGTTTATTCTAGAGATTTGCAATTTTACAAAACTGCATTAAAGGTCCAAGTTAAAATCATGTATTTATGATTATGCGGTGTACCGCGGGTCAATCCCTAAACTTTAAAAATGATTCATAGTATAATATTTATACATATATATATGTCACATATTGTTATAAAATTAACAATCTAACTAAAATCATACAATTTAAATAATTTTGAACATATTTGAAACCAACACAAAAAATACAATCTAAAAATGATAGAATTTAATTAATAATCAAAATAAAGTAAAGCAAACACAAATAAATTATCTCGCAACGTACAAACGATTAAAAATCCGGTAATTTTCCCCCGCGCTTTAGCGCGGGTCCGAATATAGTATATATGTAAATATAAAGTACAAAACCCTAAAAGAAAGCTACGTCTTTCACGATCACTAATGTCTACATCGACCAACTATTTAAGTAATAGAAAGCTTTCCAAAAGAGAGAAAACATAACAAGTTGACGGTATTAGACGGTGATTATTACTTAACGATCATTTCTTTATTTTTCCAATTACAAAAGATAAAGTAGATCTGGTCATAAACAATCTACTATATGATATATCTTTATATACAATCACAACAACAAAAGATATCTTTGTTTTCTTATAACGTGGGAACCTAGTTGTCTTATGAATTTACACCAATACTACATATTGGAATACCTCGATAAAAAATTTACTAATAATAGCGATATTCAACATCTTCTTGCCAATTTTTATTTTCTTTTAATCTTCTTGCCAATCTTTAATAGTGTGTATATTTAGTTTTGGGAAAATTTTATACCTATTTTGGAGGAAAATGATTTGAATGCTATCAAACTTTTTCCTTCTTGAATTCAATTTTTTTCCAATCGTTCATCCATATGCTACCATGCATTTGCATCCGTCTATATTTATACCTTCCAAGTCTATCTTCTTTTACAGGTTTTTTTTTTTTTTTTTTTTTTTACTTTTTATTTTTGTTAACGTCTCAAATATTGTGATTTAATAGACCAAAAAAAGAAGAAGAGAAAATATAATGAAGATAACTTGGTAACAGTTATATAGCTCTAGGTGTTTTGTTGTATTAATAATGGGATTTTGGCTTTGCTTTGTCTAAAATAAAAACATGTAATTGGTGATAATTAGTTCTGTAATATGTAATTTGTAAAAATGTGAACTTAAAATGGACAGGACTAAATAAAGAAACAAAAATGAGAAAAAACAAATAAACGTCCGTACTTGAGAAATAATTGTTTTTTTTTTTAAGTCAATGATATTTTTTTTTTGGTTTTCTCATGTAACTTATTCGTTCATCTTAAATAATTATGGTGATAATACAAAAGTTTTGAGTCTGCTTAATTATTAAATTAATATAAGATGCTGAGCTCCAATCACGTTCAAAGTTAAAAGTATAATTTGATTTAAGGAAAAAAAAAAAAGAATCTGTGCAACTCGAAATCGTTATCGTACGTCCATGTCTTTTCTCCGGCCACCGAGACGATGCCATCTGTTTTGTGCGTCTTTATAAACCAACGCCTTCGTGCTTCTTCGTTTCACTTTCACCCTTACCTCTAATATAAACTCATCTCCCCCTTTTCATCACTCTTCTAAAAAATTCGATCTTTAGGGTTTTGCTTTGATCCCCGCTTACGGGTTTCACAATCTCGACCTCTAGAGATTGTAAAGGTACGGATTTTGTCCTCAATTAGAGGATCGGGTCTTTGAATATAGCAGAAATTGGGTATCTTCGGTTGCTGAATTCCTCGGATTGCTGTGAAATTAGGGATTTTGATAGGTTCAGGAGCTCGAGATTTGACTAGTTTCAGGTTGAGTTTTCGGTAGTTTATATCTTACAAAGTATCGATTTTTTTTGGTTTGGTGAGGTCAATTTGAAGAGTAAGGTTGATCTGTTTGTGGTTGGTGGGGTTAAGTAATGGAAGACGGCGAGCTTGAGTTCTCGAACCAGGAAGTGTTTTCGAGTTCGGAGATGGGTGAGTTACCGCCTAGCAACTGTTCGATGGATAGTTTCTTTGATGGGCTTTTGATGGATACTAATGCTGCTTGTACCCACACTCACACCTGTAACCCTACGGGACCAGAGAATACTCATACTCACACCTGTTTCCATGTCCACACCAAGATTCTTCCTGATGATAGCGATGAAAAAGTTTCTACTGATGATACAGCTGAGTCTTGCGGGAAGAAGGGTGAAAAGAGACCTTTGGGAAACCGAGAAGCGGTTAGAAAGTATAGAGAGAAGAAGAAGGCTAAAGCTGCTTCTTTGGAAGACGAGGTCTCAAGACTTAGGGCGGTGAATCAGCAGCTGGTGAAGAGGTTGCAAAATCAGGCTACCTTGGAAGCTGAGGTCTCGAGGCTCAAGTGTTTGCTTGTGGATTTAAGAGGAAGAATAGACGGGGAGATTGGATCTTTTCCTTACCAGAAGCCAAATATTCCCTCTTTCTCCCACATGATGAATCCGTGTAATGTACAATGCGATGATGAAGTTTATTGCCCTCAGAATGGGTTTGGAGGAAATACCCAAGAAGTGGCATCAATCAATGACCAAGGGTTGAGTGGTTGTGATTTTGATCAGCTACAATGCATGGCTAATCAGAACTTAGGTGGGAATGCAAACGGATCATTCAACAATTCCAATGCATCTGTCTCGAATAAGAGAAAAGGTGGCACTTTTATACCTTCCAATTTTCTATTAAAATCGTTTTGATTTTTTGGGGGTAACTCTGGAAATCCTGAGGTTATTTACTTACTGTGATTATTGATCAGCTCTGGCCTTATTATGTAACGTGAAGCAGATTCTTGACGTTCTCCTTTAGTTTGCTTCACAGAAATGTTATGATCTCACTTATGTTTCTGTTCATCGTTTAGGTGGGCATCGTGCATCAAGAGCTGTTTGAAGTATCATCGAGCTTGTACCATCTATTTTCAACCAGCATAGATATTGTATTCCAAATAAGTTGTAGAGTTCAGCTGCAGCATCAGCTCCGCTCAGGTTCCTTTGTGTTCTCATTTTTGTTTTCTTTTTTTCTCTGACTCTCTTTTCCTACCATTGTATTTCTATGTTGAGCTTGCCGAACTAGAAGGATGATATTGTTAATACAAACTCAAATATTTTGTGTGTTCCTGCCATTTGTTTACATTCTTCAGTTGCTTCTTCTTAAGTTTATGTCGAAGAAGTTGATTGAATATTGGCTCTGTGCATGACAAGTAGCAACTGTTTTGGCTACAGAAGTTGTTGATAAGAGGCATAAAAAATTTTAATTGCTGAATTACAGCTTTAAGGAGTTGGTGGGGAGTGTCTTTGTGGCCGGAGTGAGATCTCTGGACAGCTGAGTTATAAAAGATTGACTTCCTGCGATCTCCTACCTTATATGCTTTAGAAATAACAACTATACTTGAGGATTCATGAATCTTATTAGAAAGTACCCAGATTTGGTAGTATAGGCAGGATTCCGACTTCCCATTATGCATCATGTTGTTTAGTGAAGAACTAGGTATGCCCATGAAGCACAATGTTTTGTACTTAGAGCTTGAGAATCTCTCTCAGTGTCTCTGTTATAGTCTTACTGTAACATTGCTATGTTTTTACAATTGTGATCCCAAGTTGCTTAGCAAACCCTTTTGTTGTTTTAACTTTTACTTGAACCAATCTCAGGTTCAGGCTTTGTTAGGGTTTAGTGTAAAACTCGAGAATCATGTCCTGGAAAAAACGATTTTTCAGTATTAGGGTAGTGCATACACCAAACTTATTTAATATATATTGGCCCAAACACGTTAACAACAACAGTTATATGTCACCATCATCCACCAAAAGATCCGAATCATTTCTGGTTTTCATTGGAATGTTGTGCATTTTGGTTGCCTTCTTCATCATCATCCTCATCATCTTCGCGGTAGATGCTTTCCGCCATTTGCCAGACTTGAAGACTGTTGTCTTCAGCTACACTTGAGATGACCCAAGGCTCGTCCTTGTTCCAGGCAAAGTCTGATATCTTGGCCTTGTGGCCTCCATGAGAGAAGAGCAACTCAGGTGGACCATCTTCTGCATCCAACTCTATTTCAAGCTGCTCATCCCCGACCCTGAACAATCCACCAGGCTTAAACTAAGTAATCCAACTTCAATTTTGCACCAAAAGAAAAGGAATATATTGAATTGATTATGGTACCTGTTGATATCCCAGACCATGAGTCTTCGGTCCTCACCAGAAGATGCAAGCACTGTTTCATGGTTGGGATCCCACTCCACTTGAAAAACTTCTCCCCTGTAACAAAGCCGTCCAAATCCTCAGTTATTAACATTTAATCAAATAATATTAGGTAGAAGCTGTGAAGAAAGTGAGAAACTATGAGAGGCATACTCGTGTCTGCTCAGGACATGTAATGGTGCAGTCAGCTTACGGAGGTCAAACAAGGCGACAGTCGAATCTGAGGAAGCTGTGGCTAATACCCATTCATTAAAGGGATTGAAAGAAAGATAGTTTATCTGCAAACAAAAGAATGGTCTCGGGGAATCAATTGCAGAGTCTTTTAAGGGTCTACACAGCAAAGCTGGCATCTATAAGAGTTCTCCACCCATAACTTCAAATTTATCTTTTGTAGTCAGAGATTAATCTGGCGCGACAAACCTCAGTTAAATAATAAATATCCTCTAAGTTGCAGATTAGAGTGAAGTAGAAAGTTAAGAGATGGTTTATACCTCTCTCTCATGAACTTTGACTTGGTGTTGCATTTGGTTTGTCCGTAAGTCCCATATCACCAATTGACAATCATCACCCGCAGAGCCAAATATGTTCTCATTCTTCATGTGCCATGCTACATCTTCGATGCTGCTTTGATGTCCCTAAATCAATGTCACATGGATGAAATCAGATGCAAAAATCCCAAATCTTCTGTGATTCAGGAAAAAGGGAAAAAAAAAAAAAGTTAGTCTCAACATACCTCATATACATGCATTGGGTTCAAAACCTTATCGTTGGCAGTAGCTGAGACATCCCAGAGGCAGATTTTCTGATCTTGTGAGCCACTCAAAAGATAACCTTCCTTGAAGGAGCTCCAAGCCAATCCATAACCTTCCTCTTCATGTCCCATTAGCCTCAGATCAGGATCGCACTCACTAGTTTGGGGCTTTGCAGAGAGTCTGGCGTAATCAAAGAGAAACACCTCAGACCCACTTGTTTTAGCACCAACAAGAGTTGGCTTTTGTGGCATACACCGAGCTCTGTTCACTTCTCCATCAACACGTATCTTTTGCTTAATCTCCACCTGCAAAGGATAACTTTTCAGTAATCTCAGTCTCTGATAGTAGTGTTATATTCTGTGCTAATCAAAACATATTCTGTATATAAAGTATTCAGTTTTCACAGATTTTAAATGCTTAAGAAAAGGTCCAAATTTCATATCAAAGCTGAACTCATGAACTCTCATCGATAAAAATTCCGGAAACGAAACCGAGAAAAAACTTAGTCCTTTATTCGAACACTCAGGAAAGCTATTGATTCTTTCTACACTTTAATCTAGTAATTTCGTCGAACATTTGGTGTGCACTTAATACAACACATAAAAATCCGCAAGAAAAAAATAGAAGTGAAGAATCGTCAAAATACCTTAGGGACGACAGGATCTTGATCTCTTCCTCCTAATCCTGGTTCAGCGTCAGGTGTGGGAATAACGACATCGGCGACCATTAAAAAATCCGGAGCTCCACCGGAGGTGTGAGTACCGAGGATGAGCTTATGGACGGCGAAGGACGGATCTTTCGCGTACGGAATCGGCGTAGAAGGTACCCAGTGAAGAGTTAGAGATGGCCATTCGAGCGGGTGAGAGATCATAAGATCGTAGAGAAAAGGTGTGTTCCTTTTCCAAACAGAGAACTCTTCTTCTACCTGATCCAATCCCGATTCCTCTTTACCTTCTTCTGCCGCCATATCTCTAAGTCTCTCGATCGTAGTTTCTTCTCTCACTCTTCTCTTGAGGTTTTTTCTGGTACACTTTCCCGCCCAAAATGAGATGGAGAGAAGAGAGATAGAGGCGGGTTAATGAGCTTAGCTGGCATTGCTGTTTCAGTTTTAATGAAACAAACGTTACGCCGTTTACTTACACAAAAAAACAGCATACATTCTGTTTCAGTAATGTAAGAACGAGCTGTTGTTACGAAAGTTATATCTGAAAAGGCTGGAAACTGAAGTAGTATTGGGCTTATTGGCTGGGAAGCCCACTAAGGCTCTAATCCCATTTAAACTAATTAGGGATTCAATTTCTTATAAAAGTACGAATTATTGCATATCAATAAAGACAAAAATCTCCAACGTAATGCGATCAATCAAATCCACAATTAATGCCAAAATACTTAAAAGGAGAAAATCCTTGGCTAACGTTAGCACCGAACACACGCTATTGTTGTCTAAACCAACGGACTGAGACAATTAGTGACTAATCAACTAATAATTCCACTTCATTATGCATGGGTAATGATTAAGTTAGCACCGCAAAGCTATCAAAAAATTTGCATTATGGTTGTCGTTATTTGTCATTGCCAACGAACTAATAGATAGGTCCAAGGGTCGGCAACAAACTATGAACTTTCTTCATTCTTTTTGTACCACAATATTTCTTTTCTTCCCTTCCACAATTTATATGGGCAGCTTACCACCATATCCACCATAGTTATGTACATTTAGCTTTTCAATAACTTAGTTGTACATTATTATCTCACAAATTAACTTACTTCTTTCTTTTTGTTAATTCACAAAATTAATTAGTTGCTCGCACTTTTAGCTAAGTCACTGGATTCCAATTATATATTATCAATTTGTTTACGTAGCATATATCAAATATATATAACGTATCAACTCATATCAGTATATCACCATACAATTTGATTACAATTTTTCCTTCTTCTTATCTTTTAATACATACAATGAAATCAACATAAACAAACATCGACATCGGAACAAAAAATATTCCAAGTAAAACAAAAAAAAAAGAAGAAAGAAGAATGAAACGGTAAAGAAAAAGGAATTACATAATAACACAAGCGGAGGCGTTCTCGTCGCTAAACGCCGTAGTATAACGAACCTCGGTGGAGCTAGCACGTGCTAGGCGTGACACGTGTGGATCATACTCGGTGTTTCTAACGTACCCAGTGGGGGCTCTGTTATCGTAGACACCAGAAGCGTAAGGATGAGCCACAACGTCGTAAGGTACGAAAGGGTAAATCTCGGCTCTTTTGCCGGTACGGTGAATGATCCGAGCCACCACTTTGTTCGGCTCAACGTACCCGACCACCGTCACTTTCTGAGCATTTGCCTCGATGCTTACGTCTCTCACTCCTTTCATTCCTTCTAAGGCTCTCCTCACTTTCCTCTCGCATCCTTCACAGTCTATCAAAACCCTCACATCCACCGTCTACTCATATTCAAACCACAACATATATATATTTCTTCTTTATTTATATTTATAAAGATTTGGATTATAGTTAAACGTAATTTTTTGAATGGATATTGAAGTTAGTTAGTTACCTGTAGACTTTTGTGTCTCTTCGAGCTTCCATGAGAGCAATCGAAATATTCGGAGACGTGATCAAGAACACCCATTTCTCTTTTTTTTTTCTGTGGTTTGGCGGAAAAGAAAAAAAAGAGTTGGAAATATTTTCTCAAGTTTTGAGATATATGATATGGTTTGTTATTGTCAACATAAAAATTGAGTTTAAAATGTTGAAAATACGACCTACCAAACTCTATAAGTAGTTTTCGACCATATATACTTTTAGATAATTATATGTTGAATATTTTTGTATCAAAAACTTCAGTGAGTCGTGTGTGAGTTTGACTCTCGAACAGCAAGAAAAGCCAATTATATATGAGGAATATTTATGTGTGTGTTTTTATATATAGAACGACTTTATTCTATATAGGTCGCTTTTGTTATATATGCACACCTCTAGACTCAAGTGTGGCAATTATTAAACTTGACAGATAGATGGAAATCGACATTTGTACTACAAATCATGTTTGCTAATTGAACGAAATAAGTAGTTTTTAAGATATCTCTAGCTAGTCGCAATTATTTCAAATCTGAATAAAAAATTAGATTATTGATGAAAAAATTCGGATCGGAAGTTGGAACCTCTTAAGACATACTGCTCAAGTGCTCATGTTACGTAATGGTGGACCACTCTTGACATGTTTATGCACAAACAAATATAAACGTTTCACGATGGTCATCTGACTCATCTCTTTGTTATGGTTCCAAATAAAATATAAAATAATTAAATGAACGAGCGATATATAAATTTTATTTTGCGGGGCAACCATCCATAACTAATTCACTAGCCTGTGGGGGAGCCTTTCATTTCAAACACTAAAATCTGTCATATACTATATTGTATTCACAAAAATAAAAGTTGGTTAGTTGTTATATAATACAACGTGAACGAGATATGTGGTGATGTAACGAGTTTTGTCATCACAAAGATTCATATAAATTGGAAAATCTGAAACATGTGTCTGTATCGTCAACAACTCATAATTGGTTATGTTTTGTCTCATCTATGTGTAATGTGTTCCTTCATTCCTTGTGTGTTGTTTGCATGTTTTGGTGAAAAGCTTTTATCTCCCGATTTACCTTAATCAGCATTGAAAATAATCTGGACGCACGTTTTGGTCCTCTGGAGTCCATTGAAAAAATCACCTATTTATTATACACACAATTCTCTTTGGGAGCCTAGCTAGTTGGGAACAAATGAGCGAGCAATGAGGACTAAAAAAATAAACAAACCCCAACATTCTGTAGAATTAACTAGTATTCAGACGAGTAAACCATAATAATAATGGGCCTTTATTAGTTAAATTACTGATGGTAAGGCCCAATTATACATAGACTTATCGTTTGTGTTGTATATCGATCGGTCCATTATAAGAATTTTGGGTATTTTTATCGTATGAATTTATAGTATTTTTTAATTATTTACAATTTTATTGAAACAGTTGTAATACTGTTTCCTATTGTTATATATAATTTTGATATTATAAAGAAAATAGAACTCAAAAGATTTACATTACATTTTCAATTTAAGATGGTTAATTTTTAGCTGTTTATTATACCGTGGAATCCACGCTAGATTCTAAAAAAAGATGTGTTTTTTTTTCGCTGGTCCAAAAAAACAAAGTAAAGAAAAGCAATTTTTTCCCCTTAGAAGAAAATTTCAACTTAAATGGTTAACCTTTAAAAAATATTCCTTTACGCATCACTACCTTTCTTTACTAGTCACACACTCACCACCTAGCCACAGCCGTGGTTGTGCGCGTCGGATGAAAATGATAATACATACAATATGATTTAGTTTTTTTTCTCAATATTGTTTCATTATTTTACTTTATTTTTGCATAATGAGACAAAAATAAATAAAATGTTACTAGTAAGAAAGAAAGGTAGAATTAATAGAGTAGGACAAGGAAATGAGGGAGCAGAGGAACTAGGAAGATAAGTCAAATAAATTAAAAGAGAGATTACGTAATTTAAGCAGGAGTATGGAATATTGTGTTGTGTGTGACAGGTCGTGGCCTCGATACTTTAAGCCCTCTCTTGGAAACAAGAACTTTACCTCACAGAGAAAAATATATACGTTACCAACAACAACAACAACTTCTGCTTTCTTTTGTAAAATATTACAACACCGAAAGAAAACTAAACCGGAAAAGTTGGGAATCATTCAATGTGGTCTGTCCGATCATCCGGTTATTGGCACGGATAAAGCTCTCTCACAGAGTCTTTCACCCATCCAAGTCCATCACCTTCACCTCGAAGACAAACACTAAAATCATTATATCTAAAGAAAAACTCTCTTTCCATGTACAAAGTCTACTAGGTCAGCTTTATATTATACGTTACCAAAATGGTCCATTTGATTTAAATCAGTCAATTTGACGAAGAAAACAAATCAATCAAATTTATATATTATTATTATTATAATGTGCTTGATTTGTCTAATTTTTGTCATTCCTCGTGGCATGTAAATGTCGTATCAGAACGGTCTTTCACGTTATACTCGGCCGGCTTTTTTTTATAAACAATGAATAATACGCTTTTAACTAAAAGTCATTTTGGTCTTCAAAGAAATGTAAGAACCGAAGAAGACATCGAGTTTTGTATCATATTGAGAAAGGTACCTTACAATTAATATGATGATGATCCTGTTTCATAGTCAAAGTTGCACGAGAAAGAAATTGTTGGAAATTTTTAATTTAAGTTACTTTCTTCTCTTTTCTTTTCTTTTGGTCCAAGGTGAAAATCTTTATCTGTTAAATGAATCTCCTTTGTCCTTTCCTCTATTTTTATTTTTATTTTTTATCAAGAAACCAAAATCCAAAATAATGTTTACTGTAAAGAAAAGAGGAAATAACAATGCTTTGCCTTTTGTCCATTTTGGTTGAGTTTTCTCGAGAACAGAAGAGAAAGTGAAAGAGAAAAATAAAAATAAAGAGAAAGAACAGTTCACATGAGTTTCGTGTGTCGGTGTCCATCGTAGACTGTGACACGAAGCTGACACCTTTGCATGGCCACGGGAAACCACCGGCTCCCCCACTCTCTTATAACCCTAATCATCTTTTTTTTTCTTGAGTTATCACTTTTTTAATCCTATTTTCTTATAATATTTTACAAAACAAATTCAGCGGCTTTTAAAATCAAGAAAATCTTTAGTTAACTGGTTTAATTTGTATCGTCAACTTTCTTTGTAAATTGGTTTTGAATATGTCATTTGTGAAAGAGTTATTGTATTTTGTTTTGAGGCATTTATAGACGTGGACAATATAGACAGATTCGGATATCATTTAAATCAGTTGGAACGATGGACCATGTGTTTACAACATATGCGACAATGCAGGATCTGTAATGCAGTCAATGATACCTTATATATGCAGGCATCGGTGAAATATATACTATTTATTTTGTTGTCCATATATCATACAACCTGGGAACTCGAACCCGAGTATTGTATATTATATATTTATATGGTATATAGTATTATACACGTAACCTATAACGTACGTCTAAATGTAATGTACATACTATATGGTAGTATGGTACCCCAATCCACATGCCGTAATGTAATACTTTATGGCTTTGAATTCGTTTGGTGATGTCCGAACGTACCGAACGCCTATAGCAAACGACCATTGGCGACAAGCGCGGGCCAACGCTTATAATATCGCCTGCATGTGGACGTAATAGCTGATAATGATACACAATTCTTTTCGAACTGTATATTAAATTCTTAGAAAATATATTAAAAATATTCATAAAGTCTACATATACGATATGTAAGCCTATGATAATGAAGGGAAAATCATAGAGCAACTATATAGCAGTTGTACGGGGTAAGCATAAGACAAGCTAGGCAAAGTGGCAAATACACAAACCTTTGCTTGATCCTTTGTGTTTCAAAAAAGTACAATACCAACAGTCCCGAATAGACTAATACCAATAGTTACGGACTTACGGTCCCTTTAATTATTAAGTGGTTGATACGTTTTTAACGCAAACCCTATAATATTAATCATTGCATGTTACCTCAAAGATATATTATCGCATGTCACAACATTTTAGTCAAAACTATATTGTTACTTGACTGCAAACGTTTCAACAGGATATGTAGAATTCATCTTTGAAACTTTTACCGAAATGTTAAATTATTTATCATTATAAAAACAACGAAAACATCAGTTATGTTTGTATTATTTTTAGTTTAATATTCTTTGCTATAGAACATAACAAAATATTCCAGTATTTAAAAGGTTCTTCAACATTACCCAGTTTTAGTGAAAGGGTCGTCGCTTTAGTACAAGTATTAATTCATAATTTAGCGTGAAACCCAAGTCATAAATTTAAAATATACAGCAGTATAATAATTTCAAATTCGGAAACATGGTCTCGGGTTAGTTTGAGATTAAGTCATTAAATGGTCTGAAATTGGACCGTTCGACAAAAACGGGAACTGGTTGAAAACGAGAGTGGTGTGTATGCGTGTGCGACGATTTGATCGAACGCGATGTAAGGCTTTTTAATACACGCATGCTTTTACATTATGCAACCGCAACACGCTCTTCTTTTTTTTAATTATAAGTTTATAACAGTAAACACGGTGGATTGAGTAAAAGTTACGAGCTTAGTTTACATATTTAATTCAGGAGGAAACCGAAATAAAATAAAAATTTGTAGGGGTCGGTGTCGTTTTGTGCAGGTTTTTCAAAAAGTAAAATTAGGTTAATGTCTCTGTTTTCACCATAAAACACGAAGTGTTCGAGAAACTTTTCTTTGCTAAGATGGATTAGATAATCGAGAACCCCCTGATTTAAAGTGATTTACGACCACTTTGTTGTAATTTTCCTATAACGTCAATAGATATCAATTTACATCTGACTAAACTAAATCAAAGATAACATAAAAGAAAATATTAAATTTATATCATAATGATGTATTTCGTGAAATAAAGTAATTTGTTCGTACGAACGAAAAGAAGTAAAACGACTTATTATGTAAGTCAGAATAATTAAAGGAGACTATTGATGCTCAGCCGCACATTTGCAACAGCGATGGGATGGAATTGCGATTGAAGCTAACTACTTCTCCAAAACATGTGTTACATACATATGCTCTCTCGTGGCTGAATCTTTTTTGGTTGTTTGAGTGATTGTAACACATGTTTATATAGTTTTCGTGTGATGGCTTTCAACTTTGTCACTGATTAGTCTTATCTTTTGAAATTATTAAGCGGTGGTAGGTAGCCTTTTAAGATCCTAAAGCTTATAAAATTTATACTGTTCCGTATATATGTACGTGAACATAAGCAGAATACAGCCCGATGCTTTGAGATTAGCTAGCGGGGCAGTCCATATCGTTCAAAGGGTCTTGCATCACGTGTACTTTGTTTGTCACCAATTAATGTAACGTTATAAGAAAGTGGGATTAGCGTGACTCTCTATTGCTAAGTACGCATTGGGTTATGGATATGAGGAAGATGCAATGCATCGGAAACGTGTCGGTAGATACGAGAGGTGGGATTTTGGGGCTTTTTTGTTGTGTATTATATATGTCCATTGCTTCTTTAGTTATATATATATTTTTATATATCTCAGAGTAGTACAATTTTATATTTTTTGAGGGGGAAACAAAGCAACACATCCACCTCCCAAGAAACAGGCGACACACACTCGAATGATAACAATAATAGCCAACAAGTGTCTCTAAGTCATCCAATATCTCTATAGCATATATAATAAAAATGAATAATACTTATATGAGATAGACACATATATAATAGTTGAAAAATATCACATGGTTTGCACCATTCCTCTAGCATGTATTATGTCATATAGTTCATAAATATGGACCCTTCTCTCCATCTTTTCTTTTCTTAACGTTTAAAAGCCAATCCATTGTAATAAACAAATCGAAAATTTGAGAAAATACATTTAACACAACCATATTTTGCATTTTCTTTACGTGCTATCTATTTTGCGAGCCCTTTTTGTTACATGTTGTGTTGGAACATGCGGTAGCGGTAACAAAAGATTATGGGCATGCATATTAATCTCGCATCTCGATTAGGTTGCTTTGGTATATTATACAGGGTATTGACTGAAACAAATGGAACCTTAGATCACATTTTAAGCTTACTCAATAATATCTAGTAAATGACATGATATATACATAGTAGGTTTTTATTTTGCTCCATTTTATGATTTCCCAATACATGTGAAGTTAAAAGTATAATAAGTAGATCAAGTAAGTATATGCACAACTATCAACAAAATCATAATGATAAAGTGTGTGACTACAACGGGTAGAGTATTGCGGCAAAGATTAATAAAAGCACACTTATGATATGGAACTTAATCAAATTTGTAGTATATAACTCTGCACGTACATTACTAATTTCTCAATGATTTGCGACGGATACCTATAACTATAAGGTAGATTAAAGAAAAAAATCATATAGTCAAATTTGTGATTCCCTTCTTAAGCCATACTTGACCAAAATGTTTTTAGTAGTCAACGAAAGCATTTTGGATTAGATGATTCCAATGACTAATAATGGATTTAAATCTACCCGTTTTAATTAATCTTAGTAAAACAAACATTTTTATAAAAGTCAAAATGTCTCTGAAATTTTCTATATTGATTTTATACACTTCCTTGAAAACTGCAAAGACGAATCCAGATAAAAATGAAAGTTATACTATCATATCTTAAGATATTAATAAATATGCTATGATAATCTTAATATATTAAATATACAGCAATTTTTTAAAAAAATTCTAGAAAGAAATATGTCTATGTTTGTTTGTATATATATCAATTAAAAGTCAGAATAATGAGCTGTAAATTTACAATATGTAATTTTATAATTTTGTCTTTTCCTAATTTTGTTTCTTGTGCAAATCTAAATTTAAGCCTATGGTTGTGGATAACAACAATGTAAAAAAAAAAGAAACTTAGCATAAATGAATTTGTAACAATGAGTGTAATATGGTTGATGTGTTTTTCCTTATAATGGCGTTACCTTTTCTGGAACAAAATAAATGGGAAAATCATCCATTGTTTGACTAAGAAAACAAATTACAAATAAATAAACTTTCATAATTAGAAAAAGACCAAAAAAGTGGTAAAAAATAGACCAAAAACATCAAATAATTCAGGCGTTCCAGATGACTCAACTGACCAATTCAGAGTAAACAATAAATTTTAAAATCAGACAAAAATAAGAAGTAAATTTTTATTTTTCTTTAAGAAAAAAGCAAAAACCAAGAAAAAAGAAATAAATCTCTGAGGTCCTGCCATCATAATTCCACTTGGACTTTGTATATTTTTACCTTTCACATTTTCGAAAAAGCCGAAAAGAACAATAAAAAATAAATAAAAACAAGAGTACTAAATAAAAGACAAAACGGCTCTGGCAAAATCTCTGACCTTGGAAAGATAAAAATAAATAAAAAGATAGTTCAGTCACATAATCAGCATGTGTACGTCGTTTCTTTAGTGCCTAATATTAAACTTAAGCATCTCTCTCTCTGTATATATATTAAAATGTCAGATCAGCATTAAGGAGAAGACTAGTATCCCCCAACAAAAGCCTCTCTCTCTCTCTCTCTATTCAACTTTTATCAGTTACTTTACTCCGTTCATCTTTTTTTTCTTTTCTCTCTTCTATTCTCATCATCAATACAAAACTCGACAGATATATATACTATTGTGCAGAGGTTACATGCATTGTATATTTTTATTTCCCGAGACACAAACGGATCAGAGCCCATTTCAGATTCGGTTTCCTGCTTCTTTGATTCCTCTTTATTAATCACCCAACATCGTTTCTTCTTCTTCTTCTTCTTCTCCTCTCCATCCCTTTCTCTTTCTGCTCTTGTTCATCGGAGCAAAAACTAAAATCAAAGCTTGAAGCTTTTTTACTCTGTGGGGATTAAAGAGATGGCTATTCAAGCGCAGTTGAACTACAACGCTACGAACGCTAACCAAACCGGGTTTGGTGCTTCTGAGTTTTCTTTGATCAACAACAATGGCGGAATCGGAATCCGGAACGGAAACGATTTGTCTTATCTCAATATTCTCCAGTCGCAGAAAGATTTCAACCAGCAAGCTCTGTTTCATCATCAGCATCAGCCGCAACAGCCTCGTTCTCAGAACCTTTTAGCCGCTCATATGGAGAAACAGAGACAAGAGATCGATCAGTTCATCAGGATACAGGTTTGTTATTCGTAATCGAAAACTCATTTAACGTCGTAAAGATTCGATTTTGGAATCATGGGCACTGATAAAAATTGAAGTCTTTTTTGTTGTTATTGAAACAGAACGAGAGGCTGAGATATGTGATGCAAGAACAGAGGAAGCAAGAGATGGAGATGATCTTAAGGAAAATGGAAAGCAAAGCTTTGGTTTTGATGAGTCAGAAGGAAGAGGAAATGTCGAAAGCATTGAGCAAGAACATGGAACTCGAAGATCTGTTGAGGAAGATGGAAATGGAGAATCAGACGTGGCAGAGAATGGCTCGTGAGAACGAGGCAGTGGTGCAAACGCTCAACTCAACGCTCGAACAGGTTCGTGAGAGAGCCGCAGCGTGTTTCGACGCCGATGCAGCGGTGGAGGCGGAGGACGAAGGGTCTTTCTGCGGCGGAGAAGGCGGCGGAGATAGTTTCCCGGCGAAGAAGATGATGACGAGTGGGTGTTGCTGCAATTGTGGGTCTAACGGAGTGACGAGAGTTCTGTTTCTGCCGTGTAGGCATCTCTGTTGCTGCACAGATTGCGAGGAAGGGCTTGCTCGTTGTCCGATCTGTAACACCCCCAAGAAAAACAGAATCGAAGCCTTTGTTCTCTAGGATTCTCTTTTGAAATTTTCCCGAGAAAATTTGGTAAAAAAAACGTAGAAGAAAGTGCCTAGTTTTGTATTCCGGTGAACGGAGAGTTTTTTACTCCGGGTAGATGACGTGGCAGGGTAATATTTTTTGGTATTTTCCGGGAAAATTTAGGGGGTCAAAAGGAAAAAGTAAGATTAGGCAATTTAGAATAGGAAAAAAAGTTATCAAGAAAGTAAATTCTAATTAGGTTTTTTTTTCTTTGGTCTTTTTTTTCTTTTCCATCAATGGGAAAAAAAGAACCCAGCTGGATTTATGAACATAATCCATATTTTCCTTATCTCTAATGAATTTTTTGGATATAAGTTTGACTTTTACTATTATTTCTATTTCATGAAAGTTAATTATTTTCCAAAAAATTCAGTAACAAAGATCAACACAGTATTTGATGATTAGTTTTCTAAAAAACATAAACACTTCCTAAATCTCTATGCGCACAATAATTAGAAAGAAAGACTAATGTTAAATCATACAAATATACATCTTTTTCACTCAAATATAAACAAATAATAATGTCAATGTATATAAATAAATATGTCTCTTTGATTTACATTTGAATTAGCTAATAATACATAGAAAAAGGGGAGCCAAAGTTGAAGAAAAATAGAGAAAGCAAAGGAGTAATAATAATATAATAAATGGGTTTTGGATGTTGCAAAAGAAATAGAGAAAAGAGGTGGGAGTAGAGTCCCGAAGACACGCGTATTGGAATGGAGAAAGCTGCAAAGGGTGGTGGTGGTATCATCGGGTTGCTCAACAATCAATAACAAGTACAGTGACAAGAGGCGCAGCACAATAACTATTACTTCTCCACCATTTTAAAAAAAATTATGAATCGAAAGAGGAGAATCAGAGTTTGGCCTGCCTGCCATAGAGGATTGTGAACTCTCTCTCTCTCTCTCTCTCTCTCTCGCACTTTCCTAAACAGAGAAACATGTTTCATTGAACACTTGTGAGCCCTTCCTTCGTTTTATGGATTCCTCGATCTCTGTTTCGACAGATCTCTGCTACCCCCTGGGTTTCCTAGACACTCACCCTAATGCCTACAAATACTATACTACTTGTAGCATCTAATATTATTATTAGATCGTATTATGTCCTCCTTCAATTTGTCAATAAATATATAAATCAACCCAATAAGATGTAAAAAACTCTGTGATTTGTGATATTGGTTACTAGGACGAGTCCTAAGGAATTTATTTGAATGGAATTTGTATCTTATCTACTACTATTAACGGAAACAGAATCTTTATAATTAACTTTTACAAAATTCAGTTGAAATAAAGTATAGAATTGTTATATGAACATAAAGACTTGGTCCTATGGAATATGGATAGAGAGTAATTAGCGTTGCACGATGTTTCAGGTCATTATTATATCTAATCTACTATTAGAGTTTTTTAGTTTTACGGATTTACGTCTAGTAGAGATACAAATTAAATTAGCGTTACCTATTTTGTTGACAAACTTTAGAAAATGAGTATGTATAAAGAGCAAAGCTCAGAGAAACAAGAATTGGGTAAGGGTAATCTTACGTGGATTACGGATGGACACATGGGCCGGCCCATTTGTCCCCACAAGTCCTAGGCCCGGAGTTGAAGATGGGACCGTTTAATAGATTGCCCAACTATAGATCATCGTAAACGACGAGAGAAGTTTGGAACTGATACTTCAAGTATGTATGGCAAAAGTACATATACACCATCATTGCTCAATTTGCTAATGGTAGAATAGATATGGAATTAAAACGCAAACACTCATAAAGTAGGTCTACATGTAAATCACCCAAAAAAAACTTCATTTTTGTTATACTACCTAAGTGATTTGATTATCAGAATCAAATACATGTCCCAGTTTGGGATCGATTATTTTCGATCTTACCTTAGCTAATTTTGATGTGTTATATGGTATTTGTTTATTTCGTAAATTTTCACAAGAGGTAGAGTTGGTGAAGTCTCTGAACACATGTTGTTTGTTTCTCGTCTCAACAAGATAATAGTTGTAAATCTAAATGACATGTGCGCCACTGCCCGTGCTCTGTAGAAATGGGGAATATCTTGGAAAATATAAAATAATTGAGGTATTGTTTTGCAATTATCCAAAACGTTGTTGTTAGATTGTTTATTATTTTGCTTACGTATTTCATATTTAGCCACGTAGATGCATTTGTAATCTCATAAAACAATTGATTCAATATAAAAAATAAATATATATTGCATCGCAGACTTAATCAAAACAAACTTGTTACTGCATCTTTTGAATGATATAATAATATTTTGGAGAAGGAAGGAAAAAAGAAAACAAATTGGATAATGAAAATGAAACTTGGGAAATTAGGAAATGTAGGTAGGTAATAGTATTAACGTGGATGCGTCGTGGATTCCATATCTCTTACATGTTGCTTTTACGTTTCTTTTCTTTTTTTTTTTTGTTAGGCGAAAGATTTGACATTTCCAAACCAAATACAGTATACAGTATTCTTTTTATCATTTCATTGATAGGCCATTCTTACTATACAAAAGTACTACTAGTTTACATATAGATTCGATGGAACAAGACCCATACCACGGGTTTTTTGGACCTTACTTATTACACACATACGTTCGATCATTGATTTCACACAAAACTCTCTTTATTTATATTAAGGAAAGCTCGATCTAACTATGACATAGTTTATAAAGTTCATTTGTTTTGTCTCATTGCTAATTCACGTAAGAATATTAGTCTATTCGGCTTTTTTACCTAACCAAAAACAAAAACTTTTACCTAACCATTATCATATATATAGTCCCCCAATGGAATTTGAAAATTATGCATTTTTATTTAATTAAAATCTGAAACTCACCATTTCATATAGTTAAGTGTACTAATTAAAAGATTAATCATCGGTTTTGAATTACTAAAATATGGATTTTTGAAACGTAATCCATAGTCCATAGTTTCACACAACTGTTATTCTTTAAACAACAGTAATTATCATAGGAGATCCCTATTATGTATAATCATCGAGTATCACAACACTTAATTAATTAATATTAGCATTTATTATTAATTTTTTATCTGAAGAAATTATTTAAAACTGAAAAATTAAATTAAAAAATCCTTTTTGAAAAATTCGTATATCCTTTAAAGACAGAGAAGCGCACGTACGTAGTCTCTTCTCTCTTCAGTTTTGAGACTCTCTCTCTTTAGCCTCCACCGAGAGAGAGAAGGTAGACGGCGCCATGGAAAGGCTTCTGCAACCTTCTTCTTCTTCTTCCAAATTGGTTCCTTCAAGGACGACTTCTCCTTTCCTTCCTCGTCTCCGCTCATCGACTCTGGGCTTTGTCTCATCTCACCGTCCCGAGTCACGCCGACTCAGCTCGATTTCCTGCAACAGTTTCCAGAACCCATCGGCGTATATGCCTCTAGGATCTAATAAGACTAACAATTCCTTCAATGGCTCTCCCAAATCGGAAGAATCGAGGAAACCTAATCCTGGGTTTCTCCAACGGATCGTCACGACGGCTTCTCAGCAGCGAAAGGTATATAGTTTCGCGTTTTGGTCAGTGGAATTGAGAAATTAGGTTGATGAGTGTTTACCTCGATGCTTACTAAATGTTTCAGTTTCCGTATGGTTCTGGGGGAGAGCTTCGCTTACATTAGATTTGGGGTTTATTGGGTGTTTATTTGATTCAGGAAACGTTTGATTTTTTTTGTATATAAATAGAAGATTCCAAGAATTACTGAAAAGCTCCAATTTTGTTGGGTTATATGTTGCTATCCATCAGTTTCAGGAATCACGGAATCAGGTTCTCTTAGTTTTAGGATTCGTGAGCTAATGCATTATTGTTGACTTTGAACTTTGCTTTTTTCTTTTTTTTTGTTAGATAAGAATTGGTATTCCTTAGTTTCAAGCTCCAGACTTGTTTGAAGTTTGATCATTTTGCTCTTTTGACATTAGAACTTGTATATGGTGAATCCAAAGCAAGAATCTTTTTGGTTAGGGCATGTGTTAACCCCTCTCTGAACTTATAAGATCTGTCTGGGTGTTTACATTGTGCTTCTTTGCTGTCTATTATGTAGCCTCATGGGTGTTTGCCAGATCTATAAAAATCTATGTTTCTTTGCAGACATTATCTTCTGGAACGGTCATACTAATCTCTGCAGTAGCTGCGCTTTTGCTTAACCCGCTTCTTGCACCACCTGCTTTCGCTAGCTTCCAAACCGCAGCTAAAACAGGTTGGCTAACCAGTGCCTGGACCGGTTTCCTCGCTGGTTGCTTGCACACGCTATCAGGACCCGATCACCTTGCTGCTTTAGCTCCACTTTCAATCGGACGCAGCAAAATGGAAAGTGCTGCTGTTGGAGCTCTTTGGGGATGTGGGCACGACGCTGGTCAAGTCATCTTTGGTTTACTGTTTCTGCTACTTAAAGACCGGCTTCACATTGAGGTATTACAAACCTGGGGTACAAGAATTGTGGGACTGACACTTGTCATCATTGGTGCTATGGGAATCAAAGAAGCTTCCGAGATTCCAGAACCTTGTGTCGCCTTGGAAACCGACATCAGCATGGTATCAACAGAGAAAGAGGCCTTACCAACGCCCAAAAAGAAGAAGATCGGGTTTGCTACATTTGCAACTGGAGTGGTTCACGGGTTGCAACCGGATGCTCTGATGATTGTTTTGCCTGCATTGGCTCTGCCATCTCGGTTAGCAGGGTCTGCATTTCTGATCATGTTTCTGGTTGGGACAGTTATCGCAATGGGAAGTTACACAGCGTTTATTGGGTCTTGTAGTGAGGCATTGAAAGAGAAGGTTCCAAGGATCACAGAGAAACTAACTTGGGCTTCATCTCTTGTGGCTATTGGTCTTGGACTGGGAATTGTCATCAGCCCTTTCTTTGGTTTTAGCCTCTACTGAGAAAGTAAGAGCTTCTTCTTCAGATAGACGAGAGAAGTTGATATCTTTGTAGCTCTATAGAAGAAAAGAGAGTTTTTTTTTTTTTTGGTTCATTCAATTTACTAATGCTTGTACGAACAAAACCTCGTAATCCTTGCTTCTGAAACTCCCTCTCGACGAAAACCATTTCGTGATTCTTTTTCTTTTTCACTTGATTTTAAGATAAGTTTGGCTTTGGTTCTTAGTGATCGAACCATTTGCATGTAACCATAATTTGTAATATCAATGTATTCTTTATCAAATTATGAATGTATTCCTGCCAACTAACATCACGGTCTCAAGACTTTTAGACATTCTCTTTTTAGCAAAGGCAAAATCTTTGGTCAATAAGTAATATGGAATTCCTTCACAGATATGATTATCTTCTTGTTTATATCATTTGAACAGAGATTTTTCAAACCAAAAATGTCAAAACCGCCAAGTTCAAATCCAATATTGTCAGATTATCACACATTCAACAACCAAATCTGTAGACTCTCAAGACCCCACGCATACTACAGCGACGGTAATTGTAATTCTCTAACACCCACACATAAGATCCTACAGCCTTAATTGTCCTTTTCGTTTCATACTTGCAATGCCCTTTCGTCCAGAACATGCGTACGAAAAACACGTCTCCGTCGACAGCTCTTACGTCCAAGTGTAATAAACCTTTCTTGTTAGTATATAGGAATGTACTAGACATGGATCACCATCGTTCGAGGAAAATAAAAGCTTTCATCATATGACACCGATTATAAATCTTCAATGTATAATGTATTTATTTTGATAAAACAAGAGACAAAACTAAGGTCACAACAACACAGAAGGTTTTTTGGTCTTTTAAACAGATACTATTACAAACCATAGCACATATAAGATCCACATGATGAAGATTTGTATTATCTCTTCCCATCTTTTTTTTCATTCTTCTCTGCTAATTAGAACCACACAAACAGCCAATCAATAATCTTTCATTGCCATTCACTCATTTTAGATGCTTGGTCTCACGTTCAGACGACTCGCCAGCTTCTGTCCCAGAGACTTATCAGCCTGTTTCACACATTTTTAACCCAATCAGTGTCAAAAAAACATGTTTTACAACTTGACAAACTTTCAACTGCCGAGACAATGACAGTAGCTGAGATTAAGAATTCAGACCTGTGACCAGTAAGAGATCCAGATACTGCGGATTTCGTGTGTGATGCGAGGGTCGGATAGGGCTTCAATCCATCTACGGATGAATCGTTCTTGCCTGAAGTTGAAATCAAACCGTAAAACATTAAGAACACATATGTTTCTTTTATGCATTATCATAAGAACAAGAAAAACAATTGGTACCTCTCTGGTGGGAAGGAACGGTATCTCTCTCCAGGCTCCTTGAAGTTGTTCTCTTTCTCAATAACGCACTGCAAACACAGATTTCAAACGTTTAGACCATATCTTTCTTACGTAAACCAAGGAGAACAAAAACAGAGGAAAACAGGGTTTTGACTACTTACCCTCTCACGTTTTCCAGAGCAGACTGCTGGAGGAGTTGGATACTTCTCAGCATGACGAACCGGATCATACCTGGACGGGAAGTAGTTGACCTGTAAACAAAAGCTTCTTGTAAGACTAACGATATTCTAGCTTCAAGTTCGATACAAAGATAACTAATATTGTTATATCAAGTACCTCTTCATCCCTGTGCATGAAATTCATGAACCCCTCATGGTGGTTGTTGTGGTGAGCGCATTTTGGGGCATTAACTGGTAGCTGGAGGTAGTTTGGTCCAAGACGGTGTCTCTGAGTGTCAGCGTAGGAGAAGACACGGGTTTGAAGAAGCTTATCGTCCGAGTAGTGGATCCCGGGGACAATAATTGCAGGGCAGAAGGCAAGTTGCTCATTCTCTGCAAAGAAGTTGTCAATGTTCTTGTTCAACACCATACGTCCAACTGGTTGGAGAGGCAAGATATCCTCAGGCCAGGTCTTGGTCACATCGAGCGGGTCAAAGTCGAACTTGTCTTCATCAGCTGGATCAATGATTTGGATAAAGAGCTTCCACTCAGGGTAGTTTCCAGCAGCGATAGAGTCATACAAGTCCTGAGTCGCGTGACTGTGGTTGGTTCCTCCAACACGAATAGCATCTTCTTCCAAAAGGGATTTGACTCCACAGGTTGGTTTCCAGTGGAACTTCACGTAGTGAGCTTTACCAGCTTTGTTGATCAACATGTATGTGTTGACACCGGAACCATCCATGTGCCTGTAATCTTGTGGGATACCAATATCATCAAAGAGGAAAGTGAACATGTTCAAGCTTTCAGGGTGGTGAGAGAAGAAGTCAAGGATTCTCCAGTTCTCTTGGATGTGAGATTTGGGGTTTGGCTTAAGGGCGTGGACCATGTCAGGGAACTTCATCCCATCGCGGATGAAGAAGACAGGCATGTTGTTTCCAACAAGGTCAAAGTTTCCCTGTTCACAGATGATGATCATTTCCTCAGCACATATGATGAAACAAGATCCTGTTGTAGTTGCTAACATTAATACAAGCAATGTTTGAAACTACAAGGAGACTGACCTCTCTGGTGTAGAACTTGACTGCAAAACCACGAGGGTCTCTCAAAGTCTCGGGACTACCACGCTCATGGATAACAGTAGAGAACCGGACAATGACTGGAGTCTGGACACCAGGAGCTCGGAGGAAGTCAGCACAAGTGAGGTTAGATATATCATGAGTGACCTCAAAAAAACCTTTAGCACTGGCTCCTCTGGCATGAACCACACGCTCTGGGATCCGCTCCCTGTCGAAGTTGGCAAGCTTCTCAACAAGATGGTAATCCTCAAGAAGGATAGGACCTGCCAAAACAGTCCAATACAAATCATGAGTGTAAGACTAACATTTACAGAGTAAACTTAGGTTAACTATGTGAAACATAAAGAGTAAGATAGATACCTCTGGGTCCAACGGTCATGGAGGAGTTGTTGTTCCATACAGGAGCACCAGAGTTGGTGGTGAAGAAGGGAGAGTTGTAAGAACTTGCTGGACGATACTGCATCATCATTATAACCATCCATGATTAATCAATTATTCAGTTGAAAAAGAAATCAAACTCATCAATTAAAAAAAAAAAAAAACTCAATGAACATAAAGTCAAACTCCAGCAAAAGCCACGAGTAAGAAAGGCATACGATCTTGGAGAAATCAATATAGAGCAATGGAAGACTCAAGTGTACATTCGCATATACGAATTAGATTCAATAGATTCGAGTAGAAAAAGGTCAAAACTTTGACATAAAAATCGGAATCGAGACCAATCGAACAGTTGTAGAGATGTTGGAAAAGAAAAAAGAAACTTGGGAGTGCAACAACAAAGCATAATAACAACGTTTCAATCCTAGTTTTGACGGCGAAATACAAAACTCAAAGAGGTAAAGAAGAGAGAAAGCAAAGAAGGGTTGTTTACCTTGTACGGATCCATAGTTGATGTGAAGAGAGAGTTTGAGAGAGATTTCACAAAACGAGGAGATAGATGAAGAAGAAGATGATTATTATTATATTTGCTTGCCTATTTATAAAATGGCGTGTGCATTACTTCCTTTTTGCGCTTTTAAGTTTTTTTTTTCCCCTTTTTTTTTATTTTTATTTTATTTTGGGGGGAATTTTTAAAGGTTATCGTTTTTTCTTTTTCTTTTTTTTTTTTGCTGATAAATACTTTGGGGAATACCGAATAATTATTGTGGCGGTAGATAATTCAGGAAACGTCAAGTATTATTTATGATCACAGGTTTTTTCTTAACCCAACCACGGTTTACCTACTATTTATTTAAATCAGAATAAATATTTTTAAATATTTTGTTGTACGAATATTTCATTTATAATTGAGACAAAATATTTTAAACCGAATACTTATAGCTTAGCTAGGTGGGAGTGGGATAAATAATGATGATGACACACATAATTAAATATACTTTTTTTAGTCAATATCGCATTTTCAAATTTTCACATAATCTTAATTTTACTTAAATAAAGTCAACTCTACAAAACAGAAGAAAAGCTATATGAAAGAAATTCTAAACGACTCGTAATATATGAACAAAAGATGAACTCATGGGGATTGTTTCTTTCTTTGGGTCCTGTAATTTGTACCATTTACATATTTAATTGAATACGCTAAACCCAATTTACGTGTGGTTTAGTATGACTTGACCGTACTAGTATGTAATAAGAGCAACACCTTAATTCAAACTCGTGACAATTTATTAATCCAGACGATAAAACTATACATACATTGTCATCCAAATTCAGGTTCCCGAGAACTGAAGATAAAGCAGAACCCACGATTGCGATATTGTCAAAATATATTATATATTTGTATAATTTATAATAGCTTTTTTATATGGTAATAAGAGCAATAGAAAGAGGAAGACAAAGGAAATAAATATATATATTTGAAATACGGAATAAATGAGGACGTCACGTAGTTTGTGGAGGTTCCTTACTTCCTTATCCATGTTATTTTCATATTTTGGCCTTGTTGTTAGCAAAACATTTTATTATTATAAGTGGTTTAGTATGGTTTAGGGTGACGTGGATGCTTTGTTGGATTTCCACGTGTAATGAAGATAATGTGAACGCTTCACGAAGGAAGAATATGCCTTTTGAATTGATTATTACTGCTAGTACTACAAATACTTGGTTTTTGTTTCTTGTCCCTTGGGAGATGTGTCGAGATGAGATTTATCATGTTCCGTTTGGGCCCCCACCTTGGAACCTTCTGGCTCTCTCAGTAGTTTTTATAGGTCATCTGATTCATTGTTGATTTTGGAATTTGAGTTCTGACTATCTATTGAAAATTTGGGAATCGTGATTCGTAAAGGTCACACCAAGCAAGCGAAATCATACACATGGACATGGTACTGGCTTTACCCGAACTCTATTGGTTGGTGGTTTATCATAACTTATAACGAAGCCAACAAGTACGCACAAACCCCAAACAAAAAAAACAAAAAAAAGATGTAAAAATGGCCATAAAGCCCAACAGATATTCAAGGGACGACCCATGCACATTTTAAGCCCGTGATTTTTGTACGATCAGCCAATAGACATGCTTAAAAATTAAAACATAAGTTTTCGAAATATTATCAAACGGGCCGAACAAGAAGGACTTATTTGAACCCACTATTCATAGAACTATAAAAGCCCAAATAATACTATAAAATGAAATACCGGTTAATACAACCGGACAGCAGCAGCAAAGCAAATGTGTGGCTAAAACCCAACTCTTATAATAATATCATAATTCAATTCAGTTTAAATATTAGCCCAAGCTGCCTGTGTTGTTAACTTAAAACAAATCCTCACAAAAAACGTGCTAAGACATAACATCTAATTTTTAAATATTGTCCATATGTACTACTATCTCTCTGAACTGAAAACTTAAAACGCAGATGCAATAAGAAGGTACCGTTCAGAAGGATGTTTTACGTTTTCTTTAATGTGAAAATGTTTATTAATGAATATATCCCAAGCTAATTCAGTACATTAACATAAACACGTTAGCAGACCAGAGGGTCCATATGTACACAAAATAAACGCATTCACTACTAATTACTGTACTAATTATAAAGTGCTTTAATCAAAGCACGTTTGTGTGTAGGCAATGGCATGATTGAACCATAAAGCATCGATAAGTACTCCCACAGTCACAGTTATACGATTTTTATAAAAGTTACTTAGGTTAAACTAACCGTTGGATAGAGAGAAGAGAATCAAATAATTAAAAAATAAAATAAAATCGGAATAACAAAAGAGGACCATCTTTTTGTTTTTTTGTAATTTTTTTAGGGGTCGGATAAAGACAGGATGTTGTGGATCGTTCTAGCCGTTACCAGATACGGAACACGTGGCGTGAGCTGTATGGATTAATATGAAGAGATCTGACCTGTCTTCTTGCCCAACTGATGTGGATACAATGACGTGGATTGATTGCCCTTTCTGTTATGTCATTTTAATTTCTCCTCTCTGTGGACTATACTTATTAAAAATCACTTATTTAATTATCAAAGCTAATTGAAGCTCGCTAGCTAATTATTTAAAGAATAATATCATAATCAAGGATCGATAGGCAGCAAAATCATATAAAAGATATGATGGTTTGTATCATTCTCACATGCATTGATTTCGGGTGAACTCCAAAGTACTATTATTATCCAACCTCTTCTGCACTACGAAGATTTTAATCAGTGGAATATATATATATTAGATGGTCCAGCACTATCCAGTTTTTATTCTTTTGTTTCCAAACTGTGTATATACAGTATGTGTGTGTTTTTTATATTAGAACAAAGGTGAGAAACTCAAAAAACTTTTATTATTACATGCATTGTCACTTTGAATTTGGTAAATGGAATTGTTTACTAAAAAACTAGGGTAAACAATATCACTTTGTTGACCAAAAAAAAAAAAAACAATATCACTTTATTTTGGAAACCGCATGAACGTTCCATCTCACTCCGTGTTTAGTTTTCAAGAAGGTGAATTCGAATTGGAATGCCAAATGTGTGTATTATTGGTTTTAGACTTTTAGTATTTTGCATTTTTTCTAATTTAAGTTTACCTAATGTTCCAAATATAATTATGTTATATACTGAAAACGCCTATTATTTATGGAGAAAGAGGAAAACAATCATCATTTTCTCTATGATTGCACATCAACCTGGCAATTTCATCCACCAAAGGACAGCATAATTTCAAATCAAATATTTTTCTTTTTGCCGTAGTTTACTCGAATGAGGAATACTAAATTTTTCAGTGGGTCTAGTTAATTAGTAAATAAGGAGTTATTCCATTTCATAATTCTATAGTGTTACATTTTGCGTAAAAGTTAAGTACTAATAATTGTATTACACCAAAGTGATAAAGTAATAATCGGCTAGGAACATTATCAAGGAAAAAAAAAAGGTGATTAGGGACATTCGGATAAGGACAAATGTCATATTAACGTAATACAAAACTCGAAAGCAAAAGAGTAGACTATGATGGTCTGCTTTAGATATATAATAGTAATAATAATTTAAATAAACACACTCATAAGTCATAACTACGGGTTAGCACTTCGTATTATCCGTTAGTGTCCCCTAAGTCTTGCATTAAGGATTTGTATTAATGCAGTCCTCAACTTTGTGGCCGATACGATACCAAAAAACATTCCGGTCAAATTACATTTACGTACCAAGTATATGCCTATATGGGCATCCCCTCCCGTGCGTGAACCATCGGTTGGTGCATTTTACATATCTTCGAAACCTAAGTTCAAAAGAAATGTTTGATATTCATGTCAATTAGAACCAAACAAAATTGTGAATGTGTTTTTAATAAAATCGTTTGTTGTGGATGTCGTGTTGAGATATATATATATATATATAATCACTACAAGTCTAAACCATTCATTGATAATGTTATGGTGCTTATCTTTCTTATTATATATATGCTATGTCCGTTTGGATATATAAAAGGATAAGCATTGAAAACAAAATGAACATAAAAGAATGATAAATGAGTGTATCATCAACAAGCATAGGATGAACTAATAGTATATTATATATACAAAAAAAAAAAAAAAAGAATACGCGATTTTAGGACATAGACATTCTTCAAATATTATTGCAAGGACAAGACATTAATGTGAGTATAAACTAGAATAGACTATAATCATCTTCTGCCGGTGAAGTTTTTGTCTATACATTTTCAACAAAATCGGTACCCACCACAAGTCGACTCTTCCTTTTCATAATTTGTTTTTGTTCGTATAATAAATTAACTCTCCCTTTTGTAATTATTACCGCATATGAATATTTGCATGTCGTTGCTTTTAGATAGTTCTGGTCGAGAAAAGTAGTTTCTTGGTTCGTTGAGTATATTAATCTTTCATCTATTGAGAGTTTTCACTTCTAAATTTTACAAAACATTTGACCTAATTTGAAAAATAAAAGAGGAAAGTTGCCAAAAAAAGATTTGGAAAAAAGACAAAGATATTGATATAACCGTTGAAGCTATAGGAAAGAGCAAAAAATAACTAAAAATAAAAAGGTTTTTTTGTATGACAGCCTGACGAAAAAACCTTACACCTCATTTCTATCATTAACCCTCACATGGCTTACCTGTACACATTGGTCCTACCACCTTCTTCTTTCTTTTTTTTTCATCTCCAAATTTTATTTTCAAATTTTGTTAACAAACCTACAAAAAAAAAAAAAAACATGTCTTATTGTTTATATATTAAAACATTTTGTATTCATCCCATTGTTCCATATAATTTAGTAAGAAAAATATTCACATTTTACAGAAGTGCAGAAGACCCCACTTTGATTGCTATTTTATACACTATTATCATATAGTACTACAACAAATTTTTGACCATTATTGTGCCCAGTAATAATGCATTCCAAAAACAAAAAAAAATAAACTATTGCTGATATTATTATAGCCAACAAAAGAAAACAAAAAAAATATTCAATGTACGTACTAATAGTAATTACTTTCTCCCCCGATATGATTTAGTGATTTAACTATAACTAGAAAGTTCTAAGGAACATTTTAGTTGTTTTAAATTTATCATTACTTACTAAGTTAGTTTAGATGGTTGGTAATCAAACTGACAATTTAAATTCCCGAAAAGAAATGTCCTTAGATGTTTTCCAATTTCCCTTATCATACACAACTAATTAACAATATAATCAATCGTACAAATATAATGATTATACATGCCATTACCAGAGTTAAATATGTCGTATTAGAAGATTATACAACTGTTTAATACCGAAAGTACCCTTGGCTTATCCATGGTGGCTACAAGGGTTTTTTTCCCTTTCCCTTTAAAATGGCTGAAGAGAGACACTGTCGTCGTCACACACCACCACTCATTTCGAGCAGAGCAAACTCCATAGCCTAGCTCTAGAGAGAGAGAAAAAACTTAAGCTTCTTAGAGAGAAAACAAAGATGTCGAAAGAAGTGAGCGAAGAAGGAAAAACCCACCATGGGAAAGACTACGTGGATCCTCCACCAGCTCCGCTCTTTGACATGGGAGAGCTCAAGTCTTGGTCTTTCTACAGAGCTCTCATCGCTGAGTTCGTCGCTACTCTCCTCTTCCTCTACGTCACTGTAGCCACTGTCATCGGCCACAAGAAGCAAACCGGTCCCTGTGACGGCGTTGGTTTACTCGGGATCGCTTGGGCTTTCGGTGGTATGATCTTCGTCCTCGTTTACTGCACCGCCGGTATCTCTGGTAAGTTCTAATCTCTCTCACACACACACATAAAAAAAAACCTTATCTTTTTACTCATTTAGTTCCTTAGTTTTGTTGCTAACCTCGATCTCGTTTTTGTTTTCCCGTAGGTGGTCACATTAACCCAGCTGTGACTTTCGGTCTGTTACTTGCTCGTAAGGTCTCTTTGGTTCGAGCTATTGGTTACATGATATCTCAGTGTCTTGGAGCCATCTGTGGTGTGGGTTTCGTGAAAGCTTTCATGAAGACTCCTTACAACACTCTGGGTGGAGGAGCTAACACCGTAGCTGACGGTTACAACAACGGGACTGCTCTTGGAGCTGAGATCATTGGAACTTTCGTCCTTGTTTACACCGTCTTCTCCGCTACTGACCCTAAGAGAAGCGCTCGTGACTCTCACATCCCCGTAAGTCTTGTTTCTTATTTCTCAAAAAGCTCGAATCTTTAAAGAGTTTAATGATAAAATTTGATGGGTACGTGTATATACTCGTAAAGTTTGAATCTTTGATAAAATTTGGTTTAAAACTCTAGTTGGTATGTGTAGATCTTGATAAAGTTTGAATCTTTTTGGAGTTTAGTGATAAAGATTGTTAAATGGGTTTCTGTAGATTCTGACTGATAAAGTTAAGCATGAATCTTCATTAGGGTTTTATGTCAAAGTTTGTGTGAATCTCAAATAGGTTTGTGTGTAGATTTCTGATAAAAGTTTGGTGGGTCTTTTTTGAAAAGGTTTTGGCTCCACTTCCAATTGGGTTCGCTGTATTCATGGTGCATTTGGCAACTATCCCCATTACTGGAACTGGTATTAACCCAGCAAGAAGCTTTGGTGCTGCTGTTATCTACAACAACGAGAAGGCTTGGGATGACCACGTAAGTGTTTTACTATGTTATCGTGGATTAGGTTTTTATCAAATTGTCCACGTCTCTAATGTTAAGTGTTCTGTTTTTGGTTTTGTAGTGGATCTTCTGGGTTGGTCCGTTCCTTGGAGCACTAGCTGCAGCGATTTACCACCAATTCGTATTGAGAGCTTCAGCAATTAAGGCTTTGGGATCCTTCCGAAGCAACGCGACCAATTAATGAAGGCTTTTAAAATTATGTGAAGAAACAACTTAAGATTTGGGAAATGCTTTATTGTTATTATTATTTGTTGTTCTTTTGTGTGTAATGAGAGAGAGATGGTTGGATGATGTTAATTATGAAAATGGCCTTATGAATTCTGTTTCTTTCTTTTTTTCCTATTTGAAAAATTCCAATAGTCTTATTAGCTTTGGTGTGTTTGTCTTCAGTAGTTGACAATTTTATCTTCTTCCCTAAATTCATATAGTTCAAGAGCATTCCTTCAATTAATTGCGTAATATCGATCAATCCAATTTATAATTATTCGTCTTAACGTTAGAGGAACTGTTTTAATTGCAAACAAGAAGCTTCCAACGAAAAAAACAAATATCGGCTGTCTAACATTGTACGTATTTTGTGGGTCTTTTGGTTTTATGGGCTATGTTGAAGTATATACTCGGGTCATCTTTAAACCAGTTAGCCGTAGGCACGTGTAGTGATGGAGTGAGCAGGATGCGTAAATAAAAAAAATTGGATTCCATTTGCTATGATTAACTTTTTCGTTAGTTGACAAAAAAAAAAAACAGCTAGTAGTATTTTTGATTCCTTGGCTTAGCTTTAAAATCTTGTATGTTTGATGTTAATAATAGGGATGACTCGTGCGAGTACCTTTAGTGTTTTGCGAAAAGAAGGGGTGGAGAGCCAATAGGGTTGTAACAACCAGACAAAGGAACCAGACACTGAACCCATATTTTCCACCGCACTCAACCTTTTCGCCGCGTGTCGCTTAGCTAATGTGTTATCACATGGGTCTACTTACAAAAACAAAAACAAAACTCGATATATATTACCGTATTATTTAACTGTAAATTCCAGACAAAGTTTTTGATAAGACCTTCCCAACCCATATGTGTTTGTATGTATTGGGAAATGATATCTGCGTCCAAGACTTTACCAACTTGAATTGCATAATGGTTCTGGACTAGAATGGGCCATATTCTGAAATTGTTCATGAATGAAAGCGATAAGCACTAAACACCTCTAAACATAACTTAATTAGGCGACTTTAGGGTAGTGCTTGAAGTCTATTTAGTTAGATTATTAGCAAGCAAAGTTTTTTCCTAGTAGTAGAAATACTCAAGAGCAACCTAGCAGCAACCACTCGCTTATAAAACATTGAATTATGCATACGCATTAGTCTCCATGAAATAGTTGTATAAAAATAATAATTCATGTCTCGTCTTTTCAGAAAAGTGAATGCAGAGGAGAGAGGACCACAACAATGGCCTTCACAGTTCACAGGCTCTATCTTTGTTTTAAAAAAATACTTAGCCGTTATGATGGAAGCTCTTCGTTATCTCTTAGTTGCTTCAATCTGGTCCACTCGTTTTTCAAAGTTACGTAAACGGTAAACCCTAACAGATTACGAGACTTAAGTTTTGTTTTCTATTAATTATTTTATTGGGTTCTGGATAAGAGCAGTTTTTTGCAACTTGCAACAAACCTCTTATATGAATATCATCATAATAATTGTGTTTGCTTGAGTGTGATACATGAACCGATGGCAAATAATTTCAAGTTACCATCTTGTGAACAAGTCTTGGGAGCTTACTAAAACTGCTATTTTTTTTTTTTTTTTTAAAAAGAAGATTAAACTTCAAAACTACTGCTTCTGTATTATTTGAGATAATATATCCTCATAATATTGTGCAAAACGACCAAGCACAAAATTTGTGGTCACAAATCTTTCTCTAAGGAATCCTGGTTTAATTTCTCCAGTTTACAATTAATCTCCGGTTAGTGGGTAAAACCAAAGGGGAGATACCGATGGGCCATGTTGCGGTGGGCTCAGTTTAAAGCTGACATGAGTAACTAAAAGCCCAGTAGCATTGTCGCAAATGACAGATTTGCTTTGTCCGTTGCAACGGTTACAAAACAGAGTAGATGTGAAAACAGAGTACCAGAGTTTGTTTTGTTTACTTTTCTTCTTCTTCCTCCTCTCTCTCTCTCTTTATAGAATCTCAATATGTAAACATGAAACACAGTGTAAAAAAATCAATTATAACAATCACCTTCAAATAGCAATAAGTGATTAGTATGGAATAGCAATCTAGTTTTTCAACAAAAACAAAACAACAAATATGTCTGATACTGATAGTATATGTGCCAAATTCGATTGACTCGAGGACTTTAATCTAATGGTGTCGCTCTCATTCTATATTTGACATATGTATTTATTTTATTCCATTTCACTCATATAATAGAGCCCAAATTGAGAAGTCACCCATGCAATAACATATGACCTAAGCAAATCTTATATATTTATTTTGCGAAAGTCTTGTTTTGACATTTTCTATACATATTTTACGACACCACTATATAAAATATTCAACAAGTTCTGAGTTTTGACCAAGACTAGTTAAGAGATAGCAAATACAACTTTTGCAATTAAATATTATTGTGAAAAGCTGTTTAACAGTTTTTATAAACAATCTTTCGTTTTTCACAACTCAAAGACGACTTGTAATCTTTCCCCTTTGAGAAAACGAAAGAAGAAAAGAACATAATCAAGAACAGTCTATATACACAAAAGCCAAGCATCTATATTAGCAAATAGCAACACCCAAATATTTAAACACTTTTATAAATTACTAGTGTAGTAAACATTCACCTTCGTGACTCTAATAAATACAAGCTTTTCCATAATCCTTAAAAAAGCCTAACCTTAAAAAACTCATTTATTAGAGTATTTTGATTTTGTGCTACTACTTAGTACGTTACTAGTATCACACACAACACAAACTCAAAGAAGCTCGTCTATAAACGATTTCCCCTTAAATTTCTCCATTCTGAATCCCATTTTCTCCATTCTTGACCTTTCCATCTCCATCTCCACCATTTGAGCCCTCGTCTCTTCGATCCGAAGCCTCGCTTCATCCACTTCCTTCTCCATCCTAACCAAATCCGCTTCTTGTGCTTCAAGCTCTTCTCTCTTAGCCTTTACTAAACCATCATGCCTCTCTTTATCCTTTTCTGCATTTTCTTGAGACTGCGCAAACTCCTCAAGAACCGAACGTAGCCATGCCACTTCGATGCTCACAGACTCCAAGTCTTTGAGAACCGCCAGCATCTCTTTGACTTTGACTTTTGTCAACTGTCCGACCGGGGTTGACCTTAGCTCCTGCATCAACGAGCATAAACACTCGAGGTATCTGGATCGCATAGAGCCCGATTCCAGCTTACAGTTTTGAGCAATGTCTCCGTGTTTCTCGATGATAGCACTTAGGATAGTGGATGAACCGGATCTGACTCGGTATTTCCCGACAGAGACAAAAGTGTCAGACATTACTGATTCAAGATCGAGCTCTACTCCAATCTCATTGTTGTTTTCTTGTTCATCATCATCATCCTCAGTATAATCATCATTGCTCTCTTTTTCATGCGATCTTGGAGGGCTAAGGAAACTAAAAACTCTAGTCTCGCCGCCTGCTCCAGTCTTCCCGTTGTGTTCTTGTATTCCCGGTTTAGGTGATATTACTTTGCTTTGATCAACCTTTATAACACACGAGAAACAGAGTTTACAAATATGTTAAAGATATATAGTGATTAGAAATCATGGAAGAGAGAGTAAAGGATGAAATACCAAATTGTTTGAGGAAAGTGGAATGGTTTGAGAGGGTTTCTTCTCTGGTTTATGGTTGAAAAAATCATCAGGGTCACCAGATGATGATGAAGAGAAAGAATTTTTGGTTTCAGAAATTGTCTTCTTCTTCACAGCAACAGGTGAAGCTAGTGCATGATGAACCTTTGGGGAGTTACCGTTTGCAAAAACACCTCCACCATTTTGATAAGGTTTTACAGGTAGCGGTGAAGGCGGTTGTGAATTCGATTGCTTCTTCTTCCTACCGAAACTCCCAGAGAAGCTAAGAAGTTTTGAAGCTGTAATAAAACAAGTCAAGAATCAGAACAAACGTAGCTATACAAAAAAAAATTACTTGAAAATATATTGCAAAACCAAAAGAAGTGATTCAAGAAACAGAGCAAATACTTTGCTTCTTAGTGTTCTTCTTGCCATGGCCTTGAGCAATTTTCTCTAAACAGGCTGAAGCACACTCATGGAAAGGATTATCCGCATATACACAATCCGGATGAGTATTCCGGTTGAACTCCATAGCGTTTGATCAATGGAACAGCTTCAACAAAATGCAACGACTGCAAATTAAAACCCCTGTAGTTAGCCCAAGTCCCAAGATAAACAATCAGCTCAAAGGAGACAACACACAAAGATGAACACAAAACTTTGTGTGGCTTCAAAGATTGAACACATCACATAAAAGGGTGTCAAAAAGGTCAAACCTTTACACCTAAACTTCAACAAAATAAGTCAAAAAGATTTAGAAACTGGACTTAAGATAACAAGAAACTCCAACGAAATTGGATTCCGTTCATATTTCACCAACCCTTCATTCATCTATTCATTGCTTTATATGCAAAAAAGGTAAGAGAGAGATAAGCAGAGAAATATTCACCAAACACATCCAGATCAAAGAAATTTCTTAAGAGTAGTACTAGTGAAATTGATCCCCACAAGACCAATCAAATGTAAGGTAGAGAATGATGACCCAAAAACGACGACTTTTAGTTTGTTTCTTCTTCTTCTTCTTCTTTTGCTTCTTAATATATATTCATGGACTGACCATGCAAGTACAGTTTTCCAGTGGGATACTAATAAATTTCAAAGGTAGAAGCACTCATTTATTGACTTAGACCAGAGTTAAAAAAAAAAAAAAAAAGAGTAGATTAATTTGACCGGCTTGTTTCTTGAACAGACAAAATAACTTCAAAAGGCCCACACCCCTTTGTGTGGATAATACTTGTATTAAATGGTTGAAATTTCGTTTTCCATGATTGTCTTCACAAAAAAATTCCTAGCAAAAGAAACAGAGTATATATGACCCAATAAAACAGTATCACATCATCATCGATCATTGACCAATTATCTTAAAAGACAAGCAAAAACTCACGATTCTAAGCAAGAACAAGAATCTATCTCCCGATCAAAGAACCAGAGAAATAAAAAAACTAGATATACAGAAACAGAGAGAGAGATAAAGAGAGGTACCAGGAGAATCGGGAGGAGGGAGAAAAGCGTTGAGAAAATGTTTCCGATATAACAGTTGTATGATTTTATATATGGTTGTGTAAATAACAAGGTACTAGTAGAATATGGTTGTATACATGTGACATTGTTTTTGGGGTATAATAATACGGGTGATGATGATAGATGGTGAATTGACCAAACCAAAGCCGTATCTATATAAACAAGTGAAGGAGGAGGATGATAGATACAGAACACAAGCATTAATTAATAATTAAAAAAAAAAAAAAAAAGAGGTTGGAAACGGCAATCAATCACACCTCACGTAATCTTCCAGAAGTGGACAACAACGTGGGACGGTTTCATTCATCACCATCATCATACTTGTGAGATTTTACATAACTTATTAGAGAATCGAATCCATTGTAGAAATATGTAACCCATTAAGAGAAAACGAAACAAAAACAGGAAAAATAAAATAAAAAGGAAGAAGAAAAAAGACAAAGAAAAAAAGGAAGTGTTCAGTTACAGTGCGTGTATGTATACACGGCTGTAAACAATTACAAGTCATTGCATAAAGCGTGTCACGCGTGTCAATGTTCTGCATCACTCGTGAGTGTTCCAATTGATTTTTCAAGGATCTTCTTATTAATGTATCTTATAAACCATTATACATATAACATGCACAATTGGTATATCTAACCATTTTTGTATGTATGTGTATATAGTTTACCTTTTTTGTTTTCCAATATTATTGAACCAATACAACTTGGACATATTTCCAATGTTAAGTTTTTTTGATAATATAAAGTTATTATCTTTACATTGGATCGCTAACTAGTACTATTTTCTATACTACATATCTAGATTTTCGAACATGTGTTGAATAAGTAGTTTTGGTACCCAATTAGTTTAAAACATAACTATATGATTCAATCCAAAGGAACAGGACTCCATCTGTCAAAGTGCATGTTGATCCGATACGAAACCACATTAATTGTAGAATCTCATAAAGAAAAACCTACTTTTGTCATTGTTTTTATCTATCGTAAGTTCGTAACCACATTATTTTATACTAATATATAGTTTCGAAATGCGAGTTAAGCTTATCCCGAAGCGATAAATGATATGAGTTGATGACCATTTCCCACAAAGATACTTCCATCCTTATTTCATGCGAAGAAAACATACAAAAATAATAATAAGTTTGGAACGCCTTGGCGTTTTAGGGACACCAAAGGGTTTTGTTAGCAATGTGAAATTCTTTACACATTTAGCAACGACGCTAATACGAAGACCATTCTTTCTAATTCGAACAAACAATATGCATGTTTTGTTTTCTTTCCACTTATGTCGTCGCTTTGATTATTATGTTTTCATATTTATGCATCTTTTTTATGTAGGATTCAAAAAAAACCTGTAATTTAATAGTGGAGCCGAGCGGTCGAACCGGTTAAACCCAAAATATTTAAAACATGGTCGATTCAAAAGTTTAGGTCAAGGGTGTTAGTTTAATTTTAGAATTTAGAAACGGTTAAATAGGTCTTTCTTTTTCAACAAGGTAATAAAGTCTTTTATTTAGAAGACCTAAAACCTAGCTAGTAATTACAATTACATAGGAAATGTAATGTTTACTGATGGTCGCAGAAAGTACAAGTGGTTTTGCTCAAGGCTTGGAAAGTGGCTTATAGTGGAAGGTTTGGATGAAGTATACGAAAAGCGTGGCTACCACTCTTTCCGTACGATTCAGTTAGTCAACTATGGTAGGAAACTGATAATTATATGGCACCAGTGGTCTCCTCCGGTTTCCAGTAAAGAGAGGATAATTTGGTGTGCGGTGATTAGGTTGGAGCAGCGTATCTCTCCTCAATTTGGACCCCAGATCTGGGGGGAGGTTGAGCGCTGCAATGTTCTTGTGCCCATAGTCCCCAGGTCTTATAAGCTCTCAAGCTCCCAATGTGTATCTGTCTGAAACTCATCTTTACTTCTAATAACATGCGATCGCCAGAGACAAGCAAGCTGTTTTGTAATATCTTTCTAATTTATGTTTTTTTAGTTAGTTGTCTAGATCAGGTCTCTCTCTGGTGATTTACCTCATGAGATTCTGCTTATATGCATGCATTAAAGAAAGTAATAACAATGCTTGAAGGGTTCTTGAATTTTATTGGTTACCTATTATTAACACAAGATTATTCGATTTAGCCCATCCAATTTTCTGAGGTGATCAGGACTTTGTTTGCTGAAGAGCATCAAGTAAATAAGAAGAGAAAGCAAGTAGTCTCATATATGAAAGAATCTCGTCTATTAGTTTATGTGTAAGCTATAACATTTACATCTCATATTTGTACAAAATTTTGTTGTTACGATGATCTATTAGATGTTAAGAATTGAGACTCTGTATTTGATCAATGATTTAGAGAGTGACTCAATTCCATCTTCAAGATCTTGAATGCATGACTCTAAGTTCTGCACATCCTCCATCTTTAACGCCTTTTCGGTTTGGAACTCATGATCAACCCTTGTGAATTCATTTACTTCTACTTCACATGTTACTTTGTTCTGGCTCACCAGCTTTGAGACCACTGACCATTTGCCACAAGCCTTTGATCCGGACATGAAGCTAAACAGAGACTCAAACAAAGCAACTGTTACGGCTTCTGCTTCTCCAAACACAGCCAAAGCGTCATTGTTCTTGTTTTGGCTGGTTTTTAAACTCTTGAGTACTTTTTGGAATGATTTCTTGAGAAACTTTCTCGAGGCTAAGTATTTCTTGACCTCAGCGGATAGATTTCCACGCTTTCTTCTTACAATAGACTGGATCTCCTTGAGACTCTCTTTCATTTGTGACAAACCATCCTTGGCAAGGTTGCATAAATCCAAGATCTTGATGGATCCACCAAGAAGCTTCTCAATCTGATCTTGGGATAAAGCCTGGTTGGTGACAGATAAGCGAATCATCTTTTCAAGAGAATCATGTAAATCTTGCAGGTCGCTAAGTCTTTGGCAGATAGAAGATGAAGAAGATGTCTCAGAAGATCTCAATCGGGTCAATTGCTCATCGACATGAGCGGCTTGAGGGTGTTGCCTTGAAGGGTAGCTGTTAGATCGAACATGGAAGGAGACTGCCATTTTCTTGTTTGAGCTTTCTTTCTCTGTTTTTGAGATGAAGAAAATGCTTAGATGTTTGTTCTGTCTTCATTGGCTCTCCGGTCAATACATTTATACAACACTAAGGAAGGAATCTTAAAGTGGTTCGAATTTGAATAATAGAAACCGATGTTTCTGCAATGTCTCCCTCCATCCACTCACCCCAACGCATCATCCAATGTGCATAAGCAATATACATTATTCAGATCTGATCACATGAATTAGCTACGATTCTGCATCTTATTGGTGTAGGAACATGCACAACCAGTAGGGCTTGTCTCCTTCAAGCATATGATATTTATTTGTGCCACTCGTGGATACATTTATGTTATTCAGATATTGTCTGCCTCCTACACTGCAAAATTTGATTTCACCTAAGTATATATAAGGATCTTGTAGTTGTATCATGTACTGTAATATACTAATTAATATCTATTGGTTGCACATGAGATTTTGAGAGCAAATATATGCATGAATGGTGCTGTTACCATCAACCCCAAGGAGACAAGCCTTACTGGATTTGCCTTATACTAAGCCAATAAAATGCAGAATCCCTCGTGCACATTTCTTGTTTTATTATATTCAAATACTATTTTGCATTTTTTTTTTCTTGGATATGAATCACATCATATATTGATGGAGTCTGGAGAGAGACAATGCATACAATCAGACATCATATATTGTATGTATGAGTTTTATAAAGGCATCTCTGAAATCTACACGTTGTTGCAATAATAACTCTGAAATGTGTTAGTGTGTTGGGAAACAATAAATATGATAAAATACAAACAAAATCACAAGTTGTAGTTAATATCGTTCACATGTCAAATTCAAGGAATAAGGATCTTGCCTCCAAGGGAACAAAAGCCTAGCTGGTTTTGCATTTTCTTATGAAAACTAGACGTCTAAGTGCAGAGTCGCTCGTGCGGTTGCATTGTTTACAAGATAATGTGCAAATTATATGGGAATCCATATCTTTTGTGCTTATAGTTTATGCGCTAAGATAGGTGGTTGGAGGGAGACATTGCACAAACAAAGGCTTCTATTACTTAATCTGAGCCAGCCTTGAGATTCCCCTTGTCTCTATCCTCTCAAAGGTGTAGTATATATGAGATGACCAGAGAGATTATCAAGGCAGAACAATACATCTTTTAGCCCTTTAAGCCTTTTCAAGACAAGGAGCAAAGCTTAAAGGAAAAAATGGCAGTCTCCTTCCATGTTCGATCTAACAGCTACCCTTCAAGGCAACACCCTCAAGCAGCTCATGTCGATGAGCAGTTGACACGATTGAGATCTTCTGAGGCAGCCTCTTCATCTTCTATCTGTCAGAGACTTAGTAACCTTCAAGATTTACATGATTCTCTTGAGAAGATGGTTCGCTTATCAGTTAACAACCAAACTTTATCTCAAGATCAAATAGAAAAACTTCTTGATGGATCACTCAGGATCTTGGATTTGTGCAATGTCGCCAAGGATGCGTTGTCACAGATGAAAGAAGGTCTCATGGAGATCCAATCTATTCTACGAAGAAAGCGTGGAGATCTGTCTGGAGAGGTCAAGAAATACCTAGTCTCGAGAAAGATGCTCAAGAAATCACTCCAAAATGTACTCAGGAGTTTAAAGGTTTGCCAAAACAAAGACAACACCAGTGGATCTTTGGTTGTGTTTGGAGAAGCAGAAGCTGTAACAATTTCCCTCTTTGAATCTCTGTTTAGCTTCATGTCCGGATCAAAGGCTTGTGGCAAATGGTCATTGGTCTCAAAGGTGATGAGCCAGAACAAAGCTACATGTGAAGCAGAAGCAAATGAATTCACAAGGATTGATTCTCAGTTCCAATCCGAAAAGTCGTTGAAGATGGAGGATGTGCAGATCTTAGAGTCATGCATTCAAGATGTTGAAGATGGGATTGAGTCTCTATCTAAATCATTGATTAAATACAGAGTCTCTATTCTTAACATCTAATAGGTCACTGTGCCTACAAATTTTTGTACAACAAATGTTAATTAACATAGAAACTAATACAAGATTTTTCTTATACTGAAATTTTATTATCTTCTATCTTTCTAAACATTATAACCAAAAAAAAAAACCAAAATCTAGAAACAAGACATTAAATTTGAAGTTCTACATGTTCTTTTAACATTGAAATATGAATCAGTTTTAACTCTTGCTAAAATCTTATAATAATATCTCGTTTTCTTTTTAACTTACGCTCATGCATACCATCAATACTACTTCAAATCCCTTAGCAAAGAATCTTCAGAACCGCTAAGAGGTGAAAGAGCCTTACTTACATATTGTAGTGACGTGGATCGGATTCTTCTTCTTGATTCAGACACTCGTAGAAATGAGAAAGAGCTGGATGAGAAAATTGTGTCGACATTGCCTTTGAAGCTACAAAGTTTAGCAAAAGAAGACTGGAAATTTCGGCTCAGAGCTTTTATGAGGATCAAATTGTGTGTATATGTCTAGTATTTTGTTATGAATTTAACTCTGTTTTATAATAATTGTTACTCTGCTTTTGCTCTGTTTTAGCGTTAAGAGGTATGTACATAAGTTTCAAGTTTAGTTGATCAATGGTTTCTTTTTTCCATATAAATTGCCAAAACATGTTTTCTTTTTCTTTTTACATTTGTCGGATAACATATACCTACTTTGGCCACAATCTGTTTTCACCAGTAATTCCCACAAGAGCAGCGACCATTGCAAAAGTGATGAAAAATCTTCGAGTCTCCCACAACGATCTCTCTTCTCGTCATTTTCGATGCTTTTTCCAAGAACTCGTGACATCTTCTGCAGATTCTCGTGTTATTCCTCACCATAACTGTTTTCCCTGTTTCTGTAGAGATCAATCCAAAACATGTGGCGAGCCTTACCGAATGTCTACTTGGTGAATTGCTTATGCTCTCAACTAGACTCTCTGGTCTCAACTTTGAGACACAGTGAACATAACTGTCTTCACCTTCTTCTTCTCCAATCATCCTCGAGATAATATCCAAGACTTCATAGATCTTGTTCTTCTGCACTTGGGATCTGTCTCCGTTTGTGAACACATGAATTTTTCCCTTAGTCTCAACAGTACTGTGACTTGATCTTCTGGATATGCCTTTGCTCTCCATGAGAAGCTTAATCCTATTTACATCTTCCCATCTTTCAGCTTCTGCATACATGTTCAAAAGCAAGACATAACATCCCGTGTTATCGTGTTGCATCTTAAATATCTGTTCTGCCGCGGATTCAGCTATGTTTATGTTGTTGTGGTTTCTGCTTGCATTTAACAAAGATCCCCAAATCCGAGCTGTTGGCACAAATGGCATTTCTTCAATGAATCTCTTGGCTGCACTGAAGTTTCCTGTGCGGCCAATGAGATCCAGCATGTATCCATAATGCTCTATTCCAGGATCAATCCCGTATTCTCTTTTCATCATCTCAAAATATTCCCATCCTTCATCAACCATACCAGAAATGCTACATGCTGCTAATAGTGAAGCAAAAGTGCTATTGTTTGGATTTACTTTAGAAGCAATCATCTCTGAGAACAAGCAAACCGAAATTCTCCCAAAACCGTGTACTGCATATGCCATGATGATGCTATTCCATGAAACAACGTCCTTTAACAAAACGTGATTGAAACATGTTCTTGCATCCTCAAGGTCACCGCACATGGCATACATGTGAACGAGTGAATTCAAAATGATGGTGTTTGACCCATATCTGGACTTGACAATATAAGCATGAATTTTTCTACCTTCACTCAAGGATAGAGATTCTGCATAAGCTGGTAGAATACTAGCAATTGTTGTGGAATCAGGTACAAGCGATGAATCCCAGAGTTCTTGAAATAGTTCCAAGGCTGAATAGTTCTTCCCGTTCTGCACATAAGCAGCAATAATTGAGTTCCATGAGACCAAATTCTTTTCAGCCATTCGATCAAATATAAGCTCAGCTGATTTCAACTGTCTGCATTCTCCATACATATCAACCAGAGCAGTTTCCAATACTAAATGAGGAAGAAAGCCTCTCCTTATTGCATACCCATGAATCATTCGACCCTCCAAGATCGCACAAGCAGGAAGCAGATTTATCAATGTAATAACATCTGGCTGCAACCCATTTTGCTCTGACATCTTCTGAAAGCAAACAAAAGCATCAATGACTCGTCCATTTATAGCATAACATCCTACCATAACGTTCCAAGATACGATGTTCCTCTGGATCATACCGTTAAATATCCTCTCTGCATAACTCACTTCACCATATTTACTGTACATGTCAAGAATTGATGTCAATACCATAACATCACCCGTTTCGGTTCTACTTCGAATAGCATGGCAATGTATCTCCTTTCCCATTTTTGGACCATACACATGAGAACAAGCACCTAAAGCGCTCATTATACTAAACCTGTCCGGTTTAAATCCGTATTTCAACATTTCTTTAAACAGAATCAACGATCGAATCCCATCTTCAAGCGCAAGATATCCAGAAATCATAGAATTCCACGAAACAATGTCTCTCTCAGGCATTTCTTCGAACACTTTCTCTGCATCCCAAGCACACCCAAGCTTCATGTACATTGAAATAAGAGAATTACTGACGTAGACATCTGAAACAAACCGAAGCTTGATCACCATCGCATGAATCTTCTTCCCATCTTCCAAGGACGAAATCCCAGCAACAGACTTAATCACGAAAGGATAAGTAAAGGAATCAGCTTTGATTCCTGCCAACACCATTCTGCAATAAAATTGAACTGCTTCAATGTAAAACCCACAGCTAGTGTAACCTCTAATTATCACATTCCAAACATAAACATCAGCTTTGTTCATTTCATCAAACAGTTGGAGTGCATCATCCATGAGCCCGGAATCAGCAAACCCACGTAAAGCGCGAGTGAGCGCAGGATCATTGAGCTGCTTAGTTAGCTGGGATCTTTTCCGAAGAACTATCCGGGCTGGTTTCGATTGTCCCGAGTCGAATTCGAGATTTCGATTCCCATTTTGCTTCCCCGTTGTCTGGTGATTCTCAGAAGAAACACACTTGCACGCTTCGCTATTGTAGATACGGTAGCATCGAGATAGAAGAGTCGTAGCCATCAAATTTTCTGGGTTACACTAGAAAATTGAAGATTCAAGCAAATTCGTCTCTCTTCGTCTTTTGCATCTTCGTTTTCCCGCGGAAAAATGTTTCAGTTCTCTCGTATCAACAGTGACGTAATTAATCCTATTTTTCTTAGTGTTCTTAATATAATTTTGAATTATCAGACATTAACAAGAGTTGCTATATAGTATGACTTTTTATGCAATGAATTATGATGATCATGTATGTATAATTGCACAAACATATTATAATGTTCCAACTTTATTCAAATTGAAGAACCATGTGTTTAGACAAAAAAAAAAAAAAGAAGTAAAAAGGTGTATTTGTTTGGTTCTGAAGTGACTGAAACATATTTACAAAATATTTCCAAAGAAGTTTTCTTTTAAGAGAACAAGTCCTCACGGCTATTACCATCTTCATCATCTGTTGCATTCCCATCGTCGCTCTGATCATTGAAGGTGAGGATAAGATCAAGAAGTCCTCTTCCAGTGGCTGAAGATGATTCTCCTTCTCTCTCTGGACTACTACTCCTTCTGTTCTGCAGTGCGAAGAGTTGCGCCAGTAGTTCCTGCGGTGAAGATACACGGTACATCCATCCCCTAGGCTTTCGCTTCCGCTGGAATAAACAAATTTCAAACAAATATTCAATCATCATCATCATCATCAAGATTGTCACCATCACCATCACCATCACCATCATCGTCATCGTCATCTTGATGACTGCCACTAACACTATCAACATTCGTCTCACTACCACCATCACCATTATTATCCATATTGTTATCGATTTCAATAAAACATTCATCATCACTATCCATATAATCATCATCATCACTATCCATGTCATCATCAGAATCATTATCATCAAGTCCACTACTATAATCTGAATCATCATCATCCTCAGCATCATCAATAGATTCATCTTCCCCCTCGTTACCATCAATACCAATTTCCATTCCATTACCAAATAAATCGTCGTCATAATAATGGAAGCTTAGAAAGGATAATAACCGAGGAATGCGAAAGCGATTGGGTAACTGGAAATTTTTCAAACAAAGTAGCAGTAGCCAAATTAGTTGGTGTTATGTAGTAAATTTAGAGCAAAAAAACCTATCAGCTCAGTTAAACAATCCACAACCTCTACATGCATAAAAAACTAGCCTATAAATAGTGGAATACAGGTCTGGTCTATATTTACGCTTCGATATTTGTAGAAAGTGGAGATGATTATATCAGGTGAGAGCAATAGAATACTATGGCCACTTCAAAAGTGAAATGAATACAAACTTCATGAACAAGCCATGAAGTTTCCTAGACATAGTTTTCGTTGTGCATTATGCAAGTGTTAAAACCGAAGTCCTATCTCTCGGCAATCACAGAGTATTGCACCTTATTTTTTCACTAATTAGAGAAGGTTATCTAGCATGAAGGAAAATAAACTAAACAATCAAGTTGTTAAGTAATGCAACCAAAAAGCATACCATTTCAATGTTTTCAGGTAATGTAGCTCTTTCAGCTGCCTTTGACGTCCACACCTTGATGTCACTTTCAATTCCGCTGCTAGCAAGCACAGGAATGTGAGGATGAGGCTCAATACAGTTAACTACATGCCTATCTGCTTCCATAACACGGATAAGCTCCCCACTTTTTTTCCTCCAAATAAATATCCGCCCACAGTCTGACCCACTAACCACATATTCAGACCGAGGGCCAAAAAAATTCACACCCTTAACAGTCTCACAGTTCTTGTGCCCCTTGTAAACCAAAGGAGTGTGTTCAATCTCATTTTTAGGGGAAGAAGCTGATTCAGATTTCGATACACTACTTTTGGATATCGGGGATGCTGGTATAGGGTTGGAACCTAATCCCATATCGGGTGTGAAAAGATATATGAATTCATCATTGTATGAAACAAGAACCTCACTCTGCTCTGAGAAAGCCAAACCCGTTATTCCAACGTCTTCATTACCAATAAGATGTGGAGGGCAAAAGTGATCTGCAGCTCGGGTAAAACCGTTTAAACCATCACCCTGAAATCTACGGATATCGTAAAGACGAGCGTACTCGTCCATTCCCCCAACAACAAAGAGATTAGAATTTCTCGGGTCAATCGCAATTGCGTTTAGCTGGATGGCGTCCATGTCCCTCTTAGGATCAACTGATTGGCACGTGAAAAGTTCTGTAGGGGCTTCAGTCCTCAGGTCAAACTGAAAAGGTCAAGAATCCAATTTCTTTAATCAAATTATAAGGATTTTAAAGTAGAAATCCAAAAAGTGATACAACTACTACTACTACTCACACGTTGTACTAATCCATCTTCACCACATGTGTAGAATATATGAGGGTTTCCTGGCTCAATACATAGCTTATGAGCTCTTCCTTGATGCAATCCTAAGAAAGACGTCTCCACTTTGGCACCCTCAAGAATGTTAGCACGACGAACCTATGAACTTAGAAAGAAGTTAGAAACAAGAAGCTAAGCAATGTAAAGTGTGATACAAAGATAAAACATATAGTTTATTAAGAAGTCAGAAGATTACCATTCCATCAGCAGCACAAGTAACAATGGTTCGATCATCAGAGAAAGGCATAAACTTTGCTTGAAATACGTTATCAGCGTGTCCTGAATGGAAGGAAAGCTTAACGTTCCCAAGTTGCCAATCCCAAAGAATGACACGCCGATCATCAGAACCCGAAATCAGAACATCTCCTTCAGCATTGAAGCTAACGGTGTTCACACACCCTTTGTGCTTCTCTAGCTTCTTGTATATCTCTAGACGCAAAACCAAATCCTACAAATACAGAACCAGTGATAATATGATTCAACATGTGATTTTTTTCAATTGTCAACTTGTAAAACTTGGGATGATTCGTGATTCATTCAATTGAACAGCAATACTCAATCCATCAATGAAACTCATAAAAGAAGCACACAAAATTTTCAAAAACTTTGGAACTGAAGAGAATCAGAAGTGTGGGATTAGATAAACGAGGAAACAAACCTCGGAGGCGGAGAAGCGATTGGAGAAATTACGGGAGGAGATACCACCGACCTCTCGTCGCCAAAAATCAACAACAGGGTGATGTAATCCGTTAAAGTTTGATCGAGCCCTCTTCGCCATCTCACCCATCTTACTCGGAAATAAAATCACCAGAATTATATGTCAAAAAAAGAGAGAAGATTCCAAATTGCTCTGTGTCTCGCCGTGAAATTTCCTACTTCGGGGTGAGAGAAGAAGAAGAAGAAGAAGAGTAGTGTAAAGCGTCGCCCGTCGTCGGAAGAGAGGCGATTCTCTGATCAAATATTAACGTGACGCGTGTAATCACCCTCGTTACTAATGTGTAATGGGCTCCGTTTGGGCTTGTTCATTGTTTTTGGGGTTTCTAATTTTTCTCCACATAACAAAATCATATTTTTTAACTAACGGTTATACTTGCCCAGTACTAAATCAATATAATTCTAAGATTTCACATTGTATTATTGTATCAAATCATATATATCATATATACAACCTATAGCAATCTATATATAATAGCAAACCCACTTTTTGTTTACTGCTGATGTCATATTTTGAATCTAACGGTTCACATTGTTTTTCATTTGATTTAAAGGTTACTGTTTAATATTAGAATATATAAAAGCCAAAAATATGTCTTTTTAAAAGGATGTGTCTTTTTTAAAGGATGTGTCTTTTAAATGTGTCTTTTTAAAAAGATTTATCTTTTAATAAAAACCCCTGTAATTTAATCAATACAATGTTTCACAGTCACACCATTACGTTTCAAATATAAATATTCTACAACTCTTTGTTTTTATTAAAAAAAACTATTGATTGTTTTGTTTTATTTCATTTTAAAAAAAAATATTTTCCTGAAACAATAGTTTCTTCAAATTTTGTTTTTCCAATCCTATTTGACTGCAATTTGCTTAGCCATTATCATCACGTAAAGGTATAAATTGTTATTACCTCTTCGTTAATTAGTTGCTCAAACTCACTTTCTATGGTTGCTAAGATCATCATTTTAATCTAACGGATGATATTGTTTTTGTTATCTCATCTAAATGTTTATATTTGTTAATAATCTCAAAAGTTGCAAAGTTTTATACCCAACAATTGTGTTTCTTTAGGCATTGTTTATGTATCTATAATATTATGTTGAATTTAGTTGAATCTGTAGAGTTGTCTCATTAGTTTTATGGGACTAATGATTCGTAGGTATTTGGAACATGTATTATAAAAGAAATAGTTGAGCTTTGTATTTGTATCCAAAAAGGTTTTTAGATTTTGTAAAAAGAAAAGGCATGAATCTTTGATATTGTTTTAAGGGCAGTACCTAGGAGTTCATTTCATACTTACGTTGACAACTTTGTTTTCCAAATAAAGGTAAAGAAGGGGCATGTTAAGTGTAAAAAATGGCCGTTCAGAAATGTTGAATTCTTTTGACTCTATAGGATCATCAGTATTAAAATGCAGCGATACCAACAGAAAAATATCATTCAAGGGATAAAAATGAAATTGTAAGAAAGTTTTCGTAGTCTCACAAATCTAATATATCATAATATAGAAAAGGTAAAGAAAATAAATTTGTAAATTAAATAAAAAGATATACAATTAATTTTAATCAATTTTCCACTCAAAAATGTTATTTAACAATGTTAATTATTTTAAGTTTTCATTTTCCACGCACGGGCTGGCAGCCCTAGTAAAAGTAAAAGCAATTTATAAGTGCATGTCCATATGTCAACAACATATACTCAACGAGATAGATTATAGAAAAACATGTGACAATATGATAAGCTTTTAATATAACAAACACAACATGGTGATCTCGTACCAATTCCAACCCTTGATTATTCTCGCACAACATTCACACGTAGTTTTATTTATCCAAAGGAAATTTTGGTTTAGCTTTTCCTCAGCTAGGATCCAACCTTTCACAGCCTGGTTTTAAGACCGATATGCGATGATAAGACTCTGAACATCATCAATGTCCCTAACCTCATATCGAGCAAAACCAGCTTCTGTAAGAACAAAGTCCCACTCTTTCAAAGTCCTTTCTTTGCCTGTGCTTGTGTGAGCCATCATCACCATATCAAGCATCAGTCTCACGTGCTCCAACTTCTCATCTCTTTCGTCCACTATCATTGTCTTTTTGGTATTCTCTCCGATCACAGACTCCACTATCAACACTTTGCCGACATTTTGTGGGACAGCTTCTTTGCAATTCTTCAATATCTTTATGCAATCTTTGTCTCCCCAGTCGTGTAACACCCACTGCCACCATTTTATCACATTTTACTTATTAGATATATACTATTTGATTTCCTTTTCCCCCCCAACCATATAAAAAATTTTAGAACAAAAACACTCATTACTTGTAGAAAAATAATTGTCTACTAGTTAGAGGAAGATTTTGACAAAAAGGCTAAACAAATCCTTAGAGGAAGATTCTCTGTTCGCCTTGTTTTTAATATGTAAAAGTTAATACAGTACTACTATCTGGGAAAATTGGTAGTGGTTGCTTTATTTATTTGATACGTGATAGTGGTTGTTAACTTGCTACTAATTGATGATTCGCTACTTTATTTTGGTGTCAGATCGTATGTCATGTCTAAATTATTCATGTTTTAATGGATGGTGGTAGAAAAAATATATAGCTAAAATTTCATCATGCCAACTTTTCAACTTTGTATATCTGTAAAAAAATTAATTAAAAAATTTCGTGCTAGTGTAGAAGTGGGTTACGAACTTCTAATTTTAGCTTAGTATGAGGCTTACCGCGAAACTAAAAAAAAACAACAGTTAAATTTTTCTAACATTGACTAAAAATAATGTTAGTGTTTTAACATCTATTCATTGAGTTCCTGTAATTTATGTGAAAGTTGTTAGGGGAAAAAAAAGTACACTAAATTATAGTGAATGATAATAATTAAAAGAATATAGAATATGGAATTAGTGTTAACCTTGATAATAACAGCGTCGCATGCAGGAACAGAATCAAACATATCGCCCTCAACATTAAGAACACCATCCAAGACTTGAGCAACTTCAATAACATGAGGAAGATCAAAGTTTATTCCTTTAATCCAAGGAAACTCCTTTACAAGTATCCCCAACGTTTCTCCGGTGCTGCCTCCTACGTCAACCACCGTATCCACGCCGTTTAACAAACCGTGACAAGCTTCCGCTACACGTGGCACCACACGCCTTGTATCACAAGCCATGGCCTCGTTGATCAGCTCGCTGAGTCCCGGATTATCCTGCGCAAACGACCACACGTCCTTACCGTGCACTGCATCAAACGGTGGTGGAGTTGAACCGTTGACCGGAGCAGACACAACTGAGCTCAGTCTCAGCCATGGGGCAAGCATCTCGGGTCTTGTTTCGAAGAGAACAAAAGGAGCCAGCGACTTGCCGTCACGCTTTGTGATCATCATACGGCGAGAGAGTGGCGTGTTAGTGTAGCCTGTGGCTAAACCATCTTTTATGGGGACTTCTTTAAAGAGTCCTTGGTGCGCAAGAAACCTCATGATACGGCGGAGATGTGAGGGAGAGGCGGAGACGGCGGAGGAGAGCTCATCTAGTGTCACGGGCTGTGACGAAGGATGGTTTTCAATGGCTTCTGGTATTTTAAGATCAATGGCACACTTTGCAGCTGCGATATCTGCAAACCCAAACACATACTTCCATATGTCTACAGAAGCTTTCTCTTCTTCATCTAATATTTTTCTTTTAACTTCTTCCATTTTGTTTCTGTCAAGATTTTGTTTAGTAGGTATAAAGACAGGTGGTGATATGGAGTTGAGAAGTTAGGGTTTTCTTTATAGTGATCAGAAATGGGGGATATAATGGTAATTTCAGTTATATAAAAGATAAATACAATAATAATTTCAGAGCCCAACATGTTTTTTTTTTCTGAATTCAGTGAATTTAATGTTCATCATCAATATGACATTTACGAATTGGACGATTCAGTAATTTTTTTGATGACGAAAGAAGTTCAGACCACCTGTTATATTGTTAGTTTATCACCTGTCTTTTATTTATTTATTTAAGGTTTATCACTGTCGATATAGCCGATCTGTATAAATTGTGATATTTGCGCTCGCTCTTCATGTAAAAACCGATGTGGTTAGATGAAATAAATACTCGTCGAGACAAAAGGAATCGACAAGATTGGGTGTTTTTGGCCTACCAACTTCGATCCACCCATTACGTCTTGTATATTTACTCATGAATAATGACTACCTAATTTAGACTTTAATCCTTGCAAAGTTGCAATCCCTCTTAATGCATATGTATTCCTAGCAAACCATTCTCAAAGCGCTGTCAATCAAACGGGACACATATCAGCATAGCTGTCAAATGTCTCGGCCTCTCGGGCATGCGTCATGTGAGCATACAAACTAAACATCAACAACGTAGAATGACATTTATATTATACACGTACATGTACAGGTACATGCATGGATGAAAGTGGAAGTTTTGATAACTTGTGACTGTGTTTGCAGTTCTATTAGCCTTGCTGCTTAGATTATATTTCTATATTTGACTTTCAAAATGATAATATAGCTAATATTATAACTGAATAACTCAAAACAAACTTTGGTGTACGTAGTTTATCATCTATATGGTTAAAGAATGTGCAATTAGATATTGACGCTATGCGTGTCTTGATTTCCTTCAATACATTAGTGGAGTTTAGTACCAAAATAATGTTTAATGTAATAATTTTGCTATGCTATAAATTACAAAGAAACAAATGAAGAAAAAAAAATTGTTTACTACCACTATATAGAGATATGCATGTACGCTAATTAAGTCACTGATTAGGAAAGTATTAATTATCACTAATATATAAATTAAAACTTTGTGATTGTTGACGCTTTGTACGAAGGTATTTCTTTTCAATATATTAATGAAAATCTTTAATCATGGAAGTAATGAAGTGGCGCTAATCTCGTGTGTTCTGTAGACGTCAAAGATGGGTTTTTTTCGTTTCTAATAGTATAAATAAACTCCGTGGTGGAGTGTCGCTAATCTCGTCTACCATTGCTTTTGTACAGTTTATATTTTCATGCATTTTATATGGTACTAACAAGATAAAATTAATGCATTAAGATACAAAATTATAAGTGATGTCAATATAGTAATACATAAGTGGCAACTAGGAAGGAAAGGAGATATTAAAAAGAAAACTGAAGGAGTTTTATTAAATTGAAATTTTATTCTATTGGATGGCTGATTTTTTTCCTAAAAAGTAAAAACTATATGTCATTATAATGTTATATTAATAATGATTAAAATTCAGTGTGAATCAATATTTGCTTTCTCTTTGGTTTTGTAAATATTGAGTTTTCTGAAGAAAAAATGCAGACGGATTTTCCATTCCATATCAATGAAATACACTCAATAAATTCCTCTAAAAATCGAAATGGTAGTAGAAGATTGCATATTTGGATGGCCTTTTTGATATTTATGATCACAGAAAGTGTTGAATCAGAGAAAATCAACGGCTTAAACGAAAATATCCTAAACATCGTATCACTTGACTGATCTCAAGTCCTGTTTTAGCTCTGATTAAAACAAGGTTTGGATTTTTCTCAAAGGTGGTTGAAGAACTTAGCATAAAAAAAAGTGCGCACACAAACGTTGACATATTTGGTGTGACATTTTTTAATCCGCGGTGGAAAATATTTCCAAAATATTTACAATATTTTGTTTGAGCATTTTTGTGCAGGGGGGCGGCCATGATCATGCTCTATTATTATGTCTCTTCCCTTCATTGAACATGATATGTCTTCTCTTCGATTTTGCTCTTGTCAAGTATTTTCCAAAAAAAAAAGTAATAAATTATTGTTGTCAACTTGCCTACTCTTCAACTAGAGTGGGTTAGCATTCACACAAAAAAAAACATGAGATACTCATGTTGTCACTTTTGTTGTTAAACAAAATATGATTTCAAACGAAATTGTATTACAATTTAAACATTAAAAAACTTAGTAATCAGTAATACAATCAACATAACAATTTTCTTTTAAGTTAATATATATTACGAAAACATCCAGCACTTTCATATTGTCTACAAACCTAAACGAATCTTTACGAAACTACGTCAAGACGTAACTTTTTCATCAAGAAGGCCTATACTATTTTAAAGATCATATCATTTTCTTATTTCTTTCATCGAACAACATTTCAGAGGTAACAGTAATTACCCATCACTGACGACAGAGTAACTTTAATTGGTCAAACCAGAAAATTAAGACCACATGAGTTATTTTCATTATAAACTTCCGTTGCTTGTATGTTGCTGTATAACTTAAAAACACTTAATTACTTAGTTTAATACCATTGTTTTGCTTTTTAACTAGTTCCATCCTATAAATTCTGCTCTCCCTACCCAAACCATCCAAATATCAAAGCAAAAAGAAGAAGAAAAAGAGAGAGATGGGAAACAATTCAAGAGCTATCTTGTCTTTAGTTTTAGTGGTAGCCTTATGTGCTGCAATTATCATCACTCCCGGAATAGCTCATGTGCAACAACCACCACCGCGCTTGCAATTCCCAATCGATATGGAAAAATGTTGGTCATCTCTTTTCAATACCCATGGATGCGTGTTCGAACTCTACAAGTCAGTTTTCTCTGGTCAGTTTGGAAATGTAGGAGTTGCATGTTGCAAAGCATTCTCGACCATCGATGCTAACTGTTGGCCACATATGTTTCCGTTAAACCCCTTCTTTCCACCTCTTATTAAGGACAACTGCGCGCACATTCTCCCCAGTTCCCCCACACACCAGTGAAAGTTGAGGTTTTAGTCGATGTTAGTTTAGAAACCTAAGAAAATTCTTATTTTCATCATTTTTTCAGTTGTCTTATGAATATCATCCAATAAAGTGAATTTTCTTGCATAGTCAAATTTGACAATATGCTAATTTGTTAAATTACTTTATTACTGTCTTTGTTCACGAATACAATACGACAATACTAATATATTGTGGTGATAAAAGGATTAGTAGATTACACTAGACACTAGATTAGTTAGCTAATTCGAGAGACTATATATATATATATATTAGCTAGTGGTTTAATTCGGGGAAATAAATGAAGGATTCACTGAAGGTCTCTGTCATATACAATAAAGACTTCATGTATGATAATCACAGTTGATACTTGCTATATAGGAGAACGACTTGTAACAACCAAACCCATCTGTATCCCTCCATTTGATATCTACGGAAATTTAAATTAGCTAAGCTAACATGCATATTTGACCACACTTAAACCCACTAATTACAACCGGATATATTAAGTCCCTAAACCGATATAACTAGACCAGAATCAAAACCACACGTACCAACTCCTAAACCGTTTCTGCATGAATTTATTGAAGTATCCGAAATTGAAAATAAAACCAAATGTTTGGACCACTAACTTAAGATTTTTTGAATTTTGTATTTCATTTCACATTGAAACACGGCGACTTTAATGTTAATCTCGAAGACATTAATTTGCCAGTTGATTTGAGAAATTAATTCGAAAAATATTTTTCTTCTTCAAATTGAAAGGCTTACTTGACTTTGAAATTCCTGTAAGAACAACTAATTACGAATTAGCGTTTCGTTCGTTTAATTCAAACTCTTTCGAACCGATCATTTCGTCTCCTCCCACGCGTTTAATTGACCCAATATGCTTTGTATTGAATATTGATCAACTTAGTATTGATGATCTAATTTGTGTTAGATAGATATACTCTTATTACATAAAATAATTGATATTTTCTTTTACGATTTTTTTTTAATACCGGATGCCATCGTTCGATCTTACTAAATATGTAATTTTTTTTTGCTTTCTATTCCTATGTTTTAAAAGAAGCTATATCTTAAAAAAAAAGTTACATATGCACACTTCGATTAGCATTTTAAAAACTTTGAGTTTGAATTGTAGTTTCTTGATTATGATTTTCTTTTTCTTGGTCAGCATCAACCGTTACTCTCAAAGGTAATTTAATTTCTTTCGTTTCTTGCACTTATTTCCCATTTCATTTTCCTACATTCTAAAATAGAGGTCATGATAACCAAAATATAAAATATTTCCAAAACAAAAATCAAAAGCTTGATTGAGAAGGGGATGATGACGTGGCCGGCTGGATCTCCACCCTCACAGACGACGACGCCGGTTTACACTGTGCAGAGCCCACAGAACACAGACGTCGAAAAGATATCGACCGTTTCAGGTTTTAGCCCATACGGATCACCCATGAACCGTCAGGGCCACGTCAGCCACTACCACCATGACTCTGCGGCCGAGTCATCTTCGACTCCACGGTTCTCTGGCCCATTGAGAAACGAGTACAGAAGTGTCCAAGTGCATGATCTTGACCGCATAATCCACGAGGATGATGAAGACTACGATGAAACGGACGGTCCGAATGAGATGAGGAGAAGGAAGACGCGGTTTTGCTTGTGGTTGTTGTTTACGTTGGTGTTTGCCTTCACCCTCTTCTGTCTCTCTTTGTGGGGCGTTTCCAAATCTTTCTCACCTATTGTAACTTTGAAGGTAAGTGATGAGATAGAGCTTTTGATCACTTCCAACACAAAATTTTACATTTTCCTTATATTAAATAATGACGAAGATGCATGTCACATTTTTTTTTTGCGTTTCATTTTCATATTTAATTTCGAATTCACCTATTTTAACATCAATTGGTATTATTCAATGCAGAGATATTTTACAAATAATGATGCATATAACTTATTTTACTCACAAATTGAAAATTATTCACATTAAAAATAAAAATAAAAATAAAAATCAGGATATGGTGTTAGAGAGCTTGAACGTGCAGTCCGGGAGCGACCAATCGGGAGTGCTCACTGATATGCTAACCCTAAATTCAACGGTCAGGATCTTGTATAAAAACCCTGCAACGTTCTTCACTGTCCACGTCACCTCCTCTCCCCTCCAGCTCAGCCATTCCCAGCTCATCCTCGCCTCCGGTCAGGTAAAACAATTTCATACTTACTGATTAAACCGGGACGGTTTGTGGTCCATGTGGACTAATTATTTTCGCAATTTTTACTCTTTGTGTGACAAAAAAAAATAGATGGAAAAGCTCTCTCAACGAAGGCAAAGCGAAAAAATCATTGAGACCAAAGTAATAGGGGATCAAGTTCCTCTGTACGGAGGCGTACCGGCTCTTTATGGTCAACGAGCTAAACCGGACCAAGTCGTTTTGCCTCTTAACCTGACCTTCACGTTACGATCACGAGCCTATGTGCTCGGCCGATTGGTCAAGACTAAGTTCCAATCGAACATCAGATGCAGCATCACTTTCTATGGCGATACACTTGGCAAGAGACTTGACCTCTCCAAGAATTGTTCTGATCATTGACCAATATGATTATTATATATCATCAGTTCTGATTTAGAGGGGATGAAATTATTTCATGATATAATCGGTGAGATATACATGTAAAGATGTGAAACTGTTTTTTTTTTTTTTTTAATATTACATTTTTCATTTTCATACTCAATAGTTTAGAATTAATTAGCACTCGTTCTAGAATGTTGTTATCGATATCTTTATAAGTACATATTTTGATCGAACGTCATAAGTTATAATTCATAACTGTAGGTTTCCTCTCTCCCTCTATTCATAGAAAAATCCCAAGTTTATATATCTCGTGTGCCACGAAACCTATTTACATTCTAACAATGACAAGAATGTTTTATGGATTGAAGAAGTTTGCATGCAAACCCTTTTGAGCCAAATGCATAGCCGAGGCAACCAAAAGCAAAACGCTGAGAGAAGCACCCAAGCAACCCATCAAAACGTTGAACAACCACATTGGGCTTTTCCTTTGGGGCTTTTTGATAGAGATCCACATAAAAGAGGGATACGTAAACGTCACAAGCAAGGCTATTGCTCCGATAAGAACCGCTAGATAAGGCAAGAACGGGAATACAACGGCTATAGAGAAACAAACCATACCCAAGAACACACGCAACATCATCCGGACAATGATGGAGGCAGGCTTTTGTTTCTTGGTTGTGTACACCATCTCTGCGTTGTCACACGCCGGCATTAAATTTATCGGATATGAACATAAGCAAGAGAAGATGAACGTTAGGTGTATGAAACATGCTGCTTGCTTCGAGTGCTCTTGTGTGTAAAGTTTCAGATAGTTGCCTACAGGACCTCCCGTCGCCGGAATCTATAATAAGTACAAATACAAACATACATTATTACTTTGAAAATCAAAATATCTTATTTTTAAAACGTAAATGCAAACAAACACACAAAAAAAATGTAGTAGTACTGTTGGGTTTTGTCGTTTTGACATACCTTGTCTCCGTAGGCCCAATATACAACAACCGATAATGGAAACATACAAATCGCGATGAGAGTTTGAGACATCATTACTGCTCTCCACATTGTCGTACTTGAAGGGTTCTTTGAATCGGAAGGAAGAGTACCCTACAAATATCACCCAAACATAACCAAATTATTAATATTCAACGAAAACAAAAAAATATTTTGGTTCCATGTAATCATGTTTTAAATGGGAGTTCATTAAGACCTGTATCTCAAGGACGAGGTTGTTCCCACGAAAGACTAGAGCTATCAATCCAATAGCGTTGAAAATGTGAACGAAACTTTTATCGGACGTAGCGTATCTGACTTGAGTCTTTTGAGCATCACTAGTTACAGGCAAAATCCATATAACGGTGCAATACGTGACTCCCATAATAGCACCGATCACGGAGACTCCAAAAAGAGAATTCAGATTGGGAAACTGAGACATGACGATTGCAATGCAGCTAAAAACCAAGAAGCATTGCACTGAAGTAAGTGGCGCAGTGTTATCTTCAGACATAATCTGTAGAAGTTGCTGTATCGATTTCCCTCCGGTTATAACCAAAATCGTACAGGCTCCTCCTGAGAGATACATCACAGGGAATATTGCGAGAAGTTTCCCAAGCTTCACACCTAAATTAATTACAAAAAAAAAACGGTACCGTTTTAAGAAACCACATAACTCTTAACAATGAATATATGAATTAAAGAATTTTATTAAAAACAGTTACATACCAAATGAAGCGATTGCGAGTCTCACGAATCTGCTGATACGTATTCCAGGTACGGCTTCGTGGAGATGAACAAGAAGCCATGTCGTGTAGAGCTTCCATACAAACCCTACCGTTAAAATTATCGTTCCCCAAACCCTGCAAAAATATAAATAAAATCTTTAAACCGTATACACATAGTATTATTATTCACACCAACAAGAAAGAAAACAAATTATATATAAAGAGTAGTTAAAGCAGAGGTTTTTAAAATCGGAGAAAATAAAGAGAATCTTGATTAGTACCATCCGAGTGCTGCGAAAGCTGCAGGAAGAAGAATCACTTGGAGACCAATTCCTGAACAGAGAAGATGAAACGTCGCCGTATAAACATTCCCTTTTCTTGATTCTGTGATCGGCAGCCACTCTTCTACCGGGATCCGTCCACCATCACCGCCGGTTTTAACGCCGGAGATTGGTTCTGGATCCGTGGTAGGGGTTGGTGACATAAATAAAGGAGAACCACCACTTTCTTGTGATTCCAAATCAAACAATTTTCCCAATGTTGTTATAGGCATATTTTGTATCCCAACCAAAAAAAAAAAAATATTATTTTTTCGCTAAGGCGTTATTTACGCAAAACCACAAAAGCTATGTATTTTCTCTCCATTCATTGGATTATATAGTTAAATTTCTTGGGCTGTCTGCCTTAATTAATTGACTTTGAAACTCTTTTTCCAAAAAAATCATAAAGATTAAAAATATATACTACTTTTTTAAGTGCTCAAGAGAATCTCTATAGTTTATTATCACTAAACGGTTAATATATCTACTTACCATTTTTAATTATCAAAAAATTTTAACGGTAGAAATTATTACCTACTATGACATAAGCATTAATGACGCAATAAATATGACGTAATCAGTTACATCACTTTCAATACACTAGTCAAGAGCGAGAGACCTACAAAGCTGGTATATATCGAAGTCTTCTTATTTTGTTCGGTTTCAAGTCAAGAGCCAAAAAAAGATACCAAACTGGTTCCGCGTTAGATTTGTGTTCATTGTTCCATTGGACTTTGTTTTGCTCTTCTTGGGTGTTTGGTCAAAGCAGGCGTCAACTTTGAGCCAAGCTTCCACCCATGACCCATCGTCTCTTTGTTTACACATTCAAGTGGCTAGAGGTGATAAACGTGTTTAGTGTTGCTTTTGAGTCGACTTTTTTTTTTTTTGTTATAAAACAAAATAATGAAAAGTATGTGGAAAAATGATTTAGAGAGTAGGGATCTAGTCATCTACTTTTACAACTCATATCTTCGTGAAACCAAATGAGATACAAAGTCTAGTTGTAAGTGAGAATTTAGACTCAGGTTTAGCTTCAGAAAGTAGCTTCAAGTCTTAGTGGTAAGTCAGGATTAGTTGTTTGGTACATTTGTCTTTTGTGCGCATTAAGAGTCGATGGGATGCGGATATCTTGTTTTCTTGGTATTTGTAATCTTTTTTTTTTTAATCGATACTATTATTCTTTTACTTTATAGTATGTACTTATATGCTAACAAGCCAATTGGCTATTTGATCCATCTTAATTTAAACTAAACTTTGCTTAGACGTATGAAAAATACAAAATTTAACCAAAAAAATATATTGCAATATTCATTTCAAAGTTCACATGTAAGTTTCAAAACCGAAGTAAAAAAGATTAAATTCGAAGTTGACTTAAAAATATATATATATATCTGATTTGGTAACAAGTGATTGTTATTTATTTTGGGGTCAGCTAATTAGAGAAACTTAACGTTAACTACAGTCAACTAAAACCAGTCAAACAGTTAACTAAAAGTTTAGGAATTCACATTTCTTGACTCAAGTTGATGATAATGACAAGCTAAAAATTTTAAATATATAAAGTGTTGGACAATCCATGTTTAAATCCTTAGTTCGGTACTCTTGATCTTGCATACATTATCGTCATATCCTTAGATGAATGGTGCAATCGTGAAGCTTGAGGCAAGCCTACTATTTGAAAATTACGTTGTCACATTAACCTCGTACGACCTGTGTTAATTTTTTTTTCTGGATAAAGGGTTTTTAATTTTTTATTTTTTTATCTATGTTCCAACATACGAAATTGAATTTGAATTCCTTTTACGTGTTTCGGTAGTTTCCTCGTGATCACCGATCGAAGTATTGACAAGTCTTAACAAATTAAAGATAATTAGGAAATTACACAATTTTGGGTCTCTTTGTGATATATATATTTTTTTCGCAGAATAATAATGTTCGAAATAGACTGTGCAACAGTGCAAGTGTTGCCAGTATGAACGCAACTGTTTGCTTGTAATATCTAAAAGAAATCAAAATATCTTCTTTTTTTCTGTGGGTAAAAGAAAAAAAAAATATCTTATTTCAGAAATTATGACAAAGAATATGTAATTATTGTTCGTCGAACTTCATACACAAAAGTAAAATCTCATCAACTCCCACTAACAAAACAGATCGAATCAGACATGAAATAATCGTAAATACGAGTGGATTTTACGCATTTGATTGACGCAAAGATGTCTATATATATAATATTTCATTTCTTTCTCTTACATGTGAGAAGATAAAAATAGATAACGAGTATTACAATACAAATATTTTTCATGACTACAGAAAACAAAATAAATCTAATTTTAAACAATCCAAATAATCTGTTAAATATAAATGGTTTCCATCTGCTTATGTGTGGCTAAGCTGTGAGCTGAAGTCAAAGAAAAAAAATCATCTGTTAAACACAAACTGTTTCCATCTGCTTATATGTGTGGCTAAGCTATAAGCCTAAGTCAAAGAAAAAATGTCATCTGTTAAATACAATCTGTTTCCATCTGTTTATATGTGTGGCTAAGCTGTAAACTCAAGTCAAAGAAAAAGAAAAACTATTTACATATATATCTATATATCCAAATCATCTGTTAACTACGAATTGTTTCCATCTGTTTATGTGTGGCCAAGCTGTAAGCTCAAGTGAAAGACAAGGATGGTTTTGCGTTAGATTGTGTCAAGTTAAACACTATTAGATGAAACGAGTTAGGTTTGGCACTACAAGAATTTTTAGGTGTCGGTCGTGATACTAGTTGGTGGTACTTAATTATGACTCATCATTTTTAATAAAACAAAATTCTGTTTTAAAAAAAATAATAATAATGTAAAAAATACGAGCGGTCAAAGTTCCAAAAGTAACCATAAGTAAAGTGGTCCTCATCAATTGAGGATTTAGCTAAGTAGGTTCCTCTGTTCCTTTACGTGATGGTGATGTGTAAATTATTATATCAGAAACATGAAAGCGAAATAATTAGACATCTCACTATAATGCTGTCTCATGCACTTGGTAATTTTAAACCGACATAAAGTAAAAGAAAAACTAATCATTATCAGTCACTTTAAAATTATCTTTGAAGGTGAACCTCATTCATGGTGTCGTGGTGATATACACAATTACGACGACTGTAATAAACAAAACTGACTTACGAAGATCAAAGGTAAAAATCATCAGATTACAAAGATCAAAGGCCATGCTAATTTGCTGTATCAGTAAATTGCTATATTGAGGATACAGGTTAGGTTGGGTATAGTTGAATGGTACTATAGATAGATGCGTAAGTACTATTGCTAGCTTCCTTGTTGTTCATTTCATCTCAACTTGATCGTTATCTTAAGGAGCCATATATTGAATTAAAGGGACATTGCCTTTGTAGCTCAGCCAAACGAAACTTCCTCTAAAGTGATATATAATTGCTAAAGTGTACAAAAACATGCAAAATGTACGTAGTTACACCGGCAAGGCAACAAAGACTATTTACTTTCTTAATCTTTGTTTTTTAAAAAAGCAATGCGTCGGACCCAATTAGTATATTGAGGTGGCTATATTTTATATCGTAAATCCATAGACGGCCGGCCAAAGGGATCTATTTGTTTTAATATGAGTATCGCCATCGGATCACACTAACTTATTGGAAGACAAAAAAGCTTAAAAAAGGTGTGAGAAGCAACTTAATACAAAAATATACATACGTATATCAGTATATGGATTGAAAAAGAGACGAAGGCACTAATTGGTTATGTACTTTAATTAGTAAGCTGAAAGCCTCAAATGCAAAAGTGTAGCCAAGTGGAATTGTTCGGAATTTTTTAGGTCTTTTTTTTCATAGTTTCAGTTTCATTAGTTTTTTATAATGGAAAAAAGAGATGGGCCTAAATCTTGGGTTTAGAGATCCAAAGTTAGAAGCAAAATGTGTAAAATCAATACTGGGCAAAAACATAATTGAGGAGCCAACCATTGTACCTCCGTCATGTTTCTTTTCACGACACGATGATCTCTATCGAGAAAATTATTATGATCATGCACACACATTCGTCACAGAGAGACCTTTTAAGCAAACAACAAGTTCTCATTGAGCCAACAAATCGTTGATTATTGGAAAAGGTAGTTAAAGAAGGGGAGCTTAGCATTTATTTGACCGAGTCAAAGTTAGGCAATTGACCCAAAAAGAAAGATGAGAAAAAGGAGTGAGTGCTGTTCAGATTTTAGAAAAGCAAACTACGTGTCGTTTAGATACAATCCTACCAGGTACATGTACAAAATGTGTAAACCAAACAAACTAATAATAATGGAATGTTGTGTCAGGAGGAGAAAGAACCAACCATCCCTACTTGTTGACACCAACAAGTATGGGTCATAATGTGGGATCCATCAAATTTAGCCACTAGTGTGGATTCAACCCGAACTCGACACGTTTGAGCCAAAGGACGAAACATTGAATGGAGAAAAGTGGAGAAAAAAACGGTTCGATGATGAACCATCCTCCATCCATCCTTTCCTAGAAAAGAAAAAACCAAAGATATATACCTAACACACCAAAGGTTCTTATGACATCATCACACCAACTTTGAAAATGAAGTTAGGAACGAGAGATATCAATGTTGGGTTTGCCACAATTATATAGGTAACTTTCCATCCAAATGCTTTAAGTTATGCTTTCTAACACTGTTTTAAGTTTCTTGTTCTTGTAGTTACTTTTGAATTTTAATTGATCCTTTAAGTGTCTTTTTTTAATCAAACCATAAAAGCAAACCACTCTTTCAACTATAAAAAGGAAAAGAAGAAAGCTTGTTACTCGAATACAATTGGATATATGGAACAGTACTGTCTGTCTTTGCTGCTTTCTTGTGTCTATATAATTTCTTGTCTCATTGTCTAAGTTGCATCACAAAGTGAAACAAGAATGACTTAGCTTGAACCACACGTTCATCTTCCAAGAAAGAAACTTTTTTTTTCTTCCCCAAATCCACCAGAGAAACAAGAAAAAAAAAAAAAAAAAAAACAAACTGACTTAGCTAAGAGTATGGAAATAGTGAAGTCGAGGTTCAAGAGGGTTTGTGTGTTCTGTGGTAGCAGCAGCGGGAACAGAGACTGCTACAAAGATGCTGCCACTGATCTAGCTCAAGAGCTGGTTCGGCTCTGCTTAAATTTTAAATAGAGTCTGAAATCCCTGAATAGGTCTTGACTTTTCACTCTGTTTCCTCTGTTTTTTAAACAGGTGACGAGGAGATTGAATCTTGTGTATGGAGGAGGAAGCATTGGTCTCATGGGCTTGGTCTCACAAGCTGTTCATGAAGCTGGAGGACATGTACTAGGGTATGTATGCTCAAATTTATGTCCTCTTCACTTCAGTTTTGCGCCCTTCACTGCTTTAGTAACGACATCGTTGTGTGATTTGCTTTCACTTTGCTTTGCTTTCATGGGTTAGGATCATACCAAGGACTCTTATGGACAAAGAGGTAGGCATAAACTCTTTACGTTTTAGCTTAAATGATTACATTATTTTCAAAAGGAGTCCTCTCTGAAATGTGATTTTATAATAGATAACCGGAGTAACATATGGCGAGGTACAAGCTGTGGCGGATATGCATGAAAGGAAAGCAGAAATGGCACGCCAGTCGGATTGTTTCATTGCACTACCAGGTACATAATAACTGACTAGCTTAGATACTTTGTAAAACTTGAACATAAAACTAGGTCTGGATGTTTCAAGTTTAGATATTTCTTCCAAAACAAGATCTAAACTTTGTAATAAACTTCCAATTGCTCTGTTCTTGCAAATTGTTATCAGGTGGGTATGGAACGCTGGAGGAGTTATTGGAAGTAATAACATGGGCACAACTTGGAATCCACGACAAGCCTGTAAGTACTATTAAACTGACTCTGGTAATCACTATAGCCAAATTATAAACAATGTCTTGATCTTTTGTGTTTCCACTTTGGGGGGAACTTTTGCAGGTGGGTTTGTTAAATGTGGATGGTTATTACAATTACCTCCTCACTTTCATTGATAAAGCCGTTGATGATGGCTTTATTAAGCCATGTCAACGTCACATCTTTGTCTCTGCCCCTAATGCGAAAGAGCTTGTCCAAAAACTTGAGGTGGGTGTCCACCAAAATATTGCTTTGTTTTTCTCTTGAGATTCTGATGAAGGTAACAAAGACAAAAGCTTTGCAAGCGAAATTGAGATTTTGTGCTTTGATTTTCCTCAGGCATATGAGCCAGTGAGTGAAGGAGTCATAGCAAAATCTAGGTGGGAGGTGGAGAAGAGAGTGCAAGTGCAACAGCCTCAACAAGTAGTGTTCTGTTCTAACACAAGCATGCAGACTGAGATTGCTCTCTAGACTACTTTTGGAGGGTCTTTTGTCTAAGAATTCGAAGTGTAGGGATAAAATTGTGAGATATATTAAAGTTTGTTGCTTTTGTTGGGTTTCTTTTGTCCTCTTTCTTGAGACGATCTCATCGACCAAATCTTCTTGATATATTTATAATGGACGTGGTCGGTGTTTGATGTACGTAGATTAAAATCCTTAATGATCTGGATTAGAAAATGGAACATATATAATTAGTGTGTAAAATCACTATTTCTTCTGCGTTCATCACTTTTGCAGACCATTCATATATACAATCAAGATTAGGAGACCTCATTTATTTTATTTTATTTTTAGCCATGTTTTTTTATGCATTGTCCCTCCCAAAAAGATATGATGTATTTCATACCCAAGAAAAAAGTATATTTGAATATATACCAAGAAATAAATGTGCACGAGGGATTCTGCACCTTATTGGCTTAGTTTAAGGCAAATTCAGTAAGGCTTGTCTCCTTGGAGTTGATGGTAACAGCACCATTCATGCATATATTCTCTCTCAAAATCTCATGTGCAACCAATAGATATTAATTAGTATATTACAGTACATGATACAACTACTAGAGCCTTATAAATACTGGAAAAAAAAAATTAAAATTTGCAGTGTAGGAGGCAGACAATATCTGAATAACATAAATGTATCCACGAGTGGCACAAATAAATATCATATGCTTGAAGGAGACAAGCCCTACTGGTTGTGCATGTTCCTACACCAATAAGATGCAGAATCGTAGCTAATTCATGTGATCAGATCTGAATAATGTATATTGCTTATGCACATTGGATGATGCGTTGGGGTGAGTGGATGGAGGGAGACATTGCAGAAACATCGGTTTCTATTATTCAAATTCGAACCACTTTAAGATTCCTTCCTTAGTGTTGTATAAATGTATTGACCGGAGAGCCAATGAAGACAGAACAAACATCTAAGCATTTTCTTCATCTCAAAAACAGAGAAAGAAAGCTCAAACAAGAAAATGGCAGTCTCCTTCCATGTTCGATCTAACAGCTACCCTTCAAGGCAACACCCTCAAGCCGCTCATGTCGATGAGCAATTGACCCGATTGAGATCTTCTGAGACATCTTCTTCATCTTCTATCTGCCAAAGACTTAGCGACCTGCAAGATTTACATGATTCTCTTGAAAAGATGATTCGCTTATCTGTCACCAACCAGGCTTTATCCCAAGATCAGATTGAGAAGCTTCTTGGTGGATCCATCAAGATCTTGGATTTATGCAACCTTGCCAAGGATGGTTTGTCACAAATGAAAGAGAGTCTCAAGGAGATCCAGTCTATTGTAAGAAGAAAGCGTGGAAATCTATCCGCTGAGGTCAAGAAATACTTAGCCTCGAGAAAGTTTCTCAAGAAATCATTCCAAAAAGTACTCAAGAGTTTAAAAACCAGCCAAAACAAGAACAATGACGCTTTGGCTGTGTTTGGAGAAGCAGAAGCCGTAACAGTTGCTTTGTTTGAAACTATATTTAGCTTCATGTCCGGATCAAAGGCTTGTGGCAAATGGTCAGTGGTCTCAAAGATGATGAGCCAAAGCATAGTTACTTGTGAAGCTGAAGCAAATGAATTCACGAGAGTGGACTTGGAGCTCCAATCAGAGAAGTCTTTGAAGGTGGAGAATGTGCAGATCTTAGAGTCATGCATTCAAGATCTTGAAGAAGGAATTGAGTCACTCTCTAAATCATTAATCAAATACAGAGTCTCAGTTCTTAACATCTAATAGGTCGTTATGCCCACAATTGTTTGTATACATAGGAAATGTAAATATTAATTAACACAAAACTAATACAACATTCTTTGATATAATTAAGTTCTATCATTTCTTCTTTAATTCTTTCCCAACATAAGAAGTGAAAACATCCCAACAAGTTAAACAACAAGCATTCATGGATATATGCGGTTTAAAAACCCTGACAATGTTTCACTCTATGTCCTAGTCCATAATGAGCCTTAAAAAAAGTTGGAGCCAACAAGTTACCCTAACGTATGCTATCAATGAGACAAGTAGTGGAATTGTTACTTTCGCCCCAAGAAACTGTTTTGGGTTTCTTAAGAAGTTAAGATTCAAATTTTGGTCGAGAAAGGTAGTGAAATATTCGGAACAAAGCAGCCAACGACGGTTTATGCTCGTAAAGGAAATTTAAAAATGGCGAGTGATAATTTTATTCTCTTTCAGAAGGAGATTATTCATTAGTTTCCTTAAATAGTGACAAAATATATAAAACCCTGGAGGAAAATGTAAAAATTTAGTTTTCTTTTTTTATGCGTCGTACAAATGTAAAAAATACTTATATTTACTTGTACAAAATGTAAAATATCCTAAATAACATTATATAAATGGGTGTATATAATTACAATTTGTGTAAAAAGAACACAAAGTTGAACAAAAAAAGTCGAATTTGTGAGGAACAAGAAAAGAAATTATGAGTACTATTACTGCTTGCATCATAGCTGCCGTGGTTGTTGTGGTTGTGCTGATGATGGGCCTTTCGTATTGTTGCATTTACAGATGGTGGAAATACGCAGATAATGTATCCTCAGTGCGACCTATTTCACTAGCACAATTAGGTAAAATATTCAAAACATTATATTTCTTGTTCTTTACCTTTACAAGAATTACAAACATATTTTTTACTCTCTTTTTTTTTTTTTACATTGGTTTCAGAGATGACGATGACATAAACAAACCAGGATCTTGATCCTACAAAATAAAAGAACAGGATATGGCGAGTAGTTTTTTGGTTTTCTTACTGCTTTAGATATTTTATTTTTATTTTAATGATATGGATTATGAATGATGTTGACAAAAAAAAAAAATTGAATAGTTTTTCTAATTATTAATATGAAGAGAATTAACTTATTATATTAATTATACTATCATATGTTTCAATATGAGACAAAGTTTTTTCATGTGCCAAGTGGAATGTTTCATAACAAACCAATTTATTCACACACTCAAGATCTTAGCAATTTGGGCTGTTATATCATCTAATAAATTGTGTTATAGTTTGGGCCTATAAGAAATTCAGGCCCATAAATGAAAATAAAAAAATAAACCCAAATTTGTCAAAATGGAAACATCATCTACATCGTGATGATCGAAATCATCACAGCGACCTACTCTAAAGCAATGGCCGTTGCTCCACTATTCCTCCTCCACGTCATCACACTACTCTCTCTCCCTTCTCTTCCCATTTCCGCCGCTAACTCCGATGCATATCCTTCCATTCCCGGCACTGCTCCTATCGACGGAGGTTTTCTCGATGAGCTCAAGCCTATCCGCCGCGAAGTCTACGGGGAAGGCAAAATCTACGACATCAGTCACCGTTACACTCCGGAGATGCCGTCGTGGGACTCGTCGGAAGGACTCGGAAGGTTTCTATGGTTAGCTGCGAGTATGAAGAACGGATCTCGCGCTAACAACTCTGAGATGAAGATCCCCACGCACACTGGTACTCACGTTGATTCCCCTGGACACGTGTACGACGACTATTACGATGCTGGTTTCGATGTTGACTCGCTTGATCTTCGAGTTCTCAATGGTACTATATGATCTATAAAAGAGCCTTGTTCCATTTGTTTATTGTATCCCTCTCAGTTTGGTTTGGGTTTCGTTTGTAGGTCTTGCCTTGTTGGTTGATGTTCCAAAGGATAAGAACATAACTGGTAAGTGAGACTTTTGTTGGCTACTACAACTTTGATTAACTAAATTAAGCTAAAAGACTGTGATTACAAGACTAAGCTTCAAATCCAGTATTTAGAAACTTTGTTTTATTTTTGGCTCTGATCTTGTAATGCTTTTCTTTCTGATTGGGTAGCCGAAGTGATGAAATCTCTTCACATTCCAAAAGGAGTTAGTCGTGTACTTTTCAGAACACTGAACACTGACAGGTAATATTTTTTAGTAATTCTCATTTGGATAAATATTAATTCTAATAGAATGTATCAGTGATCAGCTTTTGGTCATCTGTTTAGTTCGGAGTTTCTGAAGTGAGTGTTGGGTTTGTTTAACTATGGATGTAAACATTTCAGGCGTCTTATGTTCAAGAAAGAGTTTGATACAAGCTATGTCGGATTCATGAAAGATGGAGCGCAATGGTTGGTAGACAACACAGATATCAAGCTTGTCGGTAATAATCAAACTATTCACCTTTTCATTTGGATGTTTCTGTTTTCCTTGTTCATGTTTTGTGTTAGTTATCAAACCGAGTTTGAAGCAATGACATCTCTAAGATTTGATTTTTTGACTTGTACTTGTTGGTTGAGTTTTGGTGAAATGGTCTTTAACCTGAGTTTGGTGTATCCATCTTAAAATGTAGGTATTGATTATTTATCAGTAGCTGCATATGATGATCTGATTCCGTCTCACCTAGTATTCCTCAAAGACCGGGTAAGCAATCTTATCTTTTAAGTTTTGCTAACTAGATCAGTCCAGAACAATGAATATTTGATATTGATGGTTGAGAAAAATATAAAACCTTGACAGGAGACTATCCTTGTGGAGGGATTGAAGCTGGATGGTGTGAAGGCAGGAGTCTACACTGTCCATTGTTTACCACTAAGACTGGTTGGAGCAGAAGGGGCTCCAATTCGTTGCATCCTCATCGATTGATTATCTCCTCACAAACCAGCCAAATCTGAAGTTGTCTGTAATCAAGCTTGCTTAGCGTTATGAACTGAACATCAGTTTTAGCAAGATTTTATGCAACCAATGTGGAGATTGAAGTAGGAAGCAATAAGAGAGGTGCAGAGAAGACGAAGTTGAGGAGAAAGAACCACTTAAGAAGGAAGATTTCTATGTATAATAACGGTTTGTACTTAAGATCTTAGGCTTAACAATAAATCAATGAAATATACTTTTAATCTGTCGAGGTTGCAATTTAACTATGAAAAACATGAAAGAGTGAGACGAAAACGCCTATGAGAAAGCAATGCACTCTGCTTACCTTTTTCTCAAAGATGTGGGTTCAAGTCTCGGAAATGTTCTGCTTAAGACGTGGCTAAGCATCTCAAGGAACAGAAATTGGTGATGCCGGGACACAGAGAGTCTAGTTTGCACAAGTAGGTAAACGGCTATATCGCAACATCTTTTGGAGGAAACTGGTGCACTCACTGTTTTTACTGACCTCATGGGAGCTATTGGGTAAGGCACCGGAATCTTGCTTGCTGTCTCTACCATATACATCAGTGTTTTTGAGACTTTTGACAACGAAAACTCCAGAGAGTGAGGCTACTATGGGCTCTCATTGCTTCCAGCCTTGCACAATCAAACACTCCTAAAGATATAGCTTTAGTTTATTTCTGTCAATAAAATAAAGATATAATGAATTCATTGCCATGTATTCAGATTAAGAGCAGTAAATCATTAATCATGGTTTTAGTTCCACGATCAGGGAGATTTTGTATTTGAAATTGAGCTTTTACTATGAAGCTTTCTGTTACATCACTTAAGAATTAAAATAAAAGGGTTATACAGTATCGAGTTGGGAAAACACTGATATTATGTCAAATGGGCTCAAAAAGAATAAGAGGGAGATACCTTTTTCCTTTGATAGGCCCATTTAAGTTGTTAACATTAACAACAATAGTAAAAAGATCCCACATCGGGTTATCTGAAGAGAAGAACCTGTGTTTATAAAGAGTTGGATTGACACCAGTGATTGTCCCTTCGGGGACATCCGATAAAATTGGAACGATACAGAGAAGATTAGCATGGCCCCTGCGCAAGGATGACACGCACAAATCGAGAAATGGTCCAAAAATTTTTTGGAAAAATTTCAGATCGATTTGGGTTAGGGTGAACCGATTCTCCATGTATTAGCCTATTTCAGATCGATTTGGGTTAGGGTGACCCGATTCTCCATGTATTAGCCTATTTCAGATCGATTTGGGTTAGGGTGACCCGATTCTCCATGTATTAGCCCTTAGCCGTCTAGATGATCAGAGTGGTTTTGCTGGGTATTATTATGATTATCCGTGAAGTGACAAGAAATTTGATTTTGAAAAGCATTTTATTTGGGTAAATGTGTTCTCAAGATAAACAGGTTCATCATCTTTGAGCTACTTGGTTACTACTAATGCCATGAGGCTACCATTGATTTGGACATCAAAGTCACTCAACGTCCACCATGTTTAAGTCTTGAGTTTGGAATTTGGAAAGCAGAACATGATCCATAAAAGAGCAATTTGTATTTTCGAAACTCTTGTCCATTAAAACTTACAGCATGTATTGCATACAAACAAACAAACATCAATTTTCTTCTCTCCCTATGGTTACATTACATCCCCAATCAACAATCATAGCAACAAGTTTTAACCGGTTTTCTCTTTCTTCTTCTTAAAAAGAATTCTTGAAGCTCGTTAATTTTTTTACAACAAGATGTAACACTTTGTGTCTCAAGGATCAAGATCCTCTGCCACCTCGTTGTCTCTTCTCTTCGAGCTGAGCTGCTTCGTTCAACATATCGGCTGCGTCTGTGTTCATATTCAGCTTCGCTAACGCTACAGACTGCATGTAGAAAGCCGTTGGCCAATCTGGATACACGCATTGTGCTTGCATCGCGTCACGTAGTGCTGCGTCTGGTTGATCGCATAGTAAGTAGCATAGACTTCGCCTACCAAAAACAGTTGGAGACACCATTGTTCCAACGTCTATGAACTGCCCACAGAAGCAACAATTGTACCCATATGAGTTCTAATACTATCAGATAAACAATCTGGTTTTAACCCGATACCAATACCAAATGGGTTGGACATGTAAGAAGAAGTAGCCGGAAATCACTACCTGTGAGTAACAGTCAATGGCTGTTTTGAAATCTTTCTCGCGGAAAGATTGATCACCGCGTTTCCGTGCATCAAGCATATCTTTCATCTGTTGCGTCCATTCTTGGAATGATAACTGAAAATCCTCAAGAGTTAGCCAGCCTATTTTTTTACGCGTCTTAGCAACTGAAACCAAAACTACCGTCTAATTACCTCGTTTGTGCCTTCGTCGTCTCTGTAATGTGTCATGACCAAAATCTGATGAATAGCTGTGAGATCCATTCTTGAGCAGGCCTCACCTAATGGTGAAAGTGGCCTTTGTGGAGTCGAAGGTGCCTCCTCTTGCTTCTTTATTCCAAGCATCACATAAGAGGGAACCTGTAACCAAAATATTTAACATTTAAATGAATTCGAAAACAGGTAAATAAGAACTTGATTTAATTCAGAACTGGGATTTACAAGATCTCTTGCTTACGTCTGATTTAGTTTGCAATGGTGCAAGTGTTGCAACAAGATCTTTTGTATTGGGTCTCTCTCGAGGCTCATATTGCAAACACTGAGAGGCGAGTTCGACAACTACGGTAGCTTCTTCTGTTGAGAACTTTCCTTCAAGGTGTGAATCCATCAACAGAATAATATTCTTGCCACGTATCATATCAAGAGCCTAGAAGTAAGAGATATGATAATTACTTATCAAGATATCACTCACCCAAATTGATACCACAAAACTTATTAACTGGTATTATATGACATGAACATCTTTCAAACTTAACTATGCAAGAACGAAGAATCACATGGACATGTTGAGAGCTATATCTTATAATAGTGCTTAAAGAACAAGAGTGTAGCACATATAGTAGCAGTATGTAGTAGGAGACGGTGAAGGAGCAGTATTATCTTGTTTCTAGTAACCATGATCAGTGACCAACTAAGGTAGCTTCACATAACTTAAACCAAAATCATGACCAATGAGCGGATAATTTCACACCAAAACCACACATATTTGTAGTGGTATACTTGCTCCTACTCAAACATCTAGATAGGAACTTACATGGCTTGGAGGGATGTGCTTTCCGCTAAGCAAATCCAGAAGGACAGTTCCAAAGCTATAAGTAACACTTTCAGGGGTCACTCTTCCTACAACAAAAAATTTACCACACTGAAATCCATCTTTGAAAAAGTGCAAAAACATAGATGTGCGTATTATACTATTATGTTGATTGTAATAATCTTAGAAAGAAGAAACAAAGCTGTTGATTTACCATTTCTTAGATATTCAGGTGGTGTATATGCTAGATTTGTGCTATAACTTTTACCATCTCTACTGTTCTTCATCAATCCGAAACATGAGAGCCGAGGATCACCATCCTACAATGTTCATTATAAAAACAAACTAGTTAAGCTCCGCCTTAACATCACAATGAGACATCTCTTAAGCATGAAAGAACTCTTGAGAAAAGAAAAATACCTCATCAAAGAGAACCCTATAAGCATTTAAATCATGGTACAATGGACGACCTTCAGTACTACAATAATCCAAAGCTTCAGCTATGTAATATCCTACTCGCAACCTCATAGCCCATTCGATAGTCTGATTCTCCCCTGTGAATGACCAAAACAAGAATAAGATAAGAAACAAACAATGCACCCTTTAAGACATTCTAATTCACGTAAAGTAATCTCCTTTAGTCCATCTAACATCACAACCTTATATAGCATAAACCCATAAATGCAAGCTCTTTGCAATTGGCAAACACTGGATACTAAAGAGACTAAATTTCAGAGCTTTGGAGACACATTTACAACCTAACAGGACTGACAACCAAATTCATTGTTACTAATGAGAAAGAGGCATAAAAAAAGAAGAAAAAGAAGCATACAATGGAACAAATGCTTAGCAAGAGTATCATTAGGCATGAACTCAGCAACAAGAAGCCTTTCATCTCCATCACAACAATATCCAATCAAATTCGCCAACCGATTGTGCCTCAATTTCCCCACACCCCAAGCCTCTTCCTGAAACAAATTGAAGAAAGAAAAAAAAAACACAAATTTTCAGAGAAAAAAATCCGACAAAAATAGAATCAAACTAAAGGGTTTTGTTTAATATGCTTACAGCAAATTGTTTAGGCTCAGGCCAAGCCATCTTAGTAAACTTCTTGACAGCGATCCAACGACGGTTCTGAAGTCGGCCTTTGTAAACAAGATTTGGGGCTTTCTCACCACTCTCTGATACGATGTTGTCGGAACTGAAGTTGTTGGTGGCTGCTTTAAGGTCAGCGAAAGAGAACTCAGAGAAAGATGGGATTCCTCCTCCACCTCCTCCTCCTCCTCCTCCGCCGCCTACAGCACTACCCCCGCCTCCTCCGATTCCGCCGTTATCAGCCGCCGTAACGCCTCCGTGGCTGTTCTGAGAGAGTTGTGACGGCTGAGCTCCATCTTTCCCAAGTGGGTTTTCACGGGAACACAAGGATTGACAACAACCCATCAAAAAATATTTTCTTACCCAAGTCGGAAAGTGTTTCTCTTTCGACTCCTTCCGTGTAAGAGAGAGAAAGAGAAAGATAGTGTTGGAAAATAAAAATCCGATTTTTATTTCTAATTTCTTCTTTCTTCTGTTTTGACTCCTGAGGTAAGTTTCTTCCTTCTCCTTCTTGTCAAATATGATACTACTCTACTGAAATAGTATTAAATATATAAAAGATGATTATCATTTTAGATCATCTTGTAAATCCTAGATTTGTTATTCATGCATATGTATCTATTTTTCTTTTTGTTCATTCTTTCTCATTGTTTTAAGAATGCCAACATTGAAGTTGAACTGTAACTTTTTTTTTGTTTTTGGGTCTATAATTATGTTTTGTGTTAAAAGCAAAGGATTTGAGAAAAATGAAAAGCCAAAATATTCAGAAGAAGCCAACATTTTTTTCTTGTATATATACTATACTATAATACAATAAATTGATTCCGATGTTCAATGATTTAAAACTTTGTGGTACCAAAAGAGATTTTTGGGAAATCACATTATTGCCAGCTCAAATGGTTTGTGATTGGAATGACTTATCATCAACCATTCCTACTTTTGCTTTCTCGTTTTTATTCAACAAAACATTCCCATTTCATCAACCTAGTTTTTTTTTGTTTTTCTAGTTCTAAGTACCTAGCAGCTTATTTCAAAATGTTAGTACTTTTTTTTGTATAATGTCAAGAGAGAAGCGTGTGAAGAAAATGTGAAGTGTTTTTTTAGAAGTTGACTTTGAAACCGTGTGAATATTTGGATTTTTATGTGTGTGTGTGTGTTTTTTTTTTTTTTTTTGCATTATCTCCCTTTTGCATAGTGTTTATGAATTATTAACGTACCTTCTAATTAGGGTAAAGTGAATATCAATTTTCTCAATGGATTTGACAGACTGACATATTTGTTTCCATCTGAGTTCTAATTACTGTTTCACCAAAAATGATTATTTTCTATGCGTTATTCCTAGAAATAAATCTTTTGGAAAGAACCTTATTTTAAGAAGTTTACTATCTTAAAAGAAGTCTTTCAAAACCACATGAAGACAGTTTCTTTGGCTTTGGAACTCTGAATGTGCAAGCGTTTATTTGGAAACCAGATGAACCAATATGGCTAAATGTTCTGAATTCTTTTAAGAATTTGATTTAATATATTAAACCGCACAGATCACCACATTTGAAATGGATATATAGTTAGGTGGTACCTCTTAATAAAGACGGCTAGCCTAATATAATACTACAAAAATATGGTCAAGTATATGGATTAAGCTTTCAAACTTGCAACTGTTAATTTACACTAATGTACATACTCGTACATGTGTTATTAATTTATATACACATGCAGTAACACCAAATTTCTATTAATACCCATATATAGTTTGGATACCAGATTGAATAATTTACATGTATGAAATGAAAAGTATACTTAAATTTGTATTACCCCATGTAGCTTTGGGGAAAATAGAGCTTTAAGCTTTCAAGAACACAAGAGCTGTCTCTTTGTGTTTGAAAAGGGAAAGAGTGAAGTGATCCAATGATTCTCCAGACTCCAGAGTACGTAATTGGCTTTTCTTATATGATTAGATGCTCAAGCACTATCTCTAATATAGTAATTTAATAATTACTCATTACGAACCTATGGTTGGATCGCAATAATAACTTCTGGCACTTATTCTCTGCATGTTATTGTTTTATTTCAATTTATTAGTATTATTTCACAACAAACAAAGAGAAAACAAAAATAAATATATTGACACACGAGACGTCAAGTTCGCGCACGCAAATCATGTTAGGCACGGCAGCTTCAAGACGAGAACTGTATTGGCGCAGGCACTAGTAGTCGAGAGTACTGAGAACATTGGGTTTAATTAATCTTCTAGTTTCACATGAGTCATTGATGTTGGAAGCTTGTCAGGTATCGTCAATATCGTAATATTTTGGGCCTAGTTAACTTATTGGCAATGCATAATTGCATATCATGACACTAACTTTAATGTTAATATACACTAACTTTAATGTTAATATATCTTTCAGTCTTTCACGTAAAACGTCCACCAGTTACCTCGTGTCGTGGTCGTGTATATCCTTAATTTTTATGAGCAAATATGCACATCGAGTATGTGGCAAAACTTAAAATTCTTATGCCTAGAACTTATATTAAGGAAATAAAATAACAATTAGCATTGATGGTAGAAAAATATTAAAGAAAAAGGAAATGTTCCTTTTTTTTAAGAACTAATTGTTGTATTTCTCGCTAATATAGTCGGGCCTGTTTAAACTAATTGGCCTGTTTTATTGTAAGCTCAAGTCAAAATCCCTTTGTGAATATGTTCATGATCATGTATAAGATTTGTTAAGAAGATAGAAAATTTTTAATATTTCAGTTGATTTCAGTTGCATAAAACTAAACAATTTGGTAAACAAACATGGAGCTAAAGTTGGATTATGGTTGCGGTTCTTTTGAATAATAGGAAAATTTCCAAATCTAGAAAAGATTCGAATTGGTTTTTCTGTTTTGTCTTAGAATATGAACCCAACTTTTTACTCCACTAAAAGACAGTTCAGTTGCTCAAGACCAAAGCATCTTTGGACACAGAATTAAGTCCGACAAATAATACATGACCCCCTCACCGAGATCAGAAGATTTTAAAAAGAAAAAAAAAAAAGATTTGCCTGAGCTATCATCCTCCTCCTATCTTCGGATTTTACAAAAAAATTGTTGAGAGAACTATCATCATAAGTTTTGTCCTAAGCGTCTTATATACAAAGACCCAAGTTTAAAATTATTAGACTCCAACTCATATCTGTGACTTGCGTCATATGTGGCTCAAGTGTCAAGTTATGAAACCTTTCTCCACCATGGCATGAAAACCATCCGGTTCAAAGTCAATTGCACTAAAATGCCTCAGTTCACCAGACGATTTGTTGCGTCTTAGCCCGGTTTCTGCCTCCTCTAACATGATCATACTGATGGGCTCTTCTTGCCTGAGTGTCTCAGAAAGGAGATACATATGAATCCCAGTTTGTTTTCCGATATTACCAAACCACAAAACCGAATGAATATTCCGGCATTGCAAGATCAGCAAACAGCTTGATCATGGGATTCAAGATTGAATTGATTGATAAGCAAAGATCTTTCTCCTATTTTTGCTTATTATTCCTCTTCTTCTTCCTCAAGTTCTCGTGGAGCAGTTTCTTCTTCGGTGCGTTGTAAGAGATCCTCATAAGCTCTCATAGATTCAGCAGTGAATCTCTCCATAGCTTCGAAAATCCGCTGCAAACTACCTTGTAAACTGTCGTTGCTAGTATCACTTTGGTAGACAACATTGCCGGATAGTGAAAGACTATTACCATCACCCGGAGCCACAAGAACCATTTTCTTTTCCAATGCCTGAATCTCTCTCTGTATCTTCTGTTCTTCCCTGTCCATGTTCCTAACTTTCTTCTCTGACTCCCCGTGACCAGTCATCACCGTATCTAACCGATCTTGTTCCCAAAGCTGAAGCACGCTTGTTGTGAAACTACGCATTGCCTCAATAACTTCCTTCTCGGATATCCTATCTAGAGCTTGAGACCATTGGTTACAGATCACAAAGATTGGTGGTGCCCCTATCCGACCAGGTGAGAAAGGAGCGATCCCATCGGGTGTTTCCTCTGGTTCATACAGAAGACATTTCATGAGCCATTTATTCAACTCTTTAACATAACCCTTCTGAGCGCTAACCCAGCTCGAGAACCCCAATATCCAATTAATAAGTTCATGTCCAAGCACACTGGTCGCCTCAAGATGTTCATCGCCGAGTTTCTTGCTTGCTCTTATCGGTCCCAGGCCTTGTGCTTCCCTAATAGCCTGACACTGACTTTGATGACACTCAAGCATGGATCTCCACATTCTTGTAAGCCTAAAAGAACCGAAATCAACAAATGAGTAGAGTTCCCATTCTAGATATCTGTTTCAGATATGCATTTGGAGAAGATAAGTTTATATTACCCTTGAATCAATGCATTTAGTTGTGGCCATAGGTCTTCGTCTCTAATCTTATTAATCGTCACAGATATTTTGTCGACAACCTGAATAGCAATCCGAATCTTGGTGGACATATCTCTTACTAGTTTCCTCGTTTTATCTACTTTCATAGCCTCAGCACCTCTTTCATCCAAACGCTTTAGCTTCCTTAGCTTTTTCTCGTGAGCTAGTCGCAATTTCTCCTCAGCCTACACAAGATTACATTTCTATCTTCAGAGAAAAGAAATGATACACAAATCTACCTAAGACCAAAGATTTGATACACAAAAGAACAGCAAACATTACCTTGACTTCATGGTAAAGCTTCTTCTCCCAAAGATGGAGCTTGTGCAATGTCGAAGAAAGATTCCTCGACCTGGACGCAAGCTCTTCTTCAATGTCTGCATAAGTAGGCGGCGCAGTAGCAGTAGCAGTAGCAACAGCAGCAGAAGGTCCTCCAGAGGTAGAAGAAGGTAACGAAGGAGTAACACCGTGCAACATCTTCGAAGTAGCTGCTCCACAATTCACAAAACATAAGAAAGTTCAAAACTTTGCTCAACCAGTTGCAGAAAGCTGAAAACTTTGACGTTAAAGGATCACGCTTTACCATGTTTACGACCATAAGGATGCTTCCCAACTTCAAGTAACTTAGCAATCTCACTTCCAGACTCTGCAGCTTTCACAAATTGACTCTCAATCTCTTTCGCAACCTCGGGCACCGCACGTGGCCCTCCTCCTCCTCCACCACCGCCGCCACGTGTCGCCGTGGCATTGCTCCGCCTCTCCTCATCCTCAACGACCTTCTTCTCAACAACGTGAACGTCATACTCCATCCCTTCTTTCTCCACCGACACACTCGGTCTAGACTGATACGCAGACGCATCTCCGACATCACCGCCTCCGCTAGTACTGGCTCCAGACTTATCAAGCGGCGGAGACGGAGACTCCTCCCTCATGTGCACGGCGGCGGGATTCGGTAGATGACCACCGGGGGCGAATTTTGGTTTGCCGTGAACCTCCTTAACAACCTCGTACTGTGAATCATCGTCTTCTAGCTCCGGGATACCTTCTTCTTCTCTTAACTCTCTCGAATCTCGACTCGGAGTATACGGAGGGTAATAAGTATCAAACGGATTCAAAAAATCCCAACCGTTAGACCTCGGCGGCGAGGGTGGAGGCGGGGGCGGTTTAGAAGCAACGGCAGCAGCTGTAGAACCAGCACCGTAGTATCCAGATGCGGGTGCGGGTGGTGGATTAGAGTATCCAAAATAGGAATTTTGAGGAGGATAAGGATTATAAGGGTAATTAGAAGAAGAAGAAGAAGATGATTCGCCTATGTAGACTCTTTGAGGACTAGTTGGTCTTTGCTCATAAACAACAGAAGGAGGCATGGAAGTGTTCTTCATGTAATTCATATGCATATAACTATTTCCACCAGAGTAAGGCGGAGGGAGATGACCCATCATCTCTGGATTCGGGTACCGGGTCATATAACCCGGTTGTTCCATGTATCCTCCACCTCCACCCATTGGTGCTGACTCCGGTATCGGGAAATTTCCGAGATGGTGGTGGCGTTGAGGAGAGTGGTGATGCATCGAATCCAATTCCAAATCGTCGTCGTCGTCATCGTCGTCGTCGGAATCTGAGTCGAATTCGAGATGGCCCGAGTCAGAACCCGAACCCGAGTGAGCTTGGTGGTGGGAAGAAGCAGCAAGCTTCGGTTTTTTTTGGGGGGAGTTTTTACCACCTCCGCCGTCGTCGTCGTCTTCTTGATGAGGGTCACCTTTTCTGTGAGGAGGAAGATGGAGTCTAGGAGAGTCAGCAGCTCCGCCGACGGTAGCGCCGCCGGAAGAGACGAAACGGTGGTGGTGGTTGATGAAAAGATGGAGGGAGTGACCGATTCCAATAAGGGAGTGAGTGTAAGCCACGTGGGATTCAGCTAAAGCGTAACGTTGATGAATAGCAGCTTCTAAGAAACCACAACGTTCACGGCAAAGAGCAACCGCCGGAAGATCGTCAAGCTTCGAACTTGTACAACCCATTTCAACCAATAATAAACCAAAAAACAAAAAAAAAAACAAAAGAATCAAATTAAATTAAAAACAAAAAAAAAAGAAGGGAAACACAAGATTTGAAATCAGGTAGAGAATTGAAATTAAAAGACTTTTCGTAAAGAAAGAGAGAGAGAGAGAGAGTTGAAAGGTAGGTGAGAGGAATAAGAGAGAGATGGAGGCGCATAAGGGGCAAAGAAGGTGTGGGTTGATGGTGATAGCAAAATTCACAAATCATAAAAAAGAGAAAGCAGCAAAGATGTGTGAAGTGATTGTTTTTTTCTCTCTTCTTTCCTAGTAGTAGTATTAGATAATTATTTCAATTTTCTCTATAAGAGAAAAAAAGATAAAAATGAATGATAATATAAGCTCAAGAAGAAGATGATGAAGCACAGAAAAAAAAAAAGTGAGAAAAAAAAAACAGCAAAGGACTGTGAAGGAATCTTGCCAGCACCGAGATTTTCGTCCGTTTCTCCCATAGGATGAGTCGGTGTTTTTTTCTTCATTTTTTTTCTCTCTTCTCTCTTTTTAATTTACCATAATCTCCTTTTTCATAAAATTTAATGATCCCCAAATTCTCAAAAATTATAGGAAACCAAACAATATTACCGTAGATTTTATTTTTTTATTTTTTGTGTTGGGAAAATTGAAACCTTTTTAGGACAGTACTTTGAAAGAGATTCAGACAGATGACATGGATCTTCGGTGAAGATACGGTGTTCTTAGTTGGGAGTAGTTTTGAAAAAATGTTAAAAAGTTTAAATTAATTACGTGTAAGTAAGTACGATTCTACTTTGGCTTTGTGGTTTGACGGTAACTTTGACTCGTTTTGACCCTTTTTTATTCCCCAGTATACCCTTTGTTATAGACTTTAATTACGTAACGACAGTATTTGATTTGGACACATAATATTACATGATGGTAACGGGTAACGTAAGAAAATTAAATGATGAAATTCGTACTGAACCTATGTCTGTTATTATTTAATACTTGTATCAATATGTATTGATTTAATTTTAAATTCTCAAAGGAATGAAAATGGAATATTATTGTTTTTTTTTAAATAGTTCTGGGTGGTTATCATATATGTAGTTGGTTTGGGTGTTTATTATTAGAGAGACGTAACCAAATCGATGTTTGTTAGCTTTCAGTCTTCAGGCTTCAGGTGTGATGCTAACGTCGTCATGTTTTCTTCCTCTCTCTTTGACTTGACTCTTCTTCCTTTTTTTTTATTTTGTACTTAACCAAGAAAAAACAAACTTATATGTAGTAGTCTAATGAATTAATAACAAAACTCCAGTATTATAAGAATGTGAACTTAACTAATTCTGTTCATTACCGATAAAACAACATTTATTAAATCGTTTGAGCTACTTTTAAACAGTAATACTATATCACGTAATTTTTTTTAAAAAAAAAGTGAAAATCAAGAGGACCCAAAGTGCGTGACGAGTTTTTTGTTGTGTGAAAAAATGTGTGACGATTTAAAAACAAAACATTAAAATGAAAAAAAAAACTTGGAAACATGATACGGACACCCCTAAATTATGAGTTTATATACGTTGGACACACATCAACACAAGCGAAATTGTGGAAAATATATGCATAGGCTATTAGGCTAATTAGCCTCCTCGTCGGAAGTTTCCTTTGCGCATAGAGTCCTTCCGGAGAGGCAATTTCATGCAAGGTGTTACGTACAGATTTATCGCAATATATATATATATATGCATTGGAGCTCCAAATACTCTCGTGTTTTATATCGTAACCGTTAGTCAGAAAATATAATACTATGTTATATGGACATCTAAACCTAATTTGTCCTAAGGTGTTATGTTACTATCATCAGACATTTGAAGAAACACGATGGTTTTTGTTTGCTTTATGTTGATCATATTTTTGCATATATCTCAAAGAGCAAAAGAATGCGAAAGACATGCTTCTACAAAATCTGTCATGTCCCAAATTACTTCATTAACTTTGCTATCAAACAAAACTGATATATTTTGTTCAACCGGATTAATTAACACAACACCACACCGTTTTTTTTTTTTTCCGACTAGGAAGAATAGTCTAGAACATGTACTGATGACTATGCACATTGTCGCTACAAAACAAATTAAATCAGGTTCGTAGCGACAAAAAAAAAATGTGGTGACGAACTATATGTAACACAAAAATTTAAATGTATAGCAATCAAACAAATATCCGATAAGGATACTTAGCATCGAAGCCTTGTAAATTGGTATATAATAAAATGTTATTTACGCAGAATAACTTGGTACAGAAGCAACCCCTTCTGTTTTCTTTTAACTTTATTTTTTATTTAAATAAAATCTTTTTACTTTATATATTTGTCTTGTTTTATTTTCGTCATGATATTTTTATTTTCATCTGCATGCTAGATGCTTTATCGTTTCAAATAATTAAGACAAATAAAACCTGATGTTATATTTAATTAATCTGTCTGCGTTATTTTATTTTGTATCGCACATGGTAACTGGGAAAGTAAAATTAGAAAGTAAAGTACTCCTATTATAGGCCAATGGTTGAGTTGAATCGAAGGATAAAAAGAAAAAGCTTCTACAACTTTAGATTTAGTGATAAGTTTTCAACCAACAACTTTAGATTTAGTGTTAGTTTCCATTTTAAAACATTCATTGTAACGAGACCAGATGAATCTTATTCACTGTATGTCAATAGATTCAATGGGCCTATCTGCAAGATATTCATTCCCTTGAAAACTCTATATGTATAAATATTATACCGTCGGGAATGAAAATAAATGTTTATACGAACGGTTATAATGTTTATACTGGTACGTTTTAATGTAATAAATGATACGGGAAATGCGAACAAAAAAGCCCAATTACTCAAGAGAACATATGTAGTAGTCATGCTTTACCTGAAATCCAAAACAATAGATAGATCATCTTAATTATATATAATTGTCATGCAAAAATCATACTATATGACAAATGTCCAAAATCTTAATGATGTTAGGTGCAGAATATAAGAAGAGCCTGTTGATTCAGAGGTAAAGGATATTTTGAGAAAGTTACTTTGGTCCCCTACCAAACTTCAATAAGTCAATTGATTGTTATATTTTGGGGAAAGAGTGAGGAAGTAAATACGATATAGTAGTACTACTTGAAGTGTTTCTAAATGAAAAATGTCGAAGTAACTTTTTAAAAAGGAATACATTTAACAGTACTTTGCTAAACATTAAATTGAATGCATTGTGACGTCGTCCTCTTCTTCTTCTTGTCCCTATCATCCTTCTTTTTATTTCCTCACTTTCTTTAGCTTATCAAGTTAGGCACGTTCAAGCTCAAACACCATTTTATTTGCCCTTTCTACATAACATTATCCTTTTTATTTTTGTTTGGGCAAAACATTATCGTTTTGTTCTCTCTCTCTTTCTTTGGCTTATAATGAAGTTACAATTTTTATTTTTATTTAATGCACTTTTACGCTCTATTATGCTTCATTTGTATCAAAGTAAAATTATTTACTGCTTTTTGGGCATATACTTTGTCAATGTTGTGGTTTTGTTGTAATGATAATAGCATAGATTATTCTCCTTGACCCTGACTTATTTTATGTACCAAACGGTACTTAAGTTTCAGCTTTTTAAGTTAAATGACAGTCTGACAGATTAGTTTCTTTTTATATATATAAAACTTTGCTTAAAAATGTTTTTCGCATTTCACCGTAATTGATGATGATTTGGCTGGAAAATACAGAGAAGGGAAACGTCAATATCGCAGACCAAAAAAGAAAGAAGAAAACGTCAATCAATTGAGTAAGATGAGTCATCTTTTTTTTGTAAAGCATAAAACATAATGAAAATATCACCTTTAGGCATATTCCGGAGATTCTAATAAGTGTTGTGCTTATGATATTAATTGGGTTACAGTTTTCATATGTATGTAACGTTGGTAAAAACTAAAAAAAGTTGAGTTCTTGTTAAGGTAACGGTTCAATTTAAGGAACGACTCTTATTCAACAATATTTGATATATTCAATGCATGTGTAACTCTATTATAATAGACAGATAAGTTCTGATTTATTTATACCTAAAACGCGATCGTAGATGTCAGTGATAGATTAATTAGGAGGTAATACATAGTAGTTAATAACGGATATATATATATATATATATATATGTGTGTGAGTTCATGAGTGTCAGAAGAAATCTAATACTAGTATAATCCATACAACTATTTTTATTCCTCTGCTATATGTTTTAGTGGGTTTGGAATAAAGTTGTGGTAAGTAAATTAAATATATTTATTGTGTTATTACTTATTGTTGTGATGGCCATTACTGGAAGTGGACTGATGAGTTTAGGGTTTATAGGAAAGAATACGGCACAGAATAATTGGGCGACGACAGGTGACATGTGACACACATTTCACTGGCTATTAAAAGGCTATACACATGCTTTATTTATTTATTTTATACCTCCTATTTTTTTTTTATGTATAATAAGTGTGTATATCATAATATATAGTCTTAATTTGGTCTACGACGTATACTAGTTTCTTTGTCATTTTTATGCATGCATTACAACATCAAGATTTCAACAAGGAAGTTTCGAGTTTTTTATATATCGTTCTTTTCTTAATTGACATTAGTTAAGAATTGATGTAGCTAGCTAAGATTAAACTATAATTGATGCCTGTTGCTATCTTTTTTATATAAAAATTATTCTATTTAAAGGAACTTGACAATGTTTCTTTATAAATTTGAGTCTGAATTTGTAGGATTTTGATTATTATAGTTTCCTTATTTTCCAAAATTTAATTTAATTTTTTTTTTCACTCATGGAATATTTATTTGTCTGGTGGTTCGACAAAACTTTCATGTGCTATGACTTTGGGGTGTCTTATGTTTTCGATAAAAAGAACCTTTAAGAAGGAAAAAAGAGAAAATACAAGTGTTGTGAATTATAAGGGAAATGTTTCCATTGCTGCGAATGTTTGGGTGGCTTGATGTGATCGACGACTGCAAGAAACTCTCTCCTAGCTACTATATACATATGATAATAGTGGATGAGCTAATTTTTGCTTTTCAATAACAATCACTGAATATTTACTATTCCTAGAACATATATATCTTTTGCTTTTACACACACAACATATGGAAACACTTGTAAAGTTATATATTGTGGCATCGTACTGGTTAAAGTATTTTGGTAAAATGTGAACATGTTTTCCATTTTTTTTTTTTTTTGAGGGAACTCTTTTGTTGTTGTTGAGTTTTGGGTTTTGGGCATCTAATGAGT